TTGTACCTGTGGGTACATTTGGGCATTTGAGAAAGTGCTGTAGGCACCACCAGAAGGAATGTGGCTAGTCACATCATGGCTGGCCTGGGGACCTGGCTAGTCAGAAGTGGGGGTGGGGGTGCTATGTGGGGGTGGCAGAATAACAAGGCTACAGGCAGAAAGACAAATGGCAAGATAATAGCATGAGTAAGAGAGAATAAAATTAAGGGTTAGGAAGGGAATGATAGAAGAAGCTAGAAGCTGTGAATGGAAAGACAAAAGCTCTATGTGGACAGTGGGGTTAGGAAGCACATTTTTTTCCTGTTTGTTGAATGACTGATGATCAGCAAGTTCAGAAATAAGAAAAAACCTGGTGTCCTAACATTTTTTCAATTTTTTTACTCTGTAAAAAATACATTTTGAATGAGGCACAGCATGGAGAGCTTTGTGGGCATCAGTAGAGGTCCCCACAAGTGCCATAGTAGGGACCCCTGCCTGGGTGAGGCTATCTTATGTGTATCTAAAAGAGACCTCATTTTTTTGGTATCTCATATATCTAGTGGAGTTTCTGGAAGTAAAGGGTGCTTCCAGACAATGCAGTGGCTTTATCCAATTCACAGAATGTTATGGGTCATCTAGACATCATTTTCTGCAACTTGTAAGCCTTCTGTAGTTGCCATCATTTTCCTCGACTTTTTTCTTACTGCCAAAAAAGAGAATAGTTGCACATTGTTTTCTAATCTGTAGTGCTAGGAGCCCTCTGTCTATAAGCACCCAAGGTCTGTGTCAGAAGGGACTGTCAATTTTTTAAAGTCCACAAAAAATTTTCTTAGCTTTGAAGATATGTGCCCCTCACAAATTTTGATAAAAGTGAAATCTAGTAGCTGTGTGGCATAGTTATGGCACCCTCCTATACATTTTACTCAGAAATAAGTTTATAACCTTACAGATATAGTTTCTGATTGCATTAATTATAGTTCTTTTGTAAATTATTAATAATTGAATACCTTCATCCACAAAATAGATTGTAGTTTTATTATTTTCACTCAGTTGCATTTTAAATGTATATTTGAACAATAGGAAAATGCAGCTTGGTGCCAAGTAGAGCTTCATGTTTAATTAAGTACTTTCTCTGTAGGAAATAAGATTTCGTATCTCAAACAAAATTGTCTACAAGTTACCTGTCTGTGAGGTAATAATTCCATTCCTAATTGTATTTGTTTCTTTTAAAAATGCTAAAGGTCTTTTCCATGAGTTGATAATTTATCCCTAATTGTGTAATTCTATATAGTTTGACTGGCTTTACTTGTCAATAGGAGACTGAGAGCATTGGTGTGTCTTAGTCCGATTCCAGTTTGCTCAAGAATTCTGTAATTTGCTTTTTCAGCTTTTCATTCATAGTCAAATGTAGTAAGTAACTATCCTTTCCATATAATCCTTTCCATATATTCTCTGCTTGTTTATGTGTCTGTGGCCTGATATTTCTCAAACTTTTGAGAAATACCTGCTTGTGCCAGGAAATGTAAGGGGTTTTGATCTCATTCAATGAAGTCCTGCCTAACCACTTGTTTACAGTCTATGGATACTTAGGGTGCTTCCGGACCAGCTTTCGGGCTTGTGATGTGCAATCACCTTGACTTACTGAATGTTTTGGGATTTCTAGATGACAGCACCTTCCATTTCTAATCCATCCGTGTTTTCTCACTGTTTCTCACTTTTTTTTAACCATGGAAAATATGTTAAGAAAGAAAAGGCAGAATAGCTGCATAATACCTTCTGATAGTTAGAAGGCACCTGTGTCTGGAAGGCCCTCACCCCAAGCAACGAATGGTAGGTGGTAGAGGTGAAATAGCCCTACTGCAATCCAGAATGCAGTATGATGGTGCCTGGGTTTCTCAAACCAGGTCTCAGCACAGCTGGTATATAGTTACATTTGTCTATTTATATAGGACTTCCTTAAACATGTAGGTTGGAGTCACAAATTTGCCACTTTAAAATTTATTATTCACTGCATTTCAATAGTAATAATAATATAAAATCAACTTATTTGAAAACAAGTTCCCAAAACTTGACATAATTACCATGCATATGTGATCTAAAAGGAAAAGTCCAACCAGTTATGAAGTGCACCTGGATCATAATAGTATGCATGGGTATAACAGCAAATATGTAAACACTGTAGTAAAAGCAGAGACAAAATTATCATCTACATACTTTTTTATACAGGGCCGAGACCTAGAGGATTCACTTGCTTCATTTTTACAAAGAGAAAACCTAGATAAGTATCAAGGTGAGAAATTTATCCTGGCACACACTGTATAAAATTGTGTGTTGTATTTCTCTCTGGCTATATTTACACATCACTCTGTGCAATGCCACAAGGTAACTGCACAGCATGGTCTTTGTGTCCTGGGTTCACACATGAACATAGTTTCTAAGCATGCATGATTTCCATGCTTGTCCTTCATCTCTCCAAATAGCAACTGGTATCTCATCAGCTTCCTTGGCTCAAAATCATTCCCAGGGTACACTGCTTCTCCCTACCTCACCAGCCTACATGCTTCCCTGGGCATGTCCACCAATAGCTGTCTTTTTTATTTTTGTTTTCTGCTACTTAGTGAAGCAATACCTACTCACTAGAGTAGCCTATTGCTCTAGAGGGGCACTTCAGGAGCACTTCCCTGGGCTGTTCTGCCCTGCTCTCTGCCAACATGCAAGCACACACCCCTTTATACCTCTCCCCACTCCTTAGCTGCACATGTGTCCATGCCTCGCTGTGCACAGGACTCACGCACAGTAGAGGGAGCCCCCTTCCCCCTCTAGCCAGGCACAAAGAGCATCAGTGCAGGGACCCCTGTGAGGGATGCTGGGCAGACTTTCCTGACTGTGTCCATTTGGGCATCTGCCCAGAAAAGTCTTCTGGCAGACTGTTAGGACAGGAGGGACAACAGGGCTTGTTGAGAGTTTCAGGGACAGAATAGGAGTGGAGAAGGCAGAGCAGGAGACATGGGCTTCTTGGGGCAATTGCCTTGATGGCAATGCACACAAACAGCCCATATGCTCCTTATGTCTAAGGCAGTCCTCTCATGAGAAGACCACTGGCTCCCTTGGGACAAAAACAGCCCTTTCCAAGTATTACTCCAGCAAGAGACAACAGCCAGATAGGAGCACCCAGCATGCCCATCACCAAGGCTGCTGCTGCTGGAGACAGTGAGGTGCAATGACCTGCTCCTCCTACTGAGCTACCAAAAGCTGTCACTGGGCATCAGAAAGGGAGCAGAAAAATAATTGTGCAGAGCAGCCAAGCAGAACACAGCAGCCTCCACCACTGCAGTTCCTAGGCAGAATAGGACAGCAGAAGATGCAGGCTGGAGCATCCAGTGTAGCTGTGGCTGCTCTTGCTGCCAAACTCTATTGCAGACATGTGGAAACTGCATGGAAACATTTTGGCTGGGGTCACATATAACAAGCCATGGTAAAGCATGGAAACCTTACAACAAACAGTTCCTTCTTGGAGTGGGTTCCTGGAAACCAAACGTGCCATGCTTTACCATGGATGCAGGGTTCATATAGAATGACAAAGTATGCCTTTGCTGTTCCCAGTTATGTTTGAACGCAGCCTCTGTGCATATAAGCATGTGTTATACTGTTTGTGATTGCCTCAAAAAGGAGCTCTGCACCTATGAAACAGCTGATCCATCTTCAACTGATTGATATGTGTACAAATATGAGGAGAGCAGAAGGTTTGTGTCTTTTTCCTAATTGCCAGTTTGCATCTGTATGCCCAATACAGATTAAATGATAAACATGGCAAGACTGCATTGCCATGCGGTACTAGTTTAGTCAGTTTCATTTCTAAGGGAAACCTTTTATGTCTTCTTACAGGCCCACACACTTTTAAGAACGCCATGCATCATTATTTCATGCACTATAAATAAAATGTTTAAATCAGTTTCTACATGCTCCAGTTACTGGAACAGAACTGGAGTGTGCTACTAATTATGGGACTTTTTCATTAGGTATTTAAAACAGCCACACAAAAACATAGCATACATGAAATAGCAGTATAGGTTATGCTGGGTGAGAGGCGGGGAAGTTATTTCAGGTTTTCCAAGATACAGTTTGAATCTCTATGAACTGTTATGACCACAAGCCAGGCTGGGACTCAAAAGGCCCATGGATATGGTACATGATCTCAGTTTTATTATAAACTGGCAAGACAATAGCTTTATTCCCTAGAAAGATATTGCAGAGCTGAAGTACACATCATGATCTTTTGGTGGAAGATCCAGTTTTCTATTTATTCTTAAAAGTTGAGTGTAATATTGAGTATTTTATGAAATGTAACTCTTCGTATTTGAAAAATGAGAACTAGGAAAATGTGGAATTGCCTTCTGTGAACTTTATTCATTTATTTATTCGGTTTATATGCCTCCCTGTTAGCCATAAGGCTCTCTGGGTGGCTTATAACATAATCAATACAACAGTACAATAAAACTTACAATTTACAATAAAACCAATGATGATCATAAATAAATCAATCAACCAACCACTATAACTAAGAAAGCCAGATAATAGGAAAAATAAATAAAATATAACATAAGGTCAAAAAAGAAAGGGAACATTAAACCTAGTAAGGCATAGTTTATATCAAATATCTAGCATAAATTCATAAAATGGCAGCAGCACTGAATAATATAAAACCTTTAAAACTGCCATTAAAAATCACAAAACCAACTAATTCACCAACCAAAATAACAGTGGAACATTGTTGTTGTTGCAAAGTCGCGTCCGACCCATCGCAGCCCCATGTTAAGAGTAGACAGGAACAATAAGCAAGAACATTGTTAATACTTTCCAGGATCTTTCAAATATCCTTGTTCCATGGATTGAACCAGTGACTATTTTTGACCACCCATTTCACTTGCAATATATTCAAGAAGCAGGCTTTCTGACTGCAGAAAAGGGTATTTTAGAGACCCTTTGAATTCCTCTATCTTACCTGTGTCTCTTTGTAAAAGTTCTCCCAGATAAACAGAGTATCCCTTTAACTGAATGTGAGATCAAGATCAAGGATCCTCAGCCCATCTTCATAACTACAATTCCACCGTCAAAGCAGCGACACAGCCTCATAAGATCACCCATTAAACAGCATCCACCTCCCTTTCATATGTACTCCAGTGGAGAAATTCGTGGGAAGCAGAATGCAGGTATGGAAGAGCTAAGTGTACTGAGAGACTGGCAAATTTAGGATTTAGGGATTTTGTGGGATTTAGGGATGATATGAGCCCTAGGAATGAGTGATTCTAATAAGAGAATTCTTCCAAATAAAGAAGATAAATTGAAGTGCAGAGCAGGACGCAATTGTGAGTGTATTTCCAGATGAGGCTTTTATTTTACTAGGCGTGGGGGGCAGACAATGCTCCCTTCTCTGTGCAGTCATCCTCTGTTTTCCCATAAAAAAAGAGCTGCGCAATGTTTTTTTACTGGTAGTACTATAACTCATCTGGCTGGAAGAAGTAATGTCTGTCAGGGTTTCTCAAGTGGTATAAATGCAAAATGCAGTCCATTGCAAACAAACTGGAAGGGTTTGCACTTGACAACATTCAGTTTTTCCCAGCTTAGTATGCTAATTTCCACAGCTTGATTACTTGTGTTTGGCTCCTCCTGCTGAACAATCCAAGAATGCTCCATCATTGGGTTGTTCATTGTGACATCTGAATCTAGGTTTCTGGCTTCACACCTATCCCCTGACAAGCCAGTGTGAAGAGAGACATGCAGAGCTTTGAGTTAGGATATCATGCTCATACAATCCAGGGACAGAACATTTAGTTGCTGCCACTAGCAGGAAAAGCCAAGTGGAAGCAATTACGCTGCAAGGACTAGCACACTGTCTCATTCACAACAACTCAGGGTTTAAAAAGAAAACTGGGTTGCCTTTACATGCAAACCAACCCATTATCATCTTTGTTGTTAGCAAAATAAAATAAAATAAAAAGAGAATGTTCTATGAGTTTGTTATATTTATAGGGAGAATGAGGCAAATAGGTAGGTATTTATACTTCGGCATTTATGGTTCACATGTATTATTATTTTTCCTTTTCTACAGGTGCCTCTATTCCATCATCCTCTCCTGGAGTGAAACGGTACAGGTATTACTGCTTCAGAACTCCTGGGTTTATTGAAATTGCACAGGGGGCTTTTCACTTACAAGCTTTTTACTTAGTTTACTAACATAGAGATAATATCTGTGCAAGACAACATACCAAATGCAGTGTGAATCCCCTTTGCATGCTGAGGCTGTGGATATGGGATCTTCTTTACACATTAGATGTCTCATATGTATATGCTTCTAATGTGAAAAATTCTTGGGCTGCACTTCCCATATTAAGGTAAACTAATTTTCCTCAATTGAAAATATTGCAGAATAAGAAAAATTCTTATTTGCCGTCGTTACTTGTTTTTCGGCGCCAGGCCAAGACCTTTTTATTCAAACTATATTTTAACAACTTTTAATAGTATTTATTGGTTTTCATTCTAGAGCCAGGGTGAATCTAGATTTTATGTTTATTATTTATATGTTTATTATAAGTACACTGTGCTATACTGTATTTATTTATTGTATGGAAGCTGTCCCGAGGCTTATGCGAATGGGACGGCATAGAAAAACTCCAAATAAATAAATAATAAATAATAAAAATTATATTGTGTAAAGTAACCCTTGCTCTAGACAGGTTACTGACATTTGACAAAAAGCCATTATAATTCCTGTAATTTCACTGAATTTCTGAAGGGTGTGTTGTTACCTAACATAAAAGGGCTTTTTTCCTACTTCTTGGCTTCTACTTCTGCAGAAGACGTTAATTTGATCTTCTCATTTGGCTCTAAAGAAATTATATAAAAGTGTGTTTGGTGGCCAAATGAGATTTGAGAGACTTGTGACTGAGTGTGCGTCCACGTGTGCATCAAATTCAGAAAATGTTGTAAGGTGTGTTCCAGAGGTAATACTGCCAGGTTTCTCCATTGTTTCTTTTGTCTTTTTTTGGCATGGAATATCTGTTAAAGAGGGAAGGGTAGAATAGTTGCACATCATCATTTGGCTGCTAACATTAAGAGCGCTCCATCTGTAAGCATCCCAATCTCTGGACTTAAAAAGAAAGAAATGCAGCCTTTGCATGTGTGTTTTTGTGTGCGGGCAGAAGGATTTGTACTCACAGTAATAGTGCTAGAAGAGGTGTTTAACCATACACACCATGTCTCTGATAAAAATATCCTATCCTCCATGTAGGAATATCAGAAAAATCTGCACTGGCATCCTGAAATAGTATTCTCTACTTCTACCGCATTATAATCAGGTTTTGCTGGATGAATGGTGAGATGGAGATATGTGTGGTTTCTGTTTGATCCTGGCCAAGAGGACTAGATTAGTTGATCTTCAGACAGTTCAAACTCTAAAGTTCTGTCATATAAAAAGCTACTTAGATAAGCAAACAACACACAGAAACAAGTTCTTTCTCAACCTTCCAGGGGCTACTACACTCTAGGTTTGACAAAACAACCTCTTATATGTGAAAATACTAGTGAAATTGAGGAGGCAATTAATTCATTTATCACCCTGAGGGCCAAACTATGTGTTCTGTTAAATGCTTGATCATACTTAATTTGTCCCATGGTTTTTAAAATGTTGTTTGTTAAATAGCCATTACTGATGGCCCTAATTGGGCCATGGTGTATGAACGGGAAGGATCTGTTTCTGCTGTGCTCCATTTTTTATGAAATTTGGCCTTGAAGTTGCTGTGAGAGGAAAAGTACCACATGCACACAACTGTCATTTCATCCTTGTTCAGGACAGCTTGCAACAACTATTAAAGGACATCAGATGCATTAAATCACTTAACTCAAGTTAAACATGGGCCTGGCCTTCACATAATGGATACTTCCTTGCTGGAATGATATGAAATGCCAATACTACATTTTCTGTTAGGGGACCAGCAATGATTTTTAATCTTGTCTTTTGCTGGTCTGTACTACCTTTGAAAAATGAATTTGTTTCTCCTCACCCACTCCCTTGTAGGTCCATGTGGTGGAATCCAGAAGTGCCTTCCGTGACTTTAATGCTACGTCAAAATCTTTCTTTGAAATCTCAGAGCATTTTTGACAAGAAACAGCTTTGGCATTTGGGCCAAAGCAGATCACAGGTTCTTCCCTACAAAGAATTCAAATGGAAACCTGTCAAGATTGACCACATGCTTTTGAAGACAGATAGTGAACATCATTTCAAAGCCCCAAAAGCACCCCTCCAGAGTGGTCGAAAGCATTTATCACTAGGGAGCAGAGAGGAGAGCTCAAAGACAGAGTTTGTGTACAAGGAACATGTGGTCCCTGCCAGTGAAACCATGGACTTTGAATAACCCATACTAAATTAATAACTGGTCAGGAGGAAAGCTGGCACTCTCCTGTTGCACACTTATTACAAGATTTTGGCACATAGTCTACTGCATTTCTTTGCTGAAAGAGAATTTGAAGTCTTGGCAACGAGGAGGATGGATTTCAATTCGCTTTTATCTACAGTTTTATGGCTAAGTAACTGATATGAAAAAGCAAGGTTTTTATTTGTTTTTATTAGCAGGTTAGTATATGACTACCCATATAGAAAGAACATATGCTTTCCAGCCCTGTGCATTCCTCATAAAGCAATGATAAGGGTGGAGAAGCAGTAGAAAGGGAAGGTGACAGGTGGGAGTGGGGGCTTTAATTGCCTACCTGTCTCAATGTGTCCAGGCTATTTTTAATCACTATCTTGCTGGGCTCCAAAACCAGCTCGGACATAGGATTTGCAGAGGAGATTTGCTGAGCAGAGTTAACACCATTCTTCTTGCTGATTTTTCCCTGCAAATGTCCTCCCTGCTTCTGCACTTGTATTAGCTCACCAAATGTAGGTTTTGGAACCATTATCTCTTGAGGTAAGAAATACTTCCGCATATATTATGTCCACCTACTGTGCAAAGGAGGTATTTTTCCCATAATGAAGGGTGAGGAGAACTCTTTGTGTTGAATGTTGTTATTCATAGGTGATTGTGTGGCAATGGGTATTATCAGAACACAAGTTTCCTAGTGCAATGCTGGAACCGCAAAGGGTGGAAATGCAACACTCAGGTAAATTTTGTTGCATTTTTACCCCTTTAGTGGTGGTGGTATTTTTTTGATGTTTATTCAAAACAGGGTCTGTAACTCTATCTGTATTATTTGTTCTCCCTTATCCAAGAATGAAAAGTATGTATTGTGTTTACATTAAACAACATAATAAAATATGTTGAGGGAGCATCTCTAATTTTATGGTAATAGAATAAGTATTTTAAAATGCAGCAAAAATCAAACAGGACATATTTATGCAGCCATTCGTTATTTCATTGGATATTAAATAGTTGTACAAATTATTTCATTAGGTAATCACTGAGGTCATGCATTGGGCTTACAGGACATGTTATGAAAATGCTGTTAGTATACAACTAAGGAAGTTTGTATATAATCTATTCTAGCTACCATATTTTGGGCCTTGCTCAAATTAGCCTTTTTTCTGGTACTATAATTATCTCCTCTTAAGCAACATGATGCAATTGCCAATTTGTAGTACTCCTGCAATTTCTACCTCTGGTTTGCGTATGAATGGTTAAAACAAAGTATTGCAAAGACCCTCAACAGGATCTTTCTATACTGGGGGGGCAGGGAGGTGTATAATGGGCCTTAAAATGGTAAATGCTGTTCAAGGAAAGCAGGTATATGTTTATGGAAGTTGAAGCAAACACTCCTGTATATGCTGTTTGCGTCTGAGCTGGTAATGACAAATGAAGAAAGGTATCTTGGGATTGTGGTACATAGGTCAATGAAAATGTCAAACTGCTTTGCTGTGAAGACAAATCTATGTTAAAGATCATTACAAAAGGAATAAAAATATAATGTCCTTTACAAATCTATGTGTAACCATGCTTGGAATACTGTGTTCAGTTTTGGTCTGCTAGTCGTGTTGGCCAGGTATTACCTCCAGCGTGGGAGTAGAATCCCTCTCAGCAGCAGCTAGGGAGCAACATAACTGAAAGGATGCTGCTGCATTCATGCCCTCCATGTGGGTTTCCCCAGGCATCTGGTTGGACACTGTGTGAACAGAAGGCTAGACTGCAGTCCTTTGGTCTGATCCCACATGGCTCTTTTAATGTACAGCCAGGAGCTGGGAAGTCGCATGTTCAGTAGTAAGCCTGAACTGCAAACAAGTCACAGTACTTACCATTTATATGCATCAGTGAAAGATTAGCTGGAATAGCAATGTGAAGGGTATGGATGATTTGTTGGCCACATTCTGCCAGATTCCCAGAAGCAGTCCTAAACATCTGTTTGAAATCAGCATCCCTAACGTAACACATTTTTTGCAGCTGGCAAAACAACCATTCTAGAAACACATAAGTGATAAGATTGTCTCAAAGGTGAAGTTAATCAACCCTAAGTTTAAATGCTAGAAAAAATTAACTGATTTTCAAAAGCCTTTTATAAAAAAAAGCCTTTGTCTGCCAGTGCTGAGGTGTCAAGATGATGAAATCTTAACACCTGAAATTTGGCTGCATTCTAAGTGCACCTCAGGGTTATTTTCTTATAAAAGCATATTCATTCAAATATTTCTGTAGTTGAAGTCTACAGTGTTGCTTTTTGTCACCAGGTGCCTAACAAGCACATAGCTTTGCAGTGAATAGTCTGAAGTCCACAGGGAGGTTAGTGACCAAAGGACAAGAGTTAAATGCCTAACCCAAACTCTCCCACTGCTGGAGGGCAGTCATCCCTCATGAAATGTACCATGCCAATGGTCTTGTCCCAAGGTGCGAGCAGGCATGGCTTTATTCAGAAGAAAGGAGCAGGCACACTATGCCTAGCTCTTGAGACCTGTATACATTTGCTGGGAGGCTGATCTGTATCAAAGAACTGGTGGGAAGTCTACTAGTTAATAACTATCAGTAATCATTCAAGTAACTGTTTAATAAGCAGGAAGCCAAAAACCTTGCACTGGTACTACAGAAGACAAAGGTAAATCCTGAAATTCTGTTTCTCATTTTCAGATGTGTAATACAGAATTAAGGGCTACTGTAACAGAAAAGGATCTACTAAACAATGTTTATTAAGTATTGTTTTGCTTTTTGTATTGGAGTGTGTAGTGTAAAAAGTGTGGAGCATACAATTGTATAAAATTAGATCAGTGTTCCATTTTCTCATATTTGCCGGAACTGGATATTTTGGAAATAAAGCTTTGGGGATGATGCTGTCTTGAAGACAAAATCCCAAGATCTTGCTACTGTGTTACATCTTTAAAAAAGAGGAAGGAAAAACTATCCCCACCTTCATCGAAGATAATTCCTCAATAAATATGTATATTGTGTGCAGCATGTTTTGTACTCAGTAATGTAGATAATTATGAATCGATTGTATAGTGTTTTATGACTTACTCAATTTCTGTATGATCCATACCAACTCTTCAGTACTAGCCAATATGCATTCTCTTCATTTAGTACTATCTATTGCAGGATGAGGCTCTTTTCTCCTTCTGATATATACTATTATGGCACACTTTTCTACCTTTGGTTTTTCTTTAGTAGTATACTTTGTTCTAATTTCTGCTCAATTCTTCTGTCTCCATTCATGCTTGTCCCCAAAATGCATGTCATAAAATCCAAGAACTTGCAATTTCCTTAACCTACCCCCCTCCCCACATCTTTAAAGCAATGGTTCACTATGCAAAAGTTACAGTCCAACTTTCCTGCATTTACATTCCAACAGGTCTGCTTTAACTCAAGCCCGTTTTCAGCCAGCCACAATTTTTTTCTATAGAACTGTACATATTTTTGTATTTTAATATCATGTGTTTTCATGTTATAATTTTTCTTCCCTATACTTCTGTGCATAACACTTCTCCATTTTCTCAGTTGCCAATCTTGCTATTGAGTGGGGAGCCACAGTTTTTCTTGCCAAAGGGCATGCATACAGACTAGCACAGGTGCACACAGTAATGCCATCAAAAAACACATAGCTTTTGCCTTCAGTTTCTCCAAAGAATGGAAGAATGATGAAAGGAAAAGTTAGGTGAATACTATTTTTGAAACTACATGGAACTCTAGCTGCAACACAGTTCTGGGTAAGAAAATGGTGGCCTTCCCCAGTTTGTTGGATGGCACAGGCATGCTTTGCAGGTGGTGATAATAAGATATTACCTATTATCTCGGTAATAACGATGTCAAAACGTACGTGATATTGGTTGCAGTCCAGCATATACCTACACAGGAGTAAGTCCGGTTTAACTCTGGGATGCTTGCTTCCGACTACACATGCATATCAATACGCTGTAAGTAACATTTGTTACAGTATGCTTAAAAAGCAAAGCTATTTTAAACAAGAATAAAATTGGAAACTAAAATAGCAGAAGTAACACTTGGTTAGTCTGGCTGAATTTCAACCGCTAGCTTGCACATATTTCCTTAGCAAGTCATGCCGAATTCAGTAGAATGTACTTTCAAATCGGTATGTAAGTCTTTTATGCAAAGTAGGGTGATAGTGCAAAAAAACGGCATTTCTATTCGTCATGAACATCTTAACAATAAGCAACAACCGCAACATGCATAGCAAAGAAAGAACGAGTACTGAAAACGAATGTCAGGGAACAGCCAGCGAACAACATTCACATTAAAGATTTCGAAGGATATTTACACAAAAAGATAAAAAAAACCCCTACGATCCCCAGTGCTTTCTCAGCTGAATAATACTGGAAGTTGTAGGACTTTTATCCGTCCGAGCATTATAAGATGCCGCCTTTAATGAACCTCTGCTGTCTTTTCGGCGCCTGCCAACGCATCCGGCTCTGTCTCACTAACACGACCCGCGTAGCCTTTTCCCTTTATAGCCTTAACAGCGGTTGTTTCGAGCCCTTAAGAGGGATACAAAGAGGTTCAGAATGACAAACAATTTGAAAAAATATGTATATATTTATGTCCGAGATATCTATCCCGTGATTGAAACGCCTGTTCTTCACTGTTAGAAATCACTCCAAGAAGCAGGAGATCGGAAGTGCCAAAGGGAGGCTTAGAGGCGATGGCGAGTCGCGAGAGAGAAGCAAAAGCATACGAGTAGTGCGCTATCGTATTCTTATTGGACACTCCCGTCCCAAAGGTGCATAAGGTTTTCACCGCGGATCTGCAAAAATAAAGAGCACACGGCAACCGGGCAATCATGGGTATCGATTTTTTTAGCGGAAGGTCCGACTGTATATCACCATAGCGTTTCTCCCCCTCCCTATGACCTTCCTGGCTTAGCAATGGCGGAAATAAGGACCATTCGGAACCGGAAATGGTAGAAGTTTGGGAGGCGGTGGCGGCGGCCCAGGCAGATCCTTCGCCGCCGTCGGTCACGTGGAGGTGGCGCGGAAGCTTCTCGCCTCATCCCTCCTCCTGGCGGAGCCCGGCGCGGCGGCAGCATGGCGGACACGGCCTCTCAGGTGCTGCTGGGCTCTGGCCTCACTATACTCTCTCAGCCGCTCATGTACGTGAAGGTGCTAGTGCAGGTGAGATCTTTAGCCTCGGCAGGCTTTCCTGCTGTGGGAGAACGTGAAGATGGGGACACCCGCGGTGGGGGGGCATCAGAATGACCCAGGTGGCCGCTCCCTCTTCCTTTCCTGTTGTCAGTTTGCCCCTCTGCCAGAAGCCTGTCATGACACCACCTCTCTCTTGCCGCGCACACGGGAGCAGCATCTGGCCGTATGTGCCGTGGGCTCACCCTTCGCTTGTTATCTGCGGCCCTGATCTGCTTTCTTTCCGTGGGGTGGCCTCCACTTGTCCCTGTCCCACCGCCCGGCAGAGGCAGGAAAGCCGCAGATGTGAACGCAGACCGTGCTTCCTCATTTCCACCTTCTCCCACTTCCATCCGAACGACCGCCATAACCTGGCACGCACCGATCACAAAAGCAAACTATTGCGGTACCTGAAAACACAGAAAGAGGCCTCTCTGGGCGGCAGCACCAGTCACTGCGGCCAATTGTTGCAACTGTTTAATTTTCTCTTAAGAAACATGCTTTGAGTTGGATGGAGAGTGAAGTCTTCCCCCGTGTAAAATTTCAGTCCTGTTCTGGTAGAAGACTGGGCAAGAGTCCTTCGGTCCTTTGCAGAGGTCCCCCCTTTTGTAAAAAGAATGTTTTCTCTTGGGTTTTGCTGTTATCAGACATTCTGCCAACTGCTTATCACACTCACATGCCATCCTGCCACAGATGCTTGTGGATCTGCACTCCGTCTTTGAGCTTTTGCACATGAGTTTGTAACGCTGCCATTTTACCTTGCTGTGACAGTTCAAGGAAATTCTGGCGTGGCGGTAGCAACAGTCATGCAAGAAACAGCAGTGATCCACTGCATCCAGGGGGCTTCCAGAACCCCCAGTTCCACAGTGGCAGCCATAGCGATTGAGCGCTAGCAGGGGGATTTGTAGACGGTGCCGGTAACACCACAGAGTCAAAACCATCTCCAAGATGCTGCGCTTCTCTCGTTTGCTGCCTTTGCTATGTCCATATTCCTGGAAGAACAGAACTGCCAATACTAGCCACAGAGCAATCCTCATTGCAGAAGCCAGTCCTAATTGTAACAGGTTTCAAACTGGATTGCCTACTCAGATATTTTATTCTGAGTTTGGCTGCTTTCTAAAATCCCAATCAGTTTACTCTGCTGGCTTTATGTGCATCTCTTATTCAAATCAGCCCCCTTCTCATTTTTATTGGTAGTGCCTGGGACACACCCACTAGTTCCAGACTGCAAAAGTTTCTTTATATAGTATCTCTGGCTGCATGTTGCTTTTGGCCAGTTGTGGCTTCTTGCTCAAATCCTCATTGGTTGAAAAGAGTAGCTGCAGAGAAACAAGAATGTGCCTGTACAAGAATTTAACAACCCCGGCATTTTTAGGATTTCATCTTCTAATCACAAATGGAGGTTTGGGAAAGATATTTGCATTTTCAGAGTGTAAATATACAAATCTCTGTAATATGATGGTTCATATTTAAGGTCAAAGAGCAGTTCTGAAGCTAGCTTTTATTAACTATCTATATGTTAGCTGTACCAAGAACGAGACAGGAGCTGTGTGATGGGCTATCTGTCTCAACAATAATGTTGTCTATCTCTAACTGGGGAAATTGGATTAATAAAAATTAATGTTCAGTGTGCCTATAAAACTTTCAGCTGAACAACAGATTTTCCTGATAATACAAATCACAAACTATGGAAAGTCTGGCAAGGTCTACTCTGGTCAATCAGTGATTCACCTTATACAAAGCAGAGTTGTTCCATATTAGGAGAGCTGCACCCACATTTATTGTGTTAATCACAACAAATCCTAACTCCAGACACAGCCAGGTCACATAAAGGGAAAATTTCTTTTAAATAAAGTTACCAGTACAGTGCAGGGAAGAGGGAAGTCCTTGAAGAGAAAAAAGGGCAATGGGCTGGGTATGTAGATTTGTTTGCACTGCAATTCTAATTTTCTTGTATATCACTAAAAGATGGTCCTTGGTAGGTGTCCAGGATCCCTATAAATCTTTCTGCTGAACTCTGATTCCCATGATACTGAGTGAGTTGCAAACTATAAATAGAGTGACTTTAAGCATTTCAAAGTTGCAGTTAGGGTAGAAACTCAGGTTTCTTTTTTGATTAAACGTATATCTGTGGGCTAATTGAATAGCTGTATTAACACCACTAGTGGGTGTTGGAACCATTCCTTAAGGTGTTTTTCACTTTGTAGAGGTTGCTGCAGATTGTCTCTTTATTTTGAAGGTGGGATATGAACCCCTCCCTCCAACTCTGGGAAGAAATATTTTTGGGCGACAGGTCTATCATCTTCCTGGCCTCTTTGCTTATGGTGAGTGTAAAATAGATAAATTTAGCAAATGAGCCAGAAAGAGCCTAAAGCAGGACTGGGTTGCTGTAATGACTGTACTGTGCTTGGCAGCCCATGTCTTTGGAGTCAAGTTGTCATGTGTTGTTGGTTCTGCTAGAGAGTCTTCAACTTTTAAAGTGTGCCAGTGATATTATTTAGCTAAAGTGGTTGGTATCTGATACAGAGATTTAAAAGAAGTGCCAGAACTGTAGACAGGGTTCCTGGCTTCTGAATTCTCTCTCATAAGCCAAAGCTTTAATCCTAGAGATGAGTCATATTTGGACATTTGAGTCTCTTGCTGTGGCCTCCAACCCTTCCAAGCATCACATCTATGATTTGGACTGTACATGCATGTGCATGTCTCAGCAGTGTCACATTTCATCCTCCAGGTTGAGTGGTAACATTATTGACACTGGGCTGTATTTCAAACACCTTTGCTCAAAGTAATGATTTCTAGCTTTGGCTCTGTAGTTCTTGTTCCCACAGAGGATGGTGGAGTCTAGTAAAGGCAACTGGGGTGCTGGTGAATGTTGACATTATTTGGGGGTCTAATCCAGTGTGCGGGACTGCAGGTGGCGCAGTGGTTTAAACCGCTGAGCTGCTGGGCTGGTTGATTGAAAGCTTCCCGGTTCTAATCTGCACAACGGGGTGAGTTCCCGTTGCTCCGTCCCAGCTCCTGCCAACCTTGCAGTTCGAAAGCATGCAAATGCAAGTAGATAAAAAGGTACCACTTTGGTGGGCAGGTAACAGCGTTCCGTGCACTTCGGTGTTTAGTCATGCCGGCCACATGGCCACGGAGACTGTCTGCGGACAAACGCTGGCTCCCTCGGCTAGGAAACGGAGATGAGCACCACCCCCTAGAGTCAGGCATGACTGGATGTAAAGTCAAGGGGAAACCTTTACCTTTAATCCAGTGTGCAGTTAAGCATGCCGAGATCAGTGGGAGATGAATCCTCTTTACTGTGCACTAGATTGAGTCTCCAGCTGTGCACACTGACCTTTGGTACTGAAGTTTCTAACTTGGCATTAGGCCTGGGCTTCTTTAATATGGCATAGCCTAAGTTTGAAATAGTGTTACAAGATGACATTATTTTGCTGGGATTTCTTCTAGGCAGGGATGCTGGGGAAATGTGAAGGACATCTTGATACCTATGTTAACTTCTGTTTTCAGCTAAACACATTATGAAGATTGATGGAAGGGCTGGCCTCTTCAAAGGTTTGGCTCCTAGGCTCTGCTCAGGAGCCATTGGCACTGTGGTGCACAGCAAAGTGTTACAGGTACTTTGTAATTTTGTCATGTAGCAATTTTAGTATGCAAAGCAGTCTTTATCTTGTGACATAAAGATACAGTCTTTTTATTGTGACATATGCTGCTCCTTTCTGAGTTCTGCTGATAAGATGTTAGCAGCTTTCAAATAGCAGAAATGGTCAGTAAAAGCCAAGAAGTATAAAGATTTGATGAATGTATCAAAATTAGTTCATATTCCTGAGAATTATATGTACTTTTATATACAAATGGATGATGTTTAGCTTTCATATATGTAATTTTAAAAACTAACTCATTTTACTGCTAGAACCTTAATGAAATGGGTTGTTGCTTTCACTCGGCTCCTTTGCTTGTTTACTTAGGAGTAAGCCGGGGCCTGGACATTTTGACAGGCTCTCGTAGCCAAAATTTACGGTGGCTAGAACCTTGCCATCTTTTAATGAGCAAAGGATGTGGGCTTTCCACTCAAGGCATGTTGAGCTTTGGCAAGGCTTGGCGCCACATGCAAAGGACATTTCTCTGCTGTTCCACCCACACCACATCCTGTTCCTATGATAAGTATGGTGAGCGCATACATGGCTGCCTAGGAATAAGCCTGTTAAGCATTTTGGGCTGGTTCACATGTATTGCCAAACCATAAACTTCATGCTTCTTCCCATATGTTGTGTTGGGCATCTTGTGGCCTTCTAAATGTTTTGGTCTACAACCTTCATGGTCCTTTAATATTGGCTGTGCTAGGTAGGTAGGGCTGATGGACGTTGTAGGCCAGAACATTTGGAAAGCCACAAACGGCTCACCCATGCATTCCCGTTCAACAAATTGCTCTTCTTTAGCAGAATGCATATTTGCTGTTACATCCAAATTAGCAAGTTATGGCTTGTATTCTCCCTTCAAACCAGGATTGCAAACTACAGGTCAATGCCTTGAAGCATGAAGCTTGTTCTCATAGCACTGAAACATGGTTTGGTGTGAATAGAGCAAATGGCACTCCCAGATAAATATGTGTGTTATAAAGACTGCTGATTAGGTCCTTTTTGGCTGCTGCCAGCTCTTACCTATTCATTCTGAATATGATCATGAAGCAGTTTCATGCTTTTAGCAATATAGTTACGCCGTTGGCATCAAAGTGGCATATTCATAGGTTGCATAATTTTGATCTAAATTTAGTTTCGGCTTTTCTGTGGCCTGCCTGGATTGTTGCTGTGGCTAGTGTGTTAGGGCAACCTGTAAGTAGCAGTTTCAGATCTATAAGCCTGTTGCTCTACTTTTAGTTATACAGAAGACCTGCAGGCTGGCTGGGGAATGCTGGGAGTTGTAGGATTTTTTTTTCTGTCTAAGCATGCATGGGATTGTGCCTTTAGTTATGCTGGCTTTGGAACTCTTTCACAGTTGACAAACATGGTTTTCAGTAATGAAGTTGTGCAGAATCAAATGTCATCTACAGGCCCCTCAGCAGTGGTGTTAGGCCAGAATGCATTTTGGCCAACCACTGAGAATACAAGGTGCAAAGGATTGTACGGTAGTGTGCAAGTGTTTAAAAGTATATAAGTGTTAGCTTTGTAAAGCAAGCATTTGCATTTAGTACAAGAGGTCACACACACCTTCTGGTTAGAAATAATCCAAGTGACAAGCCAAAGAAATTTTTGAGGCAGATCCCAGATTGTGTGGTTGTTCGCCAGAGACTCTGATAATGTTTAGAAAGTACAGCCAGCTTATTTGGCCTGTTTTCCTACTTTTCTAGTATGTTTAAGGAAAGCAACATTTCTAAATTCAAGAGTGTAGGTGTGAGTTCTCAAGAAAAGGCAGGCAGGGTCATTCCATTTGCATTGCTTCTGCTAACCAACTTTCTGTTATGTTTGGGGTCAGAGTTGGAGTAGGCTTAGAAAATGTGCCTAGATTTGGGAGCTTTTTCAACAGCTCAAATTTGTAAGACTTCAGTGCAAGCACTTAAATAATTATGTTCTCCATCCTGTGCACATTTACACAGAAAAACACCCCACAGCTCCCAGTGTGGCTGGTTGAGGGATGCTGGGAGTTGTAGGACACTCTTCTATCTAAGCATGCCTCGGATTGCACCTTAAGGCACTCTTCCTAAGGCAAGTAAACAAGGATTCTGAAAACAGAATTTTTTAATGTAAAGATGCCTATAGAGCCGAAAACTTGTGAGTGGAGAAGGGCCCATGGTTTAGAACTGGAAAATCCTTGCCTGAAACCCTGGAGAGATGCCACCAATTTTTGTGAACAATATTGGGCTAGGTAGATCAGTGAACTGATCTTCATATGGTAGCTTAATGTGTCCCACTGAGAACTCCTGGCTAATGTAGCTGAGTCAGAGCCAACCTAAGTGAGAGGAAATTCTTTTCCAGTCCTCAAATAGAGAGACCAGGCTGTGCTTGTGAAACAGATGCTGTACTTGCACCCCCTAGAAAGTGCTATCTCAAAGATTTGCATTCAGACGCCGTTTGTGTGTTCCTCTGAAGTTGCATAGGCTGTGCATGGTCTTTGCCGCATTGGTGCCATCAGCGTGCCTGCTCCCTTCTAGAGCTTCATAAGCAAAAATAGAGCGGTCCCTGCCCCAACGTGCCTTTCGATCTAAGCTTCCAAAAAGGGAAACAGAGTCAAGGTGGGAAAGGCAAGACTGGGAGTAAAGAAGGAATGCAAATGCAATTACAAAAGCTTATTGCTTGGCAGCAGTTAGGAATGAAGGTGAAGGGGATACATCCTGGGCTCACACTTTGCTGTTTTCTTTCTCTCTAGAAATGCCAGGAAGCTGACCAAGTTGAGGTATGTTGCTGCTGGCTTCCTGCACAAATTGCTTTGTCCTTTCCCTGCCTGGTTGATTTCTCCTTTTGGGGATGATCTGTGGTCTGTGCTTTACAGTATATGGGGTAGTGCACCTTGTGACAGGTGGGAGGGTATACAGAGTATCTTCTACTCAGAATTAGGGAAATGAAACCTGTTGGGATAACAGGATGCCTTGTACAGAGGCACTAGAAATACTGTCATCTCCTGAAGCTGTCTTGTTTTTTTTTTCCCTTCACTCCAGGAACCAGGGAACAGTCGCAAGGAGTCTGGGTCCTCCCTGGATCAAGTTATCAAAGAGGTTAAGCTGTGGGGTTCCTTTGCCATGGGATGGGTTAGGTGTGGATAGGACTTCTCACTCCTGGAAGCAGAGCATGTGATGTGATGGCCTGTTCACTCACAGCACGAATCCTGCCCAGCTAGGCAGACATCATAGTAGATGCTGTGACCATAGCAGATACTGTGGCCTTCCTTGGGTAGCTGTAATGTGTGAACATCTCTCTCCAGCATTTTGCTTTGCAACACTGGACTGCTAGAGTGCCCACTTTTGGAGCAGGGACACATTATGTCACGGGGTGGGGTGGGGTGGGGTGCATCCCATCTCTCTGCAGCTCTGATGTGGGGCATAATGTGACATGATGCGGCCCTCCAGCAGCATGTGGAGCAGGTTTTGCCTTTACTGTAATGCTGTCCCGGCAGTAGTCATTCATTTGCCTTTCCCCCATGTGAGGGAACACCGCCGGGCGGAATGCAGAACCTGCTCCTGCAACCATGGTTGACCCTGACATGGGGCTGCAAGCAGGCTCAGCTCTTCTTATGGGTGTCCCATGTGGGAGCCTGTTGACTTTGTCCCATAGCACTAAATGGAGGGCATGGAAATGGGCTTTTGGCATGAAACATTGCGACCTGATGAGATTGTGCCAAACCCTCTCCCCCAGAGCACTCCCAGACTACTTTTGCTCACGGAGTATCCCTTACCCTCTGCTTAGTTTGTAGAGCTGGTTTATGAGTTCTGAAATACCAAATCCTGCTTTGTTAGTTCTCTGGAACAGAAGTACTAGCAGTTCTTTTCCCAGAAGGGGGAAGGAGAGTTGTGCCAGTGCAGCTTAGAATTGATGGTGGCCCATCATTTGGCAGCACAGTACTTGAAGCAAGCTGCATTCACAAGTCTTGAAGAGGAGCTAATGTCCAGTCATAGCATCCCTCGTACTATAGAGGTCAGGCTGCTAACAGGACGCTTTCTGAGATGCGTTGATGAGTAGCAGCAATACACTGGGGACAACTATGCCTAGTTGGATGATAGAGCCAGGCTCTGTCCCTGAATAAGTCATAGCCTGCTGTACTATGTCACTTCTTTTGAAACTGGCTTTATTCTATAAGCAGATTGTAGCAATTTTAATTATGGACTCACTAAAAAACGTGCAGCTCTTCAGCATGTATGCTCAAAATATGAGCCAGTGTGCTGGAGTGACTAAGAGCACAGGACTGGAACTCAGATGATCTGGGTTCTAGTCCTCACTCAGCCATGGAGCCAACTGGAGGCTTTGGGCCAGTCACAGCCCAACCTACCTCGCAGGGTTGTTGTGAGGATAAGACTAAGAGCAGGAGGAGAAGAATGATGTAAGCTGCTTTGAGTTCTTTGTAAGGAAAAAAGCAAGATATAAATCTAATAAATAAATTGTAATTCACACTGAACAGCAAGCATTAAGTCCTTTCATGGAACCTGTTCATGGGGCGGGCGAGAGGAGGGGGCATGTGCTGTCCCTTTCCTTGGCCAGCCTTTCCGCTGCTGATGTTTCTGCAATTGCTTTTCTTCTTAGACCTCTCAAGAGATGATTGCACGCTCTGCTGCTGCGCTAATCACCCACCCATTTCATGGTACGTTTGGACTGGTGCCATTTTGGTCACCACCAGCACTTGTCCCTAAACTGTAAGGGCCCCTTAAGGTCATCAGCAGTGCTTTGAACTGGCCCGGAAATGATTTGGGAGCCAGTGCAGCTGCTTCAACTTGCTTCCCATATGCTGCCCCTGTTGATGGCTGGGCCTCTGCCCCCTGGACAGACTGCAGCCCTTTGTTGAGCACTTCACCGTAATCCAGACACCATGTAACTGAAATAAGCAACTTGTGGCCCAGCAGATCTATTGGCCTACAACTCCCATCAGCCCTATCCTGCTAGTAGGGAGGGGTGATGGGAGCTGTGGCCCTGCAGATATTTTGGCCCAGAAGTTGGCCATCCTTAAACTAAGGAATGTGCCACCTGGCCAAGTCTGCAGTCTTTAGGTACAGGCCTAGTGGGCACACCAGCCTTAGTTTGGCAAAGATGCTCCTGGCCATAACCAATACCTGGGCATCCAAGGTTAGAGCTGGGTCTAAAGGATTCCCAAACTGTGATCCCACATTCGCAATTTCAGCCAGTGCTGAACCCCCATTTCCAGCTCAGCTTTACTAACCAGGAGCATTTTGGTCATGGCTGGATTCAACTTCAGCTGAATGGTGGCTTAGACTCCTGGAGTGATACGTTTCTGAACCAACCTGAGTGGGGAGAAGGTCGCCCTTGCTGATTTTCTTTTCCTTTTGGCTTTGTCCTTCAGTGATCACGTTGAGATGTATGGTGCAGTTCATTGGCAGGGAGACCAAGTACAGGTATGTGCGGCTCTTGAGGCAGCTTCAGTGGGGCTTTAGCCTGCAAAGCTAGATCTGGGAGAACTCAAAAGAGGCCAGGAAGCAAGTAGTGTGAGACAGAAGCTCCTGTCCTCTTTTTTGTAGTTGGCTCTGAAGGAAGAATTACTTGCTCTGTAATTTCCCAGAGTAACTTGATGGGTTTCTTTTCCAATTTTCAGCGGCGTGCTTAGCTCCTTTGTCACCATTTACCGGGAAGAGGGCATCCTTGGATTTTTTGCGTGAGTACTAGCGAGGGGGCTTGGCCTGCCCTTTGTACGTGCCATGGTGGTTGTTGCAGGGTTGAGCTGGGTTTTGCAGAGAGAGCTCACAGAAGGAAGACTGTTGGCTTGTGAATATCAGCTGAACAGAGCAGGCAGTGGGAACAGCAGGGGCAGGCAGGTGCCTTTATATTGTGGGCTGTTGAAGATACCTGCTTGGCCACGATGGGAGACGGGTGGTTAGGCTTGATGAAGCTTTGGCCCACTCTAGCAGGGCTCTTCTCAAGTAAGCCCCTGCCCAGAATGGGTGGTGAAAATGAGAGCAACCTTCTGAGACTGAGCGTGTGCTTTGCAAAATGTTGGCCAGTCTCCCATTCCCTGGGCACAGCCAGACTGCCACTGCTGCGCAGAGGAATTAGGCAGGTTGGGGAGCGGGTAGGGGTACGGGTAGCCCTTTCCCCAGGCAGCCTGCTGCCTTTTCACTTGCTGGCTGTTCTCTTCCAGGGGCCTCGTTCCCCGCCTGCTTGGGGACATCCTGTCCTTGTGGCTGTGTAACATGCTGGCCTACCTCATCAACACCTATGCACTGGAGAATGGGGTGAGTATGCTACTTGCAGTGTGGTTAGGCTGGGGTTTGGACTGGTGTGAGCAGTTCATTCCCTTCGTATTGGTCAGCTTGGCAGGCCTCTTACTGCTGCAGGATCCTCCCAAGCCTCTGTCCAGGAGAGCAGGGCTCTGCACCTTTAGGGACCCATGGGCAGCTTTAGGACTTTGTTGCTATGGGCGGCACTACAAAATGGCTCCTGTGGAGAATGTGGCTAATCAGGAAAGGCGGCCGTAGGGGCCTGGCTGCTCAAAAGAGGGGCAGGGAGAGGAATGGCAAGGCTATATGTAATTGCTTGATAATTGTATTTTCATATACAGGCACTTCATGTGTATTAATTGCTATGGATATATACAAATACATAAAAAACAGGATTTTTAAAAGCTGCTGCAGATACCCACAGATTGTATGTTGGGGACGCCTTCCTGGGTACCATTGGAGAACTCGATGTGCCCTCTGTGGAGGAACCCTGAGGCAGAGTGCCTTGTTGTCCGCAACTTAATGCAATTGCATATTGCTACCTCAGGCAGGCCTAGAATTTCTTAGAACCCTAAAGTTGGAAATGCCTGCTAGTAATGGAGGAAGAGGTTTCTATTAACTCAATTCTATTCTTCCCAGGTCTCTACCATGTCTGAGATGAAGAGTTATTCTCAGGCTGTCACTGGAGTGAGTGTGCAATCCTTTTCTACTTCCTTGGATAGCATGTGGGAGGGGGGAAGTGTCTTAAAAAGATGGCCATAAGTGTGCAAACTCACTTTCATATTTCTGATCTTGCACTCGGGCATGCTACTGGGCCTCACAGAAGGAAGACTAGCTTCTAAAAATGTCCTGTACAAAAGGCACCACCAGTCTTTAGATTTTGCAGCTTCTATCCAATTTTGGGAAGCCTTTACTGCTTGTCAGCAAGATCTGTCTAGTGCTGAGTACTTGTCAGGTGCTGTTGGAGCCTGAGCTGAACAATTGCCAGCCCCTTCCTTATGTCTGTTTCTTGCTCAGTGGAGTTTCAAACCAAGATCAGCATTGCCACTGGAAGCATATTACTAAATGTTAGTGTCCTATGGACCTGATTTTCTCCAGCAGAGGACATGCTCCTTATGACAAATTCCTGTTGAATTTAGTGTAAATTGTAAAAGGGTCTGCCATTAAGTGTCCTTCAGCCTGGTGGAGCATGAGGGAGAAATTTGGGGTACTTTTCCAGTGGTAAATCTCATTGTATTGTCACTTACAGTTCTTTGCCAGTATGCTGACTTACCCCTTCGTACTTGTCTCAAACCTGATGGCCATTAATAACTGTGGGTAAGTGTAGAGACAGTATCTTTTTTTAACTTGACTCTTGATTGCATGTTTTTAAACACACTGTGCAGTCTTAGGTGACCTTTGTTTTTCAGGCCTTTTTCCTTCATAAGGCGATGAGAGGTTTGAGCGGTGTGCTGCATCCTGCAACTGTTCTTTCCATATTTCCAGCAGCTGCTCTCAAGAGGTTTTGTGCCACAGCCCACAGAGCGGGAAAATAATGCCTCTTTTTAGGCAATATTTGGACTGTTTTCCTAGAATAACTCTTAAGGTTTTAATTTAAAAGCACGGTGGTCAAGAACCACCCTGTTGCTGCGCCCTGCCTGTATCCAAAATAGTTGTGGCTGAGCAAAGCACTTTAAAATATGTGAACCCGCAAGATTCAGTGCCTAGTGGCTTTGAATTTTGTGGGTAATTGCAAAGGCAGTAAACCTTTATGAATTCATGTGAATACTGAAGTCTTCTCCATGTACAGGAGTCAGGATGTTGAAATCTGAATCTTGTCTAAATTTCTTGAGATAATTCTTAATCCAGAAATAATCACAGTCTGAAATAACAGTGTCTGGCTTCCTGCTGTGATCCCCGCATTGCTACTATAATACTCCAGGCAAAAAGGCAAATCAGTGAACTGCCTCATGAAAGAATTCTGCAGGATCAGAACTTAAGTCCACCAGGACTGTCATTCTCTTTCCAGCCATGGCTAGTCTGTTCCCCAGAGCCAACTCACAAGAAGACCACGAACGCAAGTCTGCCCCCCATCTTTGGTCTCTAGTCTGTGGTAGTCAGAGCCTGACCCTACACATGGGGGATTCCATTGAGCTACTGACATCTAAGTCAGCCCTGTTAGGTTCAGTGGGACATCTGGTTATTCTTGGGTAAATGTGTACGGCCTCAGCCCATTCTGCCTTGTATAAAGAAGCATTTCAGTTTGTTAGTTTGGAAGGTACTGCCAATCAGTTTCATTGTGGCATATCACACACAGCCATGCCTTACTATTAATGAGAGGGGAATAAAGGTTTCTCCCTTTATCCACTTTCCCTGTGGCACCCATAGTCTTATAAACCTCTGCACCTCCTTTTAGTGATCATTCCCTCCACAGAAAGAGTTTGGTTTCTTAGATCTGCCTCCTCCACCTCTGGGCATGCGTATCGGTTGTCTGAATGTTCTGTCTTGCACAAGACAGCTGAAGGTTGGCTATGCGCCTGAGATGTTGGTATGCATGGGGTTTTTATACCTAGAAGGATTGGGCCCTTGTGTTGTGCCACCTGACTGAAGCCATCTTCTTAAAAACAAAAAAGTTCCACCTGATTCCCTTTTGGAGGAGAGTGGTCGCTCAGAAAGTTGCACCTGGGTTGCTGTTTTGCAAGGGACTGAGAGGGCAGAAAGCTGCTCCAGAGCATACTGCTCAGTTGGGGTGTTGTATTATTTATTTACTGAATGTGTATAAAGGCCACCTGCTAGCATCTTGCTCTCTGGACTGCCATTACAATTCTACCAGTGTTACTAATGAGCCGTTTCAATGCTGTCTCGTCTTCTGCTGTTTTCCAGGCTTGCTGGTGGCCTCCCCCCTTACAGTCCAACTTACTCCTCCTGGTTGAACTGCTGGAGCCAGCTGCATGGGGAGGTATGTCTGAATTGTCCGTCCGTCCTTAGCAGTCCATGGCATGTTGGCTTAGACATGGGGGTGGGGGGAATAACTGAGTATGCAGAGCCCCTCCCTCCTTTGCATTCTAAGAGTGCTCCCCCAGGGGCTCTGACCCTTGGGCCTCCCAGCCTCTCAAGCAAGAAATCCAGCGGCGGTGACCCGGTTGGCACAACATGCCAGGGGCATCACAGATTGCTTAACTTACAGTGAGCTGCAGTGCATGCCAGGCAGCAGTTTGACTATGCAGCCCCTGCTCAAGTGTTGCGATGTCATGCAAACCCAGCCACCAAGGGTTGTTTGAGAGTGAAACAACCCTTGCACAACACATAGTATGTTGTCAGGTTCTGCAAAGGTTCCTTATGGATTAAATGGCCCTTGTCAGGGTTTGCACAACCCCAGAGCAGGGGCAGCATATTCAGAATTGTTGATCTGTATATCCTGCAGCTCACTGCAGGTTGTTAAACCCCCCCTGACCCCAGTATTCTTATTCACACGTGCCCATAATGCAGCTTGGACTGCCCTCCTCTCTTCTGCACGCCTTCCACTGCCAATATTTTAGAGCAGCCTTCCCCAGTCCAGTGGCCTACAGATGGTTTTGATGACAAGTCCTTGGATTCCTGACCATTGGCTATGCTGGCTGGGGCTGATGGGAGTTGTAGTCCAAAACATCCAGAGGGCACCGGGATACCTCCTCCTTGTGTAGAGGGTCTTGGGATTGGGTCTTTCCCTTTCACAATTCTGCCCTCAGAAATTCTGTCCCCTAGTTGGAGAAATTGTCTAAAGCAGGCGTAGAAACAGGGCTGATTCAAATGTGCCCGAGATGTTGCAGTACATCACTCCTGACCTGGCTCTCCAGCCCAGGATTTGCACTGTGGGGAAAGGGTTCCCTCTGTAGCACTGCTTCGCCTAGTCTCCTTCCTGCCATCCAAGCTTTACTTGCAGGCTGGAAGAGGCCTTTGTATTACGGAAGTGGCTCATTATGTGGATTCTGAGCTGGCATAGTCCTTCTGCATTTGGATGTGTGGCATCTTTCAGGATGCAGACTGAATCCAATTTTGGAAAAACTCTCAGGGTGGTTTCATGCTGGTAGTGGGTGGGACTGAAGGCAAATGGGGTGGAGCCAGAATGTTGGTTTATTTTGGCTTATGATTTTTACTTGGGCATTTCAACATTTTAGGGAGGATAGGAGGAGATGCACAAAAGTGAAGAAACCTTCAATGATCAGCATTCACGGAGGAAACAGGGTAGGGCTGGAGAACAGGTCATGGTTCTCTGGAGAAGCCTAGAGTGCTAGATTTGGCCCCAGACCTAAGTAAGGTTTCCAGCTGCCATTCTACAGGATTGTGCTGTATCAGTTTCCCCATCTTCAGATCTTCTTTAATGTCCTACAGCTTCTGCAGACCAGCAGGGGCTAATGGGACTTGGAAGCATCACTGATGGGTTTCAACATGCTATAGAACATGTTTTGTGGATGCTAAAGCCCTGAAACTGGTGGGCCCCTCTGGGCTCAGCGTCTCATTCATACCAAGCTCCTTCATTTGCTTCCTTTTTTCACTTCTTCAGGGCAACATGAGCCGAGGGAACAGTCTGTTTTTCCGGAAGGTGCCTGCAGGGAAGCGGTATGTGTGGGAGGAGAAGATATTTCACTGAGTCTTGGGCCTCTTGTGGCTGTTCCAGATGCACAGAATGATGGCCGTGTGTTGATTTCTATACAGTTTTTTACAAAATAATCATTTAATCTTGGGAAATGGACCTGGCTGTGAGCATGACTTAATGGCAGATGTTTGAAGGGCAGTGTCTTCCGTCTCTCATATCAGTGGAGGGAGGCTGGGGCAATCCATGTGGAGAAACTGCCATGCTTGTCCAGGGATGGCTTATTCTGGTAGCAGTGTTGACACTTCCAACCTCCCCCAGAGGGCAAAGGTGTTTGTTTTATTGGGAATTCGCCTTTCTCCACTTTCTACCTTCCGCTGGGATCGAATCAAACTAGGACAACTGTGGACTGGTGACAAAGCAGAATCTTTTCTGGGATACGGAGGCTGCCTGTGGGGCTGGGGAGTGACATTTTACTTGGAGCTACCAAATTAATTTTCCCCTGGACAAGCTATTTTTCAGCCTTTGCCCATTCAAATGTATCACTGAACTCAGTTCTTGGGAAGCCGAGAAGAAAAATGTTAATCCTGCCTGGCTCTGCAGGGAGTGAAGTTTTAGCAAGGCTGCTGTGGGCAAACCAAGCATGTATCCTGCCCCAATGTGCCCAAGGGATGGCCACTGCGTAGTCATTCTGTGAGGCCGTGGCATGGGGAGGTGTTCCTCTGCAGCTGCCGATCATGTGGAGAAGGCAAGCTCTCCCACTAAGCATCCAAACATTCGAGCCAGAAGGTTAATTATCCAGGGGAGAAAATTGGCCAGCCCTGGCCCACTGTGAGGTGCTGCACACAAACAGCTCCCTCATGGCGACACCTCTGAGCTAAATCGATTCTGTCCGACCGTAGCAATGTGTAACTCACACCTTAGTCACAAAGATGCCTCGGCACCGCAGATGCAAGCCTCACCTGAGTGTCACCTATTAGGAAGAGCTGCAGAAGTTCTGAGGAAGCAGTTGTCTTCTGAAGTGGCTCTTCTGACCGAGTGCTGCAGGTGGTAAAGAGAGTCCCTTGTACACAAGGGGCTCGAGAAGAAATGTGGTCTCCTTATGTTTGAGTTTGGCAAAACAGCCACTTGAAACCACGATTGTGAAACCACTGGCAGTGTACAATGTGATGGGTTGATTCAGTATGCTGTTAGGAAAAGTCTATTAGCATCCTTTATGTTAACAAAGTTGTACAGTGTAACAGGAGAACAGAATTGATTTAGACTTGTGTTACAGTCCTGCCAGCCAGCTAATGAAGAAGAGCTTGAAGTTTACCCTGTATCCTCAGTAATGTGCAATCCACATTGTCTGTTTGGCTTCCAAGTTCTTGTACCTCCTACAAGAAGGCCTTCTTTTTAATAGCTCTTCCGACATGATTTTTGTTAATGAGGACTTTCTGTGTGCTAGCATGCTAATTTCTTTTAAGAAGAGTTTGAGTTTTGTGGCAGCTAAAGATTGTTGTCTGCCATATTCATCCACTGCCTTTAGGCCTCTTTCTCTCAGATGGGTTTGAGAAAAGGAATGATTTCCGGGGAGATTAATGGAGCAAATCACACTAGCATGTGACCAAATGGAGGTAAATTGAGTGGGCAGTTTATGGGGCTGCACCCCCTGTCCCTTCCCCAATGGAAGTGTCTGCCACCACAATCCCATCAAGTTGACGGAAGCCTGATTTGCTAGAAAATGGCATGTGCTTCCTGCAACATTTTAGTAGTGGGGCTCAGGGCCCTGTGCACAAAGTGATGGTGGGCTACACGTGACCCATGTGTTTCCCACTCCTGCTGGAAATGAGCACATGCAAACACAGCTTGTAAGGCTGTGGTGCACAAGCAGGAGTACAGATGCAAATACGCATGTAGTGCACTGGCAGGACTACTCATTGGTACACTCAAGTGAACGTAGTACAGAGAATTCCCCATGAGTGCTGTGACCACAAACATCTGTGTTCTATTCCAGGAAATTCCAACAACATAAAAGGAACCTCAAGTGTGTTTTCCAACCCTAGTAATAAGTCCTCTTTTTTGGCTCTTAGAAAAGCCAAATGTATGGTTTTTAATGCCCCGGATAATACTGTATAGTTGCTCTACCATAACTACTTTATTCTAGACATCAGTAAGGTTTATTTGAATAATTATTTTCTTGCAGTGATGAGAGATGGGCCCCCACTAGTGGTCCTTATGGGATCCTGTAAGGTGCTGTCTTTGTATTGAATAGTAGAAATTATGTATCACCATCTGCTGGTTTTTCAAGCCAATAATTGTGCATTTTACGAATGTAGAAAGTACCATGTACTTCCGTTGGAAATCTGTGGTGTTGAAAAAGTCAACTATTGTATAGTGCATATGTTAACAGTCATTTGCATCAATCATATTTGGACTGTCCAAATATTGTTTCATTTAAGGTACTGTTCACAGACAGGCATGATTTTTTTTCAAGCACTTCACTGAGTTTCCGTGAACGAACACAAAAGGATGGTAAGCGATGCAGTGTCTGGGCACGTGTAAAGGAGCTGCGTTCTTGGATGGTCAAGCAGAGGCTACTGACTCATCAGGCACTCCCAGTAGCATTTCTTCTGTTGTTCAATTACCTGTGAAGCTGAAGTCTAGGTTTTGGTAGCTGGAGGGGTGGGGTGGGGTGGGGGTGGCTTAGACCAGACTTAGGCTGTTGAAAAGCCGCCTGTGGACAGAAATGTGCTGCAGTGAGCCTGTAGATGCAGGGGCTCTGGAACACCACAGTCCGGGGTGTTCTTAGTGGTCAGGTGTTTGAGGAACCTGTCACTGCTGGGGCAGGCAGGCTGTAGAGCAGAAAGCAGGTAGTAAAGTGGGCTCCAAGGCACTGCCTAGTCCTCTCCATGGGTGTCTTCTTGTCCAGAACATTACCCTGCACTGAGTCATCCATTCTCTGTCGTGTTGGCTGATGCTGCTATCACAATCTGAATGGAGGCTTTGCTACAGTGAGCTGGCTTGGCTGAAAGTACAGGTCAAACACCGAAAAGAATCTCTCAGGATCCAAGAAACAGGTAATCTCCAGCATCCAGGGGGCAGCTGCTCAGGAAGCAGTGATTAGCTGAGGCAGGTCCTGGCGGTTCTGCTTCACCTTCCACTCTGAGTCTTGTTCAATAGGGCAGTGTGGGTGGTTCCAGGGGATGAGAGTTTCAGATCTGAGCCTGAAGAAGAAACGGAAGATTTAAGACCAGCTCGGAGAAGTGAAGGTAAGGTGTTGAGAAAGCCAGGGCCAGCCAGAGTGCCTTGGTTGCACATCAACATCCAAATTGAGGTGCATGTGACATATGTGCAGCCTGAGATGGGGGCATGAGTTTCCCTGTACTCACCTTAAGAGAAAAAGAGCAAAAAGTTAGGAATGAACCAACACTCCAGCTGGGTCCTCCAACCCCCCCCCCCCCCAAAACAACAGGGTGGTTCTTGCATAGGCTCTTGCTAAATCTTGTATTCCGACTGTATTTCCTCAAAGAGCAATTAAAATAGAATGGACTTCTGCCTCCTAAGAATGCTTAAGTTGCAGTGTTAATTGGAGCACCTAAAGAGTGGTAGCCATAAGAGTTTGCCTATAACAACTGGCATCCTCTGTGGCATGTTAGATATGTATGTTACATGTCACTTACATTATCTGGTTCTGTGCCAAGCATACCAAGAGTTATTCTTGACACAGCACACTCAGGAGATTAATTATGTTGTGCAAATGCTACGGGGTCTAGTGTAGCATTCAGAAGCTTCACGTACAAGCCCCGCTCCTGTCCAATTAATACCCTCAATCTCTTCCTGCACAAGATTGTGCTAAGCACGTATCCATCCATCCATCACGGGGAACACAACAAAATCTCTTGCCTTTCTAAACCCGACATAAATAATTTACAAGAGTTCACAAATGTTGCCTTTGTTTTCTAGCCAGTTAGAAGGTTGCCATGAGCCTGCTGGCTCATACAGAGGACTTGGGGAGGCGGTCATCGCAGTCATACATCTGTATCCCCAGAGGGCTCACAGTTGGGAGGGAAAGAGATCATTGCACTGCCTTTTGATTCTGCCTTTTTTTCTCTCACGAGGAACCCAAGCTGGTTTGCATAGCTCCATTTTTATCCTCATAACAACAACCCTGTGGGGTAGGTTAGACTGAAAGGGAATGAGTGGCCCAGTCACTTGGTGAGCTTCATGGCAGAGTGCGGGAACTGGAACCTGGCTCTCGCCACCACACCAGCTCCACTGTGTACAACGTGCGATACCACTAGTCTATGGAAATTAGGCTTGCAACCTCTTAATCTGGCCCACCCAATTTCCCCGGCCACACACCCTCTTGTGTAAAAGAGAACTAAATCAGCAACCCCACTAATTCTCTTATTGTGAAAGGTTTTCCATCAAAGCCATTTGGAGGCAATGCCTGGGGAAGGATGAGGCAGAGCACGGTGCTGGGCAAAGCACTGCAGTACATTTGAAAAGGAAAGCAGCCCGGTCTTGGTGTAGGAAAGTGGAAGGAAGGGAATACTATAAAACTTGGACTTCATACAAGGCTTGATAACATGACCAAGAGTCATTTTTCCCCACAACCTTGCTTTCTACAGGACTCTTCAATAACTTCAGCTTGTTTTTGCCACTTATTCCATAAGCACTTTTATTTCATAAATCTCAGGCTGATGAAAGAGTGTTGTCATCACAGGGTAAAATGATTGTATGAAAGAGCCAAGTCTTAAAAAAGGGGGCTCCTTCCTGCATACCACAAGCAAGACATGAGTTAGCAATATGATGCAGGCAGCCAAGAGGATCACTATGATTTTTGACTGCATCAATTGGACTAACATGTCAAGGGCACAAGTAGTAATGATTCCATGTTGTTCGGCTTTTGTCAGACTGTACCTGGAGTGCAGTTGTGGGTACAGCTTTTTCAGAAGGTGAACATATCCAGAATAGGGCACCAAAAAGTGAGGGAGCTAGAGATCAGATAATTGAAAAAGGTTGAAGGAGCTGGGTGTCTTTACTGTTAAATATCTTAAAATATTTGAAGAGTTGTCCCATAGACAATAGAGCAAGTTTGTTTGCTCCAGAGAACAGAACCTCAAGGGGGATTTCAAATAACGTGAGGAAGAACTTCCTGATGGTGCAAGGTTGTTGTTTTTTTTAATAGTGGTGCAAGAGACCGCATCCGTGTTGTGGATTCCTCTTCACTGGGTGATTTTAAAAAACAGGGTGGTCTCCTGGAAGGGATATCATTAACAGATTTCCTGCATTGGCTTGAGTTTGAAATTAGATGGCCTTTGAGGTCCCTTGTAAATTTATAATTGTACAAAGTTAAACATGTTGTCATCTCAAGATAACTTATGTGCGAAACAGGCCCTGGAAAATGATTGCCTACCAGGGTATCTCACTGTAGTTGTGAAAACTAAAGTTTCATAACCAGTGTAATATGGTTGCTTCATTTCATATGAGGTTGAGATTTCTAAAATGGTGATGTTTCATTCAACAGCTGCTACTCCAAAACATAATTGCAGCATTTATCTCTAAATTCAAATTCCAGGGGCCCAATCCCCTTTGGCTACTGTTTTCAGAAGCTTACAGAGAGCCTATTATTTGCTAAACCTGGTGATTCAGGAAGTGGGGCTTTATTAGCCCCCTACCCCATATAATTAAAGTACTAAATCTAGGTATCTGCAAGCCTTTCTTTAAACCGGGTCTCAAAGTAAATCACTAAGAGAACTCAGAAGTTATTTATAGCACTGAAGTTGGGGTGGAGTGATCATCCCAGTATAGGGAAATTATATATAGAGTATTATAATTTAATCCTGGGATAAATGTTATACAGCTCAGGCAAAATGGTACATTCTGGCTTTAAAATATGGAATTTTCTTATACCTTCAAAGCAGATTCACCTGTAACAGTTGAAATAAAAGTCTCCCTCTATGTAACAATAGCATCTGAAAGGTAACTTCACCTGAGCATTTACAAACGGACAAGAGAGATTAAACTCTCCACATAGAGATTTGGATCAAGTCTGACACTAGCAGCTTGGTCACTAGCAATCTCTGATTTCAGCAACATCAGGAGATCCTTCTGAAATCAAAGTCCTCAAGGCAAAATCACCTCTGAACAAGCCATCTTAGGGCATCAGCTGCCTAGTGACCGCTGCCTGTCCCCCTCATATGTGCAGCTTGGTCTATGAGAGTCCTCCAGATCTGTTTCTCCACAAGCCTTGCTTTCTGCAATTTACCTACCCTCCGCTTGTAGGATTCTCCTTCCAGGAGACTAGTCAAGGATCCTCCCACCTTGAAGTGAGGTATTGTCTATTCATAACAATGGAAGCTAACTGGGGGAGAGGCTTTTGGATAGGAAAGGACTAACCCCCTCCTCGTCTAGCAGACAAAATAATGCTAAGTTGTATCTTCATCATGATAATATGCAAAGACAGATTTTCATTCTTGTTCTACAATACTAATATACCTTCCTTTGGGATACCCTGATGGCATTACTTGGAAGCTGAGTTCTGTGAAGGCCTCAGTAACTGCAGGGAGCAGTTTGAAGGGTTTTTAATCCTGGCGTACCACCAGAAGAAAGGTATATACTTGATAACCACATCATCTCTGAGTAACATAATGAAAAAAGCAAGACCCTTTTTAGCTTAGGAGCTGGCCACTTATAACCCCCCAGAGTTTTGGCCCACAACTTAAATCAGCCCTAGCCAGAAAAGCTACTGTTGAGGGATTATGAGAGTCCTATGTCAAAAGCAGTCGGTATGAGCTTAAGTGGAGTCCAGGAAATGGTGGAGGACAGGAAAGCCTGGAGGAATGTTGTCCATGGGGTCGTGATGGGTTGGACACGTCTTTGCAACTAACAACAACAAGGCCAAAACATCCACAAGGCCTCAAGTTGCACAGCTTTCAATTAGAAATGCAAGCAATCTTACAGAGCAGTGCTTTCTTTCTGACATTTATAGCCCACCCTTTTCCATCCAAGGAACTCGGGGCAATCTACATATTTCTCCTCCTCCTCTCAGTCTAATCCTTACAACAGTCTTGTGAGGTATGTTGGGCTGGGAGTCTGTCACTGGCCCAAAGTCACTGAGTCGGCACCATGGCCAAGTGGGGACCAGAACCCAGATCACCTGAGTCCCACACTCATAACCACTACCCCTCACTGGCTCTCATTTAAATTAAGATGGAGTCAGACAAGGACACCCCACCAAGAAAGGGAAGTAACCAGCCTGTATTTGGTTATTGCCATCATCTGATTTCCTCTACTAATATGTAATGGTAAATCATGAAAGCCTCTTCATTTGTGGGGCAAAAAGGTTCTGTCGATTACTGCAGAAAGCTGGAGTGGGAACCCAGGTTCTAATCCCTACTTGGCCATAGAGGTCACTGGCTGATTTTGGGCCAGTTGGTCATTCAGCCTATCCCACCTCACAAGTTGGTTGTTGTGGGGATAAAAATGGAGCTATGTAAGCCACTTTGGATTTCTCAAAAGAGGAAAACAGGCAGATACAAATACAATATCAGCATCAACCTCTGGCAGAATATGTCATGGCTCCTGTTCTGAAAGACGCTTCCAATGCTAGGCTCCCCTGCGTCTCCCCTGCATTAAACCATTGCACTTGCCTACCTGGCAAATAGAAAGAGCAGAAGTTAGCAGTAGTGGCACTAACTAGGACTGCAAGCATGAAAGGGCCTCTCCGGAACTGTTCTCACAGAGCAAACTCAGATCTCTCCTTTCTCCTTCTCTGTCCTGAGATCTGAGCCCAAAGGAGAATATCTCAGTCATCCTGTCCTTGTGCACACATATGCCTATTTTGGTTATTAAGAAGAAATAAGGGAAGGAAAAAGGAGGAAAATCATTATGCAGCAGGAGACACCTAGGAAAATTCATGGTTCACTAGGAAGATTGCATAGTAAAAGGAAACTAAGACAAAAATATTAGGAACAAAAGTTCCCAAGACTGATGAGAGGCAAGTGACATAGACACTCCTTAAGTAGCATGCTTTAGCAAGGCTTTCCCAGAGATAAATTTATTTGTTATCATAGCTGAAAAAGTGCACAGCAATCTATTTGAAAAAATATAGATTCCCAAAATAAAATCTGTGTGTGGTCATGTGCACACGCATGTATGTGTAAAAAGGGGTGGGAGTTGGATGTTATTAACCCAACTATCACGCTTCCATACATACTTCTAGTATAAGTCTTCCTAGTTTTGTAACAGGAATGCCAGCTATTTTTGTTACAATCGAAAGATTAACCATCAAATTATAAATTTGAGTGAATTGACCAATGTTGTAATTGAAAGCATACGCTAGGCAGGGAACACATCCCACTAATTTCAGTGCAAGTATGGGGTTCAGCTACACTTCTCCACCCTTCAATAGGACAGCATTTTTAGCAAGTTTGCAGTTTCACTATTGTGCATTTGCCAAGCAGTGAGTGAGCCACAGCAGACAGTCTTGCAGCAAGCGAGGTCTTGTGAAAGAGGACATTAGCTGTTGCATTGTTACCGGAAGCCATTGTCTGTTATGATGATAAACATCCAGCAGTCTGAGCTGCTAAGGCAGATGCGAGATAAGTCGCTCTAATCACATCAGTAGATGTGGTTAGAGTCACCATGGTGCTTTTCTTTCTTGAGCCATTTCTCCTTTCACCTCAAAACACCTCCTAACCTAATCCAAACATTTCATCTGTAAGAGTGCATTCATGTGCCCTTTTATCCAGAGTAGCTATTGCTGCTGCTTCCCAACACCAGAGTCTCCATGCTGAGCTACATCCAAACAGCAACACTCACTCTGTTCCCTATCTTGTGCTGCCATCTGTTGTTCGTGCAGCCATTTCTGTTTCCAGATGTTTTCAGGAAGTGCACATTTTAACAAGAAGTCCTTTAAATCTGTCTAACCTATGCACAATAGAATATGAGTCCTTGATATACATTATTTAACAACAACTATCTTTAAAATAAAATAAAACCTTAAAACACATATACTGCTTTACCTTAAGGCAGTAATAGCCAGAAGTCAACATACTGTATTTTATATATTTGTTTCCTCTTCCTCTCCCTGCACTTTTTTCTTCTTGTATCATGCTTATTAGATGGTGAGCACTTTGATAAACTTAAATATTTCACAAGTGTTTAATAATAACAGAAGTCTTTAACATGTAAAACAAATTAACAGCACAATCATGTACATATCTGCTCAGAAATTGTTGTTGTTGCTAAAGTTGCATCCAACCCATCGTGACCCCATGGACAACATTCCTCCAGGCCTTCCTGTCCTTCACCATCCCCCAGAGTCCACTTAAGCTCTCACCGACTGCTTTAGTGATTCCATCTAGCCACCTCATTCTCTGCCATCCCCTTCTTCTTTTGCCATCAATTGTTCCCAGCATTAGGCTCTTCTCCAGTGAGTCCTTCCTTCTTATTAGGTGGCCAAAATATTTGAGTTTCATCTTCAGTATCTGGCCTTCTAAAGAGCAGTCAGGGTTGATCTGTAGGACTGACCGGTTTGATCACCTTGTGGTCCAAGGGACTCACAGGAGTCTCCTCCAGCACCACAATACAAAGGCCTCAATCCTTTGGCGCTCAGCCTTCCTTATGGTCCAACTTTCACAGCCATACATTGCAACTGGGAAAACCATAGCCTTAAGTATACGCACTTTTGTTGGCTGGGTCATGTATCTGCTTTTTAGTATGCCATTTAGATTTGCCATAGCTTTCCTCCCAAGGAGTGTCTTTTAATTTCTTGGCTGCAGTCACCGTCTGCAGTGATCTTGAAGCCCAAGAAAATAAAATCGGTCAGTACCTCCATTTCTTCCCCATCTATTTGCCAGGAAGTGAGAGGACTGGATGCCATGATCTTAGTTTTCTTAATGTTGAGTTTCAAGCCAACTTTTGCACTCTCTTCCTTCACCTGCATCAAGAGGCTCTTTAGTTCCTCTTCACTTTCTGCCATTAGAGTGGTATCGTCTGCATATGTGAGGTTGTTGATATTTCTCCCAGCAATCTTAATTCCAACTGGTGATTCATCTAGGTCCACCTTTCTCATGATGTGCTCTGCATATAAGTTAAATAGGCAGGGCGGCAGTATACAGTCTTGCCGAACTCCTTTCTCAATTTTGAACCAATCAGTGGTTCCCTGTCCAGTTCTCACTGTTGCTTCCTGACCCGCATATAGGTTTCCCAAGAGACAAATAAGATGGTCTGGTACTCCCATCTCTTTAAGAACTTGCCACAATTTTTTGTGATCCACACAGTCAAAGGCTTTGGCGTAGTCAATGAAGCAGAAGTAGATGTTTTTCTGGAACCCCCTAGCTTTCTCCATGATCCAGCGTATGTTGACAATTTGATCTCTAGTTCCTCTCCCTCTTCAAAAACCTGCCTGTACTTCTGGTAGTTCTTGGTCCACATACTGCTGGAGCCTAGCTTGTAGGATTTTGAGCATAACTTTGCTAGCATGTGAAATGAGTGCAATGGTGCTGTAGTTTGAACATTCTTTGGCATTGCCCTTCTTTGGGATGGGAATGTAAACTGACCTTTTCCAATCCTGCGGCCACTGTTGAGTTTTCCAAGTTTGCTGGCATATTGAGTGTAGCACTTTTACTGCATTGCCTTTTAAGATTTTGAACAGCTCAACTGGAATACTGTCAACTCCACTAGCTTTGTTGTTGCTCAGACTTCCTAAGGCCCATTTGACTTCACGTTCCAGGATGTCTGGCTCGAGGTCGGTGACCACCCATCATGGTTATCAGGGACGTTACGCTCTTTCTGGTATAGTTCTTCTGTGTAATCTTGCCACCTCTTCTTAATCTCTTCTGCCTCTGTTAGGTCCCTGCCATTTTGGTCCTTTTTCATGTCCATCTTTGCATGAAACGTTCCCTTCGTATCTCCCATTTTCTTGAAGAGATCTCTGGTCCTCCCTATTCTATTGTTTTCTTCTATTTCTTTGCACTGTTCATTTAAGAAGGCATTCTTATCTCTTCTAGCTATTCTCTGGAATTCTGCATTCAATTGGGTGCATCTTTCTCCTTCTCCCTTGCCTTTCCCCTTCCCTTCTTTCCTCAGCTATTTGTAAAGCTTCCTCAGACAGCCATTTTGCTTTCTTGCATTTCTTTTTCTTTGGGATGGTTTTAGTTGCTACCTCCTCTGCAATGTTGCGAACGTCCGTCCATAGTTCTACAGGCACTCTGTCTATCAGATCTAATTCCTTAAATCTATTTGTCACCTCTACTGTATATTCATCAGGAATATAATTTAGGTCATACCTGAGTGGCCTAGTGCTTTTCCCTACTTTCTTCAATTTAAGCCTAAATTTTGCAACAAGAAGCTCATGATCTGAGCCACAGTCAGCTCCTGGTCTAGTTTTTACTGACTGTATAGAGCTTCTTTGTCTTTGGCTGCAGAGCACATAGTCAATCTGATTTCTGTGTTGACCGTCTGGTGATGTCCATGTGTAGAGTTGTCTCTTGGGTTGTTGGAACAGAGTGTTTGCTATGACCATCATGTTCTCTTGACAAAATTCTACCAGCCTGTGCCCTGCTTCATTTTGTACTCCAAGGCCAAACTTGCCTGTTATTCCGGTTATCTTTTAGCTTCCTACTTTAGCATTCCAATCCCCCATGATGATAAGGACATCATTTTTTGGTGTTAATTCTAGAAGGTGTTGTAGGCCTTCATAGAACTGGTCAACTTCAGCCTCGTCAGCACCAGTGGTTGGGGCATAAACTTGGACTTCCATGATGTTGACTGGTTTGCCTTGGATTCGAACTGAGATCATTCTGTCATTTTGGAGATTGTATCCCAGTACTGCTTTTCCTACTCTTTTAATGACTATGAAGGCTCCTCCATTTCTTCTGAGGGATTCTTGCCCGCAGTAGTATACCTGATGGTCATCTGAATTAAATTCACCAATTCCTGTCCATTTAAGTTCACTGATTCCTAAGATGTTGATGTCCAGTCTTGTCATCTATTGTTTCATCATGTCCAGCTTGCCTTGATTCATAAATCTTACATTCCAGGTTCCTATGGAGTATAGATCTTTACAGCATCGGACTCTCCTTTCACCACCAGATACATCTGCAACTGAGTGTCCTTTTGGCTTTGATCCAGTTACTTCATTCTTTCTGGCGCTACTAGTACTAGCCCTCTGCTCTTCCCCAGTAGCATATTGGACACCTTCCAACCTGAGAGGTTCATCTTCTGGCATCATAGCATTTTGCCTTTTGGTACTGTCCATGGGGTTTTCATGGCAAAGATACTGGAGTGGGTTGCCATTTCCTTCTCCAGTGGATCACGTTTTGTCAGAGCTCTCTGCTATGACCTGTCCGAATTGGGTGGCCCTGCACAGCATAGCTCATAGTTTCATTGAGCTACACAAGCCCCTTCACCAAGACAAGGCAGTGATCCATGAAGGGGGCAGTTGTATGTCAGGCAATTCTGGATCCCAAACTGTTCTTGTCTCTTGGGCCAGCTAGACAACTTGGTGCCCCCACTCCTAATATTTTGGACTCCAACTTCCATACTCACCGATCAATGATCGTGCTAGCTAAACATGAGCATTTTCACAAATTTTCTAAAAACTTCTTCCATCTTTTCCCTTTTACCACATAAAATCCATTAGGAAGGGAAAGATGGAATAGTTGCATATTGGTAATTCTGAGAGCCATTCATGTGGCCCTTTCCCCAACACAGTACGTCCCATGTTTTAAATTTCAAAACCCTTTCCCAATCTCCTAGCTGTCAAGAGCATTGTGTCCAAAACATCTGGAAGGAATCAGACTGACGTAGGCAGATGTGCAAGTACATTGTAGGGTCTGTTTGCCAACAGAACAGACCAACTAGGAAGGTCATGGACTTTCCTTGGCTAGAAGTTTCCAAGTAGCATCTGAAAGGCTTCCAATATGGATGCTGTAGCAGTGGATTTCCTGTTTGGTAGGAGTTGAATGAAATTAGCCCCTCCCAAGCCTTTACAGTTAAATTCCTCCTAGGGTGCAGTCAGACAGAAAAAAGACATACAGTTCTTCAGCTAGCATGATTAAGGTATGCTGGGAATTATAACTTAACTTTTAATTAACTTTTTCTGGGGAACCCTGAGTGTTAGGACTAAAGTTGCACAGGACTGCACCCTCAGAGGCTCAAGGATGCGCAGGCGAATGAATAGCTTATGCCCCTTTCTCTCCTGCCTGAAGAGTAGTTCTGTGAAGTCGGAAAGTCTGCAGACTTTGCCAAGCCGTGCAGGGTTGTTAGCCCTGCAGAGGCACGGCTCCAGATAGTGGGCGCGCAAGGGAAAGGAAAAGAGAAGCGTGGGGACACCGACTATCAAAAAAGGCAGGGGTCAGAACGCTGCTTCGACAGAATTTGAGAGCACTAGCGAAGCACATGCGCTGGGCTGCCGTTCCGCGCCTCACCTGCTAGAAGCATAAACGCTCCTCTTCGCTTTAGACTACGCTACAGAGCCCGAGTCTATCCGAAAGACTCCGATCATGAACGGACGTGCCCGAGGCCGGATACGGAAATCAACGACTACATCCGGAACAGGTCCAAGCGAGCTTCAGCGTTTCAGCCTTGGACTACCGAAGCGGAATTCGGGTGAGGAGTCATCATGTCGGATCGGATCGCGAAGCTCCGAGCAGATGGGATCATAAAACGTCTGGTGAAGGAAGGCCGAGGGCCGCTGCCTGAGTACCAAGACGGGGCCAAGGTAAAAATGATCGTGTGCATTTTTCTCGGGAATTAGATAACGGAATAGGGCCGGACAAACACGCATGCGCGAACAAGATGCGATCCGCCGGCTAGCCTGAAGTGCGCGTGCGCATGAGGGATTCTCGCTGTGGGAGAGGAGGACTAAAATGTGTAAATATAATATATTATCCGCGTTTTATTCGTTTAGAAATTTGCTAATTAGAGGCTGGTTTGCCCAAGCACCACGAGGTAGTGGGATTCTTGTTTTCTCTTACGCCTTCCTGCCCACTTCGCAAAACGTTAGTTATTAATCCGGAGGTAAGGGGATACAGCAGCCTTCCAGATTTGGTGCCCTGAGCCTATAACTCCCATCATTTTCTCCTAGCGTGGTGGACTGCAACTCAGTGGGCAGTGTGGCTGCCCCTTTAAATCTTGCTAAAAATAAGTAGCCAGTCGGGAGTCTAGGTCTCTCGTAGTTGCCAGTACAATTTCCCCCAAATTGGTGCTCTACAGACGTGTTGGGCTGCAACTCTTAGCATCCTTCGGTCAGTATGGCCAGGGATGTTTGAACAGGGTTGAGGAGGACATTTGATTTCAGGCAGAAAACTCAGCAGCAAGGTGTGGGTCAAGTCAGGCAGCAGGAGATGAAGCATATGAGGCAAAAAGCTAGCTAATTTGGGGGGGGGGGAGTAGATGCAACAGAGATAATCAGGGCCTCTGTACCTTTATTTCAGCAAATACACATGCACAGAAGAGTGATGGGACAATGACCTCCCAGACATCAGGGGCTCCAGATTAATTATTCGAGCCTCCAGCCCTAATGAGCCAGTTCTTATCACTGCCCTGAGTTGGGGTAGAGTGTGAGGGTCTTATTCCATTCTAGCAGTGATGTGCCTGCAGTGGCTGCTGGATGTTGTCTGGGGGTGTATCCTCAAAATCCCTTCGTGCCTGTTGGTTTCCCTTTAGTTTTCTTTTTGCATTTACATTCTGTGTGGTTAAGGCGTGATGAAGAGAAAGCTTTTTCCATACTTTTCTCCATTAATGAGAGAAGCGGACTCTCCAGTGGTGTTGATGAACATGGAATGGTTGTGATGTTTATTCATTTAAACATTTATTATTTCTACCCCACTTTTCAGGCAGAAAGACTCCGAAAACAATTTGTAGATCAATAAAACCAAGAGGGAGAAATAGAGAGAATAACAGGCTTTCAGTGTGAATGTTAAAAGGTTCTAATAATATCCAGTGATAATGCTATTGTTACACATACAGATGTTGCCATTATTACAGCCAGTTGGAATGGAAACTGTTCCAAAAGCAGAAGAGCCAAGAATTGCTGGTGTCTCAGCTGAGCCCAAGGAGAAGCCCCACTTCCTGTCTCTTCCAGTTCTTCAGCCTGGTGATATTTAAATTACACATAGAACAGGAGGGTAGGAGTGATTTTGTGTGTGGTATTTAACAAGAACAGCATTTTAGGCAGCAGGGCAGTTAGAGAACATCTGCATTTTCTTCCAGCCATTCCTAGAGCTCCCCCTGCCTCAGCATCCTACCTCAGGCAGTATCACACCACCAGCAAGCACAGTATCTTCCACCTAAACAGCAAGACATACAATAGGACATTGCACAAATTGAATACTGATTGTTAATGCTATACAGATCAACTGACCATCAGGCTGTTAGTGAAGCTGCTGATAAAACAGTAAAATATTTTAAAAAAGCAATAGTAATGGAAGATGGCCAGGCTCCTTTAAGAGAAGTCATAGCTCGGTGGTAGAGCACATATTTTGCATGCTGGGATAATCAATTACTTTTCCACTGAAAAAGATGAGGTAACAGATAAAGGGAGAAACTTCTTTACCTGACACCCTGGAGGGCTGATACCAGTCAGAGAAAGTAACACTTAGCTAAGCAGACAACTAGGATAACATGATATAAGGCAGCTTTTTAATGTTAAAATTGCCTGAGTTTCATTTAGCCCAGCGGTTGATAGTTTTGAGTTTCTGCATTACTATCTCTCCTCTGATTCTCAACTTTCCTGATATAATGACCTTTCCCCCAATATTCTCCAAGGCAAAGATTCTGAGAAACTCAGGCAGACCTTGAGGCAGAGGCTTCCAGATAACCTTGGCTGATTTGCTGTATCTTGTTCATGTGCTCCATGAATAAGTTTTTGGGCCTGGTAACTTGTGAAACTGCTATGTAAGCCACCCGCCCAGTGGTTGGGGTAAACAGGCAGGCTAGTATTTTTAATGATAGTAGCAAATTGATTTAACCAATTATTTAGGAGGCTATCAAACTTGAATCCCCATGTTCCTGTGCTCTCACTTGCTTGAACTATGTCTGTCACCAAGTAATGTGAGGCACCTGCTCAAGCTAGAAATGTGTCATGCTAGCCCAGTTGACTGCTATATCAGGAACTGGGTTGACGTCCTTGCCAGTGAAAGAAGCATTCGCCAGTTTGTTCACACAAGTCTGGTTTTTACATGAAGACAGCCTGTAAGTTACTGAGGCTGAGCATGAGCAAGGCATGCTGCCTCCTGCCTGCTTGCGGCTTCCACTTTCCAAAACATCCCAGAGAGGCTCTGTTCCTGTTTTATGGCATCCAAACCAGGTGCTCTGGATACTTGAGGATTAGACAATCCAAAGTTTTACCTGTAACAGCAGACCATAGGTTCTGACTCTAGGTTGTTTAATCCATGAATTTCAATGTGTGTGAACCAGGTCATTGCCTAGTTCAGAAGCAGGCAGCCTGATGCCCTACAGAGGTATTAGACTACAGTTCCCATAACCCAATAAGACTGTTCAGTGGTCAGGGCTGATGCGGGTTGTAATCCAAAACACCCGGAGGCCACTAAGCTGCCTATTCCCTCAATTCTGCTGTTCCTGTGAGTTTGTGATTTTCTCCAGCCACTCTGCTTCCCATTCCTTTCAGGCCACCTTTCACTACCGCACAATGCTCTGCCGTCCACCCGAGCAAGTGCTTGATGACAGTCGTACTCGGGGCAAGCCCATGGAGCTCATCATTGGCAAGAAATTCAAGCTGCCTGTCTGGGAGACCGTCCTGCAGACCATGCGTGAGGGAGAGGTGTCTGAGTTCTTGTGCGATTTAAAGGTAATCAGCTGGGCCATGTGGAACAAGTTTGTGCCGTCTGATGTGGAACGGGCATGGAGGTCTGTGCCTAAATCCTTGATACCGGCACAGGTTTCCAGGCTGCCTTGGAGCCTCAGTTCCCCATGTGTGGAACAAGAATGGTGACGACCTGTTGCTTGTTGTTCCTGTGAAAGTGCCATGCATGTTAAGTATGTGCTAGAAATGAACTGTAAAAATGTGTACAACATTTAGCATGGATCTTATTGCTTCCCCCATAATAGGTAATTTGGGCTGCATGGATCCTGCAATTGTGTCAAATCACAGGATTTGGCATCAGATCCCGATTTTAGCAGCTCTTAATTTCCTCTTTAAAAAGGAGTTAACATGAAAAAAATTGGAGCAGAGTGTTTTAAAATAAGTGTGAGTGTCAATACCTGGTGAACCTACAAAACCCTGAGGAGGGACTGGGGCCGTGCAGGGCTTCTGAATCGTTCTTTGCACATTTCCAAGACTTGTAGCATCAAAGCAGAATCCTATCAATGCAGCAGCTAAGTGCAGACTGTTCAGTTTGCATGATGTACTATGAGCCCTATCCAGAATTCTTTTCGTCATCCAGCAAGAAGAACCCTTTCCCATGTTTTCCTTTCACCCGCCAGCACGTGGTCTTGTACCCCATGGTATCAAAGAGCTTGAGGAATATTGCAGCTGGGAGAGACCCCCTGGAGGGGCAACGACACTGCTGTGGCATTGCCCAAATGCATGAGAATCCATCGCTGGGTTACCCAGACCTTGATGACCTTCAACAGAATCCTCAGCCCCTCATCTTTAACATGGAGATGATCAAGGTGAGCGGGAAGGAAAGGTGAGGTCCTCTGGGAGAGACAGAATCTGAAGGATAGCAGTGGGTCTTCATGTGCCTGGGAGTCTCTCTGGGATGAGGCTTTCCAGGAGGGGAAATTGGGTGCCCACCCAGCCTCTGCCTCTGCGTCTTTTATTTGCCTAAGCACATGAGAGCATTCTGCATAGTTTTTCAAGGAGGAACTGTATTGCAGGAGGAAAAGGCTCCCCCCCCCCGAGATTGTACAGGGGTTGCCCCAGGGTTTGAGAACCATTTTATCTTCCCTCATCCCGTCTCATCCTCTTGAGTGTCATCTGGAACTGCTCTTCCTACCTTTCCTGGGGTGGCCTGTCAAGTTTGTTCTTGCTCCCTGGAGATGGCCTTGTTGTCTTCATACTCTCACCCAGAGATTGCCTTTGTTCTTCGCTAGGTGGAAAGTCCTGGCTCCTACCGACAGGAAGCATGGGCTATGTCAGATGAGGAGAAGCTGAAGGCTGTGCCCGTGATCCACCAGGAGGGCAATGAGCTCTACAAGGAAGGCAAAGTGCAGGAGGCTGCTATCAAGTATTACGATGCCATTGCCTGCCTCAAGAATCTGCAGATGAAGGTAGCCAAAGGCGTTTTCTTTTTCTGCTCTTGTCTCAGGGCCATTACTATTCCACCTGCTGTATGGTTTCTTTTGCCTGTGCGTTCCTGGGAGTAAATGCAAAGTTAGAACAAGGCTGTGATTCTGGATCAAACGAGGCCCTCACCTCTTGCACTTACTATGCTTTCTTGAAGGACCTGCACATATAAATGTGGCTTGTTAAAATTTGCATTTGCAGCCCAGGCTGTCACCAGAACAAATGTGCTTAGAGGGCACCCCCCCCCCCACAAGCACTGCTCTGACTGTAAGGTTTCACAAGGCTTTTCCCTGTCAGTCAGTCGGGCATCACTGTACCTAAATGTTTCCAGCCCACCAACCCCGGAATGCCTATGCCAGTGAGAAAGACACCTGCCCCTCAGAGCTGTCGTGGCTCAGTACTCATGACTCATCCCTCTGGCACTCATGACTCACCCCCATTTGGAGATCTGGAACTAGTAGTGCGAATGGTTCTGTTGAAGCAGTTGCTGCTCTCCTTTCTCTGGCAGCACTAGGACATGACAGGAGTATTTCGCATTCCCTCTTCTGCCTAACCTGGGGATGGGCAACTTTTGACTCTGCCAATGTTTTGGCCTACAGCTCTCCTCATCTCTCACCATGGGTTATGCTGGGCTGACAGGATATTTAGGCCCAGACATCTGGAAGACCCTCCAAACAGAGTAGCCCAGTCCCCTTCGGCACTGGGTCAGATGAGGTCCTCTCACGAACAGGATATTCTTGTAGGCATTGGGATGGAGAATGCTCTTGATGCCGTATTGGAAGCGATGGCAGCAGATTGCTGCCAGTCATGCTGAAATGCTCCCTCCACCTTAGCCTGCACTTTCTCTCCGAAAACTAAATTTTGAAAGTTGTTTTTGTTCAGGCTGGACCTCCAAGTCAGGCTGCAACACTTGCCAGAGGAACATGTCCAGTGAAAGCAGTTTTGGGTGGAAAAGGATGGGTTTGGGGAGGGTTGAGTTCCTGTGCTTCCAACCATGCATTCCTGGAGACCTTTTCCACCCTTGCTGCCTAGAGGGATTGGCTGGATGTGTGAGCTCTGGCCCTGAGTCTGTTTATACATGGCCTTCTACTTGGAGAATATCTTGTGGTCATCTGGCTGTGTCTCGTGCTCAGACCTTTCCTGTCCTGTGCCCCAGGAGCAGCCAGGCTCTCCAGACTGGCTCCAGCTGGACCAACAGATCACCCCCTTGCTGCTGAATTACTGCCAGTGTAAGCTGTTGACTGCAGAGTACTATGAGGTGTTAGATCACTGCTCTTCCATTCTCAACAAGTATGAAGGTAAGGGACTTTGTTTGTCATGGGATGCCTTAGTGGGGACATGGAAAAAGCTCCCAGCAATGACAAAAGGGAGTTGTGGAGTTATTTGCTATATCTGCGGCAGCTTTCCTCATGCACATCCCCTACAGATGCTTTGGACCACAGAATTCTGGGAATGCTGGCTGGGACTGCTGAGAGTTGATATCCAAAATCCGTGGAGGGCGCCAGCTTGGGGAAGGCTGCTTTAGAGTGCCAAAGAATCTGGTACTGTGTTCAAAGGGGTTACGTATAGGAGAAAGCATGCTGTGTCCAAGGACTTAGCTGGGTGGGCAGCACTCTAACTTATCAAGTTTGCAAGTGGAATTGAAAGTGTGTCCTTGTGCTTGGTGCCTGCGTGCCTGACCCAGATGTTGGCTGTCCTTGCAGACAATGTCAAGGCCTACTTCAAGAGAGCCAAGGCACATGCCGCGGTGTGGAATGCAGCTGAAGCGCAGGCTGATTTCGCCAAGGTATTGGAGTTGGACCCGTCGTTGGGCCCTGTGGTTACCCGGGAGCTGCGCAGCCTGGAGACTCGTTTACGGGAGAAAGAGGACGAGGACAAGATCCGCTTCAAAGGCATCTTCTCCCAATAGCTCCCGAGTGAGTTGCTCCAGCTTTGCCACTGGTGCTCCAGGGCAAGGCAGCACCAGTGGACTGAGTGGCTTCTCGCGCAGGCCACCGTGTCCCTACCCCCACACCAGTCTTGGGGGTGTCGGCCTTTCTTGTCAACAAAGCATGCCACCATCTCTGTGCAAGTAGCACAGAGTTTCCTACTGCAAAAGCTAGTGGGATAGGATAGGGAGGCCTTCCACAGCGGCCAAAGACAGTATACAAACCTTGCCCACTGTGTCTGCCAAATTTGGTGTGAGCCTCTCTGTTGTCCTGTGAGTGAATCTTTGTCATGTTCTGCTGCCCATGGTGCCTTTGCTGCTCTCAGAGAGGGAAGCTTTGCTTCCTGAACTAGTGTCATGTGTAGGCGTTTCTAGATGATCCCAGCTGTGGGAGTTAAATTGTGAGGCTGGCCAGGTTTTTCCTTCTGTCTGGCAGGCCCCTTTGAATGTTTGGGAGTAGGACAAGCAGGTCATCCCCACAGCAATGTTTTCTGTGTCTCGGATGCTGGCAGGAGATATAGGTGGTGACCATTTTGATGAGGGTTAACATGCATGGGATCAACAGGTCACCAGGTTAGGTTGTCCTTTTCTTGCTGTTGCCTGGCTGTGTAGGATATCATGCCCTGGAATCCAAATGAATCATCCTCCAAGGAACGTGCCTCCAAGACTGTGCCTGGATGCAGGCTATGAAGCCAAGGCTCTGCCCATCAGAATCCCACTCCTCTCTGGGTGGGGGAAAGCAGAGCATTGGCAGTGCTTGGCTCGCTTTATGTTGAGCTGCAATGGGATGACGACGTGTGTGCTGTGCATTCCTGGAGCCTCGTACCACTTGATGTGATGGCAGTTGTCAGTGTTCCTCTTCCTGCAAGGCTGGAAGGCAATGTATTAGCTCAGTCTCTTCTGGCACTTGCCCGCCAAAGAGCAATCTCTTCAGAGCAGTCTCTCCCTTTGGCGCATGAGGGAGAAGGCTTTGGGGTACATGTCGTTCCCTGATCATTGCAACAGCGAATGTGCCCTGATCGCAGCAGGCTTAAATCCTTCCCCCTACTCTCCAATGCAAGACTGGGGGGCAAAGGCAAGAAGGGATACCAGCCAGCTCCTCAAGAACAACTTGCTCTACAGCATATTTTGAATCTGCTTGGTGTGCCTCCCTTGGCAGCTTCTGGCTTCCCTGGGAAACCTCAGCCCAGAAGGCAGTACCTAAGCAAGCCCAGCTCCATGATCTTAACATCAGCCAGCAGGGAGGAGATGTTAGCACTAGGGTTTGTGTGAAATGTGAACCCTAGAGCAATTTTTTCATCTTCCACATAGCAACAGGTGGGTGGATGTAGTTGTGAGCAATTCATTCTTTTCCAGAAATTGGGCCTAAGGATTTGCTGAAAGCTTTAGGATGTGGAGAGCAAGCTGTTCAGGGCACCCCTCAAAGCAGAAAGCTCCTTGGCCCCAGTTCACCAAGGACTTCCTGCATGTCTGAACAGGATTTCATTGGGAATTGCCTTTCCATCTAAAAAATGGGAGCTTCTGCAAGGGCAGACCTCCCACACCTAGAGTGCCCTTACTACTTGTCAGGAGAGCTACTTTTGATATTCTGGCGCTTGTCCATTGTGGCGTGGAGGGTGTTTCCAAGGCATGAACTGTCCCTTGCCTAGCTAAGAAGTGCTCTCAGATCATTTCAGGTTGCTGTCTAGTCTCAATTTGGCCTCTACAGCAGTCATTCTGTGGCAGCCCTTCCAGTCCAGATGTGACCTCAGTTTGCTACCTAGCTATAACTTCTGGATTTTGTGCTGCATCCACGCATAACAGGTCCAGCTGATGCAGGATGAAGGAAAGGCTTCCTTATTTATGCAAGGTGTATTGGGACAAATTTTGGGGAGTGACCATTTGCTTGTCCAAGAGACTGATAAAGGATCTTTTTCTCAGCTAGGCTAATTGTCCAGCATTGTTTAAAAGTGGAACCATGTTGAAGCAGCTGCGTCCCACCCTTCCTAAAAAGCCCTGTTCCCCAAGCATCCCCAGTCCACGGTCATCATTAACCCAAGAACTTTGAAAGGGTGTGTTCCATGCTGTGACCGAGCCTAGTTAGTTATTCCTTTGTGCTGCAAGAGTGAGCCACCTCTTAGAGCACATTGCAAAGTTAAGTACATGTTTAAAACTTGTATCAAATCTGTGAGACTCTAAAATGCTCGAGTTTGGCAGGTTCACACTTGAAATTTGTACTGACGAGCTCAATCACATATTGACTGCCTGCTCCTCAGATCAACACAATTGTGGACCTTTAGGCTGCCATAGAAACAGAGGGAGTCAGAAGGGGTCTCCCGGGCCATCTAGTCTGACCCCCCCCCCCCCGGCTCCAGCCAGCTCCACTCACGACATTCCTCCCATGCCATCTCACCAGCTTTAGTAAAGAAGTCATACCATGTATTTACAACCTATTTTAAAGTCTATGGGCTGAATCTAGACCAAGTTAGTTGCATTTAATTACCATGGAAATCTTTGGGATCAAATAATGGCCAACATTCTACTTTCTTAGTGTGGATTCAGCTCTATGCCTAAGAGACTTAGCAGCCAATTCTCATTGTATATTATACACAGTGCGATTGTAGAGTTGAATCAGGTTTACCACCTTTGCACTCAACTATTTGATGTGCCTTCATTATTTGTGCTTGTCCAGGTATTTCAGTAGCTACTGGATCTGGGAGCCCTGGCTCTGATGGTAAAAGAGCGTCTGTGTGTAGGTTCATAACGTAGAAATTGCAGTTAATGGAAATGGGATCCAATTGAGAAGCGCTTTTTCCCTGGCTGAATGCCTGTGAAGCACATGGAAAATTTTATCTAGCTTCCCAATTCAAATGGAATAAATTGCATTTTCCTTCTGGCCACATCTGCAGTCATCTGGTATGATCAGTATCCAGTGCAGCACTACCACTAAAGTAAATGACATTTTGCTGTTGCAAGTGACCTCTGTCCCACCCCATTTGCATTAGCTGGTTCAACAGGTGTTGGAAAGCCCTCCATGCCAGCAAATGCTAGTGGTGTTGTGCGAAGGGTTCCTTACACAAGCACAGCTTAATTTACATTAATGAGAGTGTTCTATTAGCTGCTGTCCCTTGATTTAATTTTTTTAACCACAGGGTCTAATATTCCTTTTCTTATAAAGCAATTCATTCCATATTGAAGTTTTGTTGGACAGTATTATCTGTCTACAGGTGCAGCTTGCATGTTACAGCAGTCCTGATGGTACTGCCTTCCCTGCCACCGGTGGAACTGTTTTTAGAGCTTGTGTACACTACATAGCTGGATCCAGTGAAGGCAGCAGGGGAGTCCCATGGAAAAGGCTAGCTTTGCCATCCTGCGCATTCGAATACCTGGTCCAGAGGGTAGATCTTTCCTATCTAGATACCCTCTTGGTAAAACATCCTCTTGCAGAGAACTGGGGTAAAATTTAAGTTACATACCAAATCAATGATGAAAAGTGTTGAACCAAATGTAAACAGTGTAGACACTTTGTTAGCTTTTGTGTGGCTTTTGAACTTGCTACTCAGTGCATTTAGCTTGGTATGTGCCTCTAGGGAGAATACTGGGAGTGAGGAGAGAAGGTGGAGAAATAGCATGGAATGCCTCACTGGGCACTTTTTTTGCATTTCTCTAGTCATTTCAATGGTTCTTGCGCAGGAGAACTTACTAATGAACTGTGCTGGCCTAAATAACCATGCACAAAGTTCAAGGTAAATTTCCTCTCCAGGAAGAATGATAGGGGCTTATTATCACACTCATGTTTAACTGCAAGAAATAGTTTTCGCTTTGCTTTTGTTATGGTGAAAATAATTGCCTGTTGTCTGTCATAGAACTAGACAAGTGAGCCTGCTTTATCTTGGATCTGAACTATATATATTTTGGAGCAGGTCAGTTCTGTGTCATGCCAGCACCTTCTCTACATTGTTAATGTGAAATCAGTGACAGAACATAAGCTTGCTAAAGACAAATTTTTGGGAAGACAAAAAACGTGTGTTTGTGTTTCTCCGTTGAAGGTTAAGTGGATATTATCTTTTATTTTGGGGGGGTTAATATTAGAATTAAAGATACAAAAACAATTGTTGGAGAATTTTTTAATATGTGGTGATTTTATGCTCTACTGGGAATTATAGGAAAGAAGCCAGAGGATTGAAAAATAGGCACCTTGAGCATTTACCCTGGGCTGTGTGTTACCCTTTGAATTTGCATCTCCTTTGTAATTACTTATCTGAAGGCCTGAAAAGGCACATAGCCCTTTAAGTAAGAATAGTGTACCCCATTCAGCTGAGTTTCTATGGGCTAATCCATCTTCCACATACTGGAATACTATAGTGAAGAAATAAAGAAGAAAGAAGGACAAAACATAAGAAGAACGAGATGAGTATGAAAAGGTATGGCCAAGTAAAGGGATTCCCCTTACTATCCTGTGGGCCAAATCTTCCTTACAAAGCAATTTTCTCTGCTAAATGTCAATCAAAATGTAAGCATATTTGGATGCATTCAATATTGCAGGTAAAGAAAGTGCTTCTTAAAGTTTTAGAGGTAAAGCCTTGTCATATAAATCAGATGAGTGAGGAATTGAAGGAAAACAGTTATGCAATCGAATAATTTATTAAACCTCCATCTTGTAAAGCCAGTTACAAATTAAACAAACCCAAAAAAGCAGAAGGGAATCTGCAGTAGAATTAATGGAAGTTAACATTCCCAATTGGGTTTAAGCTGCCTGCAGCAACCCATGAGCCAGGACACAGCAGTAGTGCAGGACTCCAACTGGAAATTCCTTGGCAGAAGACCATTTCCAGCAGTTTTGTCTTTGGGTTCTATTGGAGAAGGAACATTTGAAATCCAAGTTTGCCTCACAGAAAGTTGCACTGGATGGCAGATTGATATTCCTAGCTGTAGAAAGAGTTTCCTGGAATTGGGAAGAGGTGATGCCTTTGACAGGCAGGCATAGCTATATATATCCCACTGCCAAATTTCACAAGTACCAAATTGGACAGGGGGCACAATTCAGTACCCTGACATTGTCAGCTGTATTTTTAAACATTAGTTTCTGGTTCTTAAGGGATGCCTGAAAAGAAGGCCATGGCCTAGAGAAATCACAAGAGGTGTGAACTGAGCAAACTTTCGCACTTAGTGGATGGGACTTAACACTTCATCTAGCTACAGCTAGCTCCTCCATCTTTTTATGGCTAGCAGAAATTAGGCCAAAACCAAATTTGTTTACTTTAAATAAATGTGTTTATTTAAAGGTTTCAGTATTTAACTTTTCTTGGGAGGGGGTTAGAGTCTTATTGCAATATTTGGATTTTATTTTTAATGCAGAGTGTATATCAATTCCTTGGTATCTTGGATCTAAAGTCAATCAAAATGGATCAGTGTGCAATTTTGTGACTCACAGAACACCCTCAAGCTTCTGCCTAGGATTACCACAAAAATCCATTCATCCAACCCCCATTTTACTACCAGTTGCCTCACAATGCTTGATGTCTCATGGGTACAGCAGCAGCAGTGCAGGAAAAATCTATAGAAAAGAACAAAGGAATAAAAACATTAAACGGTCCGAACTCCTGTGAGAAGCCAAGGAAGAAAGGGGACAGCAGCATACAGGTCACTGGAGAAAAAGGGCTGTCCTTACTACTGGATACCTGTATACCTGGATATCTGATCAATCTCATCCCCTTGACTGATCAGATAAATGGATTTTTGTTGTTGCTGTTGAGTGGCACTTTCCTCAAACGTGTGCCATGTGAAATTGCTCCTCTGCAAGGAACGTGGAAGACCAGTGCCAAGGAAGCCCATGCCATTTCACACACAGCCTTGTGACAGCTAGGCTTCTCCCTGAGGAGGCACACGCCTCAGAGAGAAGCTCTACTGAGAGCAGACATGAAGTGGCCTCTTTGCAGCTGTAGCTTCGAAAGTCTTGTGTGATTTGGAAGCCTTATTCATTAATTTTAAGCACACCTGGGGAATGGCAAAACCGACAAAGCATCCGCTCTGCAGAGGTGCCCAGTATAAGTCTATTCAGTAGGAGCAGCTCATCCCTGAGGGAACATTACCTCCCCCCAGAAAGGGGCAATTCAGTCTTTGCCAGTGGAGAACTTGGCTGCAAAACCAATGGGAGCAAATCTTGCCAGATTCATCACAGCACCACTTTAGGTTCTTTCCCTCCCTCTTTTTTTTCTGCAGCTTTTATTGCACAAAGTCCTTTGCGTGTTGATCTTTCAGACAAAGGTAGGTCCCACATCACAAGACTGAGGACAGAGGAAGCCCAGTCTCACAGCACAGGTCTGCTAGCCACGGTGGTCCTGGTTGTGGTTTTGAGGCAAACCTGGCCGCTCTGGTGGTCAGACAGCACCGGCCCCTTTTTCCTTCTGCCAGGCAGTATGTTGGGAAGAGGATTTTTCCCCTAGTCTTATAAAAAAGGATCTTTGCTACAAATCTGGCTGGGACATAGCAGGTCTCTTTCTCAAGGACTCAGTTCAGCATCGTGGGCCTCATCATCTTGTCCAGATACTTGCACGGCTGTCCAGGCTGCTAGCTGATTTAACACTGCAGCATTTCTTCACAATCATATTGATGTAGGCTTTCATAATTTTAATGATCTCTCCCACCTAAAATAGGATAATAGAACAGTTAGAATTGCCAGGTGTGCACTAGGCTGCCACATGCCCGCATTTTCTACTAGAGTCATATGGAATATATTTTCTGGCAAGGCATTAACAACTAGACCGTAGAAGTGAATGAAAATCCAGGCCAGGCCTGTAATGCTTAGTTTATTAAGCAGTTAGATACATTAATTAAAAGTATCTGTATCATTGGAAAGAGCCTCTCAGATAATATTTAAATATGTTTTAATATAAGAACGTACAAAATGTTTATAATTTATTTCTTTTGAAAGTTTCTGTACTGGTATTGTTTCCAAATTATTTTTCCATTGGCTAATTGTTTTATTAAGATTTTTGTTAGCCACTGAGGATTCTTTTAAGGTTGAAGAGCAGGTTATAAATAAATTTGCAAATAAATAAAAACTGGGCCACAGTCAATATTTAAAAGAGGTACTTCCCTTTATGTTATACACCGGAGGGGATGTCTTATCTAAGAAGGTAGGTGGTCCAATGTAGGCATGCTTTCTTAAAAAGCAAGTAAAGCAAGCTTCCCCCCCTCCCCATAGTGACACATTTATATGCAAATATGTATATGAAGTAGGTTTAGTTGATTAATCTATGACAACTTAGATTTGTATGATCAAGGTCCCATCTTAGCCATAGCTTCATCAGATCTCAAGCTCTCTCAGCCTTCAGTTTCCATCAGTAAAATGATGAGTATGAGTGAGGATAAAGACGTTCTTTTGTACACTAACAGTGCTCCATGAAAAGCCATGACATTTTGCCAGAAAACTGCTGGAAGAACAAAGCCATGAAAAGACAAGGAGCAGTGCAGCAGGTCTGTGGAGTCTGGGCAAACTGGGGCACAAAAGCAGCAGTGAATGTTAACTTTGATGGTCATCCTGACACGCCTGGAAGTAGTGGGAAGGGATGCTGTTGAAACAGGTGATCTCCACGGCACAGGGAAGTTTTCACCCATCGCTACCAGGACCAGCTACTGCCTTGTATGGAAGCACTGTTACTCCTGTCACAAGAATGGTGATGGGAAGAACTCAAGTGCTTCTCCAGGTATGTCAGGCAAAATGAAACAATGTCCACATTCATAGTGTCCCCTTCTTCCCCTTGCACCGAGATTGCAGATCTCTTGGTAAAGAATTATGCTTAGGAAAGAAAGTACCATGAAGGAAGACCTATCTGTAGAGAAATGGCACTTGTAAGATCCTCTAGAGAAGAGAATCTGGCACCTAAAGGAAACAAATTTTCTTACCTACTGCTAGAATTGCCATGAAGTAGGTTTCTGCTGCTTTTGAAAACTGCAGGTTTGAAGGATTTGTTTAGTGGGATGGGGTTCAGCCCCTACCTGTGTACTTAGTTGTTTGCACAGGTTTCATATCCTTTGTCACACCTCCCGAGACAGCTATTTTGTGGTGCCATGTAAGAGATATTCTTAACAAATGTCCCCTCAGCCCAGAAAGATTACCTATCCCTGCTCTAGCCTATAATCCTTAAAACTGAACACCCAAGCCAAAAATTGGCTAGACAAAATGCATAAGGTGATCTTGGTTGATCCTGGGGTGGTCGCTCCCAAGGTCTTTCCTCTAGCCCACTAGAGTTCCATGAACCATACCTGGGCAGTTTCAAAGTACATCTCTCTCTCATCCACTGTCAGCTTGAAGGTATTGGGCTGGGGAGCTCCAAAGAAAACAATGTGTTCGTACTGGAAAGTTTCTAAAGGTTTGGGGTCTCCCCGCTTGTACACAGAAACATTCTCTGTGCTAACACTGAGCCAGAGGTCATTTGGAAAGCCACCTTCCTTACACTGCAGGAAAGAAACAAGAAGGGTTTAGCAGATGAGAAAAGCACAACTGGGAAAATCAGGCACAAAAATCAAGTGGATGAGGTATATAGAAGTAGCTCCTCCCTCCCACACAGAGCCTTTCCTCCTTTTTTCATTAAAAAGCCTCCTGTGTATTGGGCAATATTTTCTTAAAAGTCCATTAAAGAGTGTTATTAAATAACACCCAAAATATTGAAACATGCCAAGGCCTTCAGGCTTTGGAGGGTTTCTGGGTGTCCCTCCCCTAATGAAGACAGGAGGCTTTCTCAGTTTATAGAATGCCATCCCCAAAACAACTTGACTGGCACCCACCCTGTTGTGTTCCTGGCACCAGGTGAACACACTTCTCCTGGGTATTTTGATTTTTGTTCTTTTATTGTGCAAGCCCCTGTGAGAACACTAAACTGGCAAATAAATATCACCAAAAGTGTGTTAGGGAGAAAAAGCCACCATTCTTGGCTAGGGCTCCTGAAAAGGGCAAAATCCTGTTTTGCAGATGAAAAAGTGCCGGGGAGACATGATGCACTGACAGCCAGTGCCCTTCCACCCAACTGCTGCTTGTCCAGGTCCTTCTGCTGGGGATCCCCAACTATCCCATTCCCATTTGTGTCAGTGTGCTTACGAGCGGAGTCCATTGGCAGAGGAGCGCAAGTGCTGTGTGGAAGGGAAGTGCTTTTCCTGAAGGGCCTTGTGCCACATGTCACAAGAGCCGGCCTCCAGCGGGGACTTCCCATTCAGACACCCATTTAGTACAGGCAAAAGTCCCTAAGCTGGTAAGTGTACATGCTCTGCCTGCCAATAGTGTGACTCCTGGCTGTGGGAACAACACTGCGACGTGGGGAGAGACTCCCCATCAGTCAACAAGGACAGACAGCCTGCTTTTCTAAAAGAGATTCTCCCAACCAGCGTCAGCCCAAAGCTCTGTGGTCTTGGGGGAGCAGCTTAAGAGCAAGTGGCGGAGGGTGCGATCTACCTGCCAGTAAACCCACTGAACTCAAGGAGACACACTCCTGGGTGGCCATGTAGAGAACAGCACTGCAGGAGGAGTCAGGAGCCTGGCTTAAAATCTCCGCTTAATCATGAGCATAATGAGTAACCTATAGTTATTCATCATGTTTATACCCTCTGTTTCCACCGTTCAGGGCAGTGTCCCATGGTTCTTTCCTATTTTACCCTCCCAACAATCCTGTTAAGCAAGCCAGGCTGAAAATGTGTGTGCCTAGCACAGACTCACCCAGCAACCCGTGAGGCCCATGCAAGAATGGGAACCTGTTTCTCTCCATTTGTAATTTGAAACGGAGCTGCTACACTGCATGGGCTCCCAAGCAAATCATCGGTCACCTTGAGCCAGAGTTCTGTGCCCCCAGAAATCCCAGTTGTAATAGAGGGATTATAAAAGAGAACCTGCCAGAGGGTTCTTGTGAGGACAGCTGGAGTAACAGCACAACACAACACCAGAGCTCTGCTGGGTCAGACCTGGGTCCATCTAGTCCAGCATCCTGGTCACGCCACGGCTGGCCAGCTGCCACGGGACCCCACCAGCAAGACACGGGCTCAAGAGCTCATATTCCCCAGCAACTGGAGCACAGAGACATAGGCCTCTGGCCCCGAAGGGGAACATGGCCATTAGGACCAGCAGCCAATGATCTACACAGGGCTCTTCGACCCCCTTGGGAAAGAATACTAGAAACAGGAAGGCCACAGCACACAGAAAGAGGTCGTGCTTTGCTATCTCGTACACCTCTCACCTCAACATCGAAGAGAGTGGAGCCATAGCCTGGCCATTCCTTCATGATGGCCATATAAGCCACCATAGCCTGCTGCTGGAGCAAGCCCTGCAGTTTGTTCCACTTCTCTGCCACGCTGGCCCGAGCGGCTGACAGCTCCTCTTTCACCCACATCTCCATCATCTGCTCCTCTTCCACCTTTTGCTTCTTCATGGAGCCGGCCTTGAAGCTGCGCTTCAGCGTTCCCTCCAGGAAGCTGGTCCGCCTCCTTTCCAGGGCATGGCTGCTGGGGCCACTGCTCTTCATGGACTGCAGTATCTTGGACTTCAGCCGGTTCACTGGGTAGATGCTGTCCAGGGACCAGGAGATTCTGGAATAGTCCCCATACAGGTACTGCAGCCTCAGCGCTGCCAGGTGCTGCAGCGTCTCCTCTGGGCCTGGGAAATGGCCGTCAATTAGACTTTCGTGCGCCTGTGCATGTCACAAAGAACAGCTTGTCAAGGCCTCATCCTGGTTGTCTAGGTCTGCACACTTGCTGCCCGGACTGATCGAAGTGGGGGGCACAATAACTTCCCCTTTCGTTCCCTATATAGAGCTCAGGGCATATGCAGAACGGGAGCCCGAAGCCAAATGAACAGCTAGAGAAGTACCGCAGCACAAGCACTTCCCCCCCCCGGGGTGCCGCATCATGGATTTTACTGCATCAGGCTGATGTGGAATTACAATAACCATCGGAGCCCCAGAATTACAATGGCAGTAACTTCTGCATGTTGCCCTCTTAGTCGAGATGAGCAAACGCCGTTTCCTCAGAGCAAGATGCCCTCGCAAGCTAATGCTCCTCTCCCCAGCTTGGCTCCCCCAGCCACCTACCACTGCCCACTCTCTCTCCCCCTGCAGATCTTACCTGCTCAAACATGAAGGCAAATTCCACTCCCTCCTTGGGAACATTTTCAACATCCAGGAAGCAATACAGTTTAAAATACAGCTGCCAGGGCCCATCCAATTCCTCTTCCATGGACCCAGCAAGCCTAAAAGATGAGGAAGAAGCTGGTGACCCCCTTGATCATAGCTCAAGAGTCGCTGAATGCCATGCTGCACTTTTGACAGGGATGCCACTGAGAAGAAGATCTTCACAGCGCTCAGTCACAGCGCCCAGAACATGAGAGGGGAATCTCTGGCCTGCAGAAGCTCCCCATCCAGCCTACAGAGCCTTCACAGATCCCTTCATGGACTCCTCCAAGGGGAGAAGCAGACAACACACACGCTGAAAGTACTGAGGTTCCCTGTGCCCTGAAGGCATTCAGTCCATGGAGAGCTAGGGGTGTGTGTGGGGGGTGTCATCTGGCGGTGACCCTAGCCCCCCACCCCAGTTCAGTTGCCTATTCTGGGTTTAGAAGGACTTGCCCCATCATCAGCCGGTCTCTGCAGGCAGCAGGCAGCGACTTAGAGGAGAGCCATTTACACCAGGCTGATGCTGTGCCATGCGGCAAGTGACCTCACACATCAGGAGAGGACGGGAGGGAATTCAACAAGGGGATTTCATTTTCAGTGGCATCCCGTGGTGGGGAGAGCATGTAGTTCAGCTCTAGGGAAGCCAAGAGGCAGCACTAAGCGACACACCCTACACCACACATCCCAAGGCAAACATATGGCAGGACTGGTCCTTCAGAGATGCTTGGTAACCCTGTGTGGTCATGGCCCATGCGGGACACAGGCTTCTTAGCAAGAACCACAGAAATGAACATGAAGGGGGTGGCCTGGCCTGGGGATCCATGATGCTTGCTGTAATGAGGAGGCAACACACCAACACTGTCAGGAGTCCCCACTTCTCAACAGTCCATAGGACCGGGAAAACCCAATCCTAGCCCTTAGTGAAAGAAATGGCACTGGACTGGCACACGTTGACCCAGGTCTTGGGGAAAAAGGAACTTTATTAAAGTACAACACACACCCCATCCAAACGGGAAAGTACAACAACTTCAACTACACATGGGGAAGGGGAAGGGGAAGGGAAAAGGGAGGGGGAAGTGGGGGAGCAGCTTTTAGTCAGTAGAATACAATCACAGAGATTCACCCACCTGGGTTGTTTGACCACCCCTAAAACAACAAACACTAGCTAGTCTAAAACCTAATAACTCCCACTATACCTAACTAGTCTTCTCAAGAGTAGTGGCCCCAAACTCCAGGAGCTGGAGCATGTGGCAGCAGGTGTTCCTCCTCCTGCCTCAGGAGTGTGAGTACCCTGGTCTCCAAGCCCTCTTTTTATTCCCTCCCTAGGCGATCAGAATCCTTTGTTCTCTGAGGTGGCATCAAAGAATCTGAAACCATTTGCAAAACCTCTAAGGAGGCACCAGGTAATCAGATCCATTTGATCCACGTGGTGACATCTCCAGAGTCTCCAACTGGGCTCCACCCCGGGAAGGATGTGACTCTCCTTGAGAATCTGCAGACCTTCAGCTGCTCTCCTTCCTCGGCCCAACTGAGGTGCCTGCTCGTCCTTGAAGCAGCCACCTGTGCCTGGCCGGCCTGCTACAGCCTTAACCCTTTCTTCTCCCTCTGCAGCTTAAGGCCCTTTCCGTGACACTTGCACTTGGTAATTATGATGCCAACACTTGACATATGCAGAGATTCAGGGCCTTCTCTGTGAAGTAATGCCAGATATTCCAGGGATTATTCCTGCAAAAACACTTACCGTTCAAACTTGGCCAGAACATCGGCCACGATCACTCGACTCTCAATGGCCTTGTCCACATGCTTGTTGCGCTCAAAGAGGGCAAACATGTTCCGGCTGTCCTCCATGGCCAGTCCTCGGATCAGCTTCTCTACCACCTGCAAGGGGAAGTGAGAGAGACCACATTGCTCAAATATCATTTTGCAATTGAATTACTGTCAAAAGTTGACTCAAGAGTGGCTGGACAGGGAACCCGCACCCGAGAATGGGCTCTTAGCACTATCTGCATACCTCCAGGAAGGAGGCAGGGGAGAGAGGGAGAGAGTCCTCAGATTTGCTGCCACAACAGAGCTCATCATCAGCAAGCAAAATCCCTCCTTTTCCTCTGCCCTGAACACAGCAGATCCATGCTGCTCTTGCACTGCGCTTACCTCTCCTGCACTCGTATGGGAATTGATCGTGATTTGACAGGAGCCCCCTCCATGGCAGTAGACTGTGGTGGTCATTTCCTCCCGGGTGATGAGAGCCTGTATTTCCTCCTGGGAAGGGACAAACTCCCTGCTCTTGGTTCTCTTCAGGGAGTCGCTGATGAACTGAGAATACCGGTCTACTTCTGTGCCCAGGAAGAGATCTTTTACTCTAGTTGTGAGGGAGGAGAGTGAATAAGCAATTACTATTCTGTGTGCCAAGCCAACTTTGAGCCAGAATCCTGTGCCATTTGAACAGGGCTGGGGAATGGCCAAGCCCATTCAGAAGCCATACGCTACTGACCACTGAAGAGGATGGAGTACCACCTTGTTTTAAACCAGTTATACCAATCTGGACACCACCTGTCAGAGGATCATTACAATTTTCCAGCTCCAGAACCAATATTTACATCTTCATTTAGAACATGGGTGCAGAATCTTGGTCCCAATCTGGGGACGCAAACCAGCCTTCCAAGGACCCCCAGAGAGCCATGCCCCTTTCCTCCAACCTTTTGGTAATTCTGCAGCTTCCGTGCCCTTCCCTGCTCATTCCAAAGGCTTCTTGCTGGCAGTAAGAGGCTTACACTCAAATATGCTGGTGTGTTTGCCTTCAGTCTTGCCCACCACTGAAGTATCATCCCTGCAAGAGCCTCTCCAAAACAGCATTCAGCCCTTTGCTGAAAGAGGTTCAAGAGCCCTGATACAAAGGGCTCACGACAATCAAAGCACCACAGCCTAGCAGATAGCAATAAGGAGAACAGCCTGTTAGAAACCTTCCCCAAGTTGGTACCCTCCAGATCCGTTGGACTACAGCTCCCATCACAGATGACTGGAGTTGCATTAAAACACCTCTAGCAGGGCACCAGACTGGGGAAAGGTGCCACAAGCATGCCTCGAGTTTTCACAAGGCAGGGGAGTAAGCCAGGCATGGGGGTTTGGTGTTCTCCCAAGGATCTGGTGATTAGAGCTTATTCATAACCAGCCAGGTAGCCACAGCTGCACAGTATTCCTCTGGCACAGGCTGCTACCTTCTGAGGTGGAACTTGAGGTAACGCAGGATTCCCCTGCTGGGCAGGAAGGTGCAGCTCATGCAGGTCATCAGTTGCCAGTGGTGAAGATGTCCAGGGCTGTTGGGCTGCGGCACATGGTTGGTCTGCTTGATCAGCTGACAATACACCTCATCCCGGAGGGCCGGGAGGTCATGGCACGTCTGCAGGGTGCCCTGGATGATGGGGATGGGGTCAGACACCGTCTCCAGCTCCTGCAGGGAATTGAAGATTCTCACAGCTTCATCCTGGAGGCTGCTGTAGCCCTTCTCTTGCTGCACTGTGTGTGTGGGGTGGGTGGGAGTGGAGGGGGGCAAGAGAGACAGGGAGAGAAATCAAACGAGGCAAGAAGGGGGCCGTCACCATCTCTTCAAACTCCTAACTGGCATGTTTGTAGATCAGGACTCCCAGGAAGCAAACAGGCAGAACAAGAACTGAACTTAGCGACTCACAAGTTTGGTGTTGAACTCCTGTCCTTGGGTAGAGCCGCCCTGATGCTTGCAGAGGGATACCCACTCTTTGGGGAACGAGGCAACACATTGGCCTTCAGTAGCTAAAGGGATGCCAAGTAGTCCCAGGAAACGCCCTCCAGCATGTGGTGGGGCATATGTCACTGGACTCAAGCAGAAAAATGCAAGACCCCACATGCTACCAAGGTCTGATATCAAAAACAGCCATGCTTAAAAATAACTTTTGCCCATGTTAATAACCCAGAAGAGGACCCATCTGACAATTTCTGATCACTTTTTAAGTTGAATCAAAAGAACATTCAATGGAGAGCAATCCCCCCTACCCGCCACAGTCTACAGTTGCACAATTTTGCTTTCCTGAAGCAAAATTCTTCATGTACAAGCTGGAGAAGCTCATTTACTCCAGCAAGCACAAGGTCCTCTCTGTAAGCCCCTGTAGTCATACAGTGCTACCTGGGACATTTGTGACTCCTTGAAGACCTAGCTGGGGTTCAAAATCCTTGCTAGCCTATCCATCCATCCATCCATCTATCTTGGGTATTTTTATCCCATCCAATTACAACTCATCTCTGGTTGGCTTACAAACAGAACACCCAATACATACACATAATAACCTGTAATGATCCACAGCTGAGAACAAAACATAATTAAAATATTTAAACTTTAAAATTATGGGGAAAATAAAAAGGGTCTTGACCTGGCACCAAAAAGCATATAACATCAGCACCAGGCAGACCTCTCTGGGGAGCGCATGCCATAGCCAGGGTGCCACCCCAGAGAAGGCCCTCCTCCTCCGAGTATACTCTCTCCTAACCTCCTTCAAGGAGGGTTCCCAGAGCAGGGCCTCTGCTGCAGATCTTAAGGGGCAGGTGGGCAAGTAAAGACGTTCCTTCAAGTATCCTGGTCCCAGGCCATTTAGGGCTTTATAGGTCAATACCAGCACCTTAAATTGGGCCCGGGCTTCAATGGGAAGCCAGTGAAGCTGATAGAGGATCAGTGTTATATGAGAATAACGACCAGCCCCCACCAGCAATCTGGCAGCTCTGTTTTGAACCAATTAAAGTGTCTGGACTGACTTCAAGGGCAGCCACATGTAGAGCGCATTACAATAGTCCAACCGGGAGGTTACCAGAATCAAACAGAGTGTCCCTGCAGTGGGCATTTTTGGTAGTGCTACCAACCCTGTGGAAAACTTCCTCCCATGCAGCCCAGTAGAAATCAGGCCAAGTTTCGAACACTTTCTGAAATGCACCCGTTCTCCCAGGCTTTCCCTGGTTTGCAATTAAGCTAACTGTGTTGCTCCATTACACTGCTCTCATTACTGGAATGGGAATTGTTTTTTTCAATATTGCATCTTACATGCAATTTTAATATTTTTAAGTTAGCTACTTAGGGATTGCATTATATCCAGTGATAGAGAATATAAACCAACAAACAACAATCCAACACTGAATATTCAGAGTCAAAGGGCTCCATTCCCAAACACTACATTCTTCTTGGCTAAAAATGTAGCCATTTACATTGACTTATCCCTTAATACACCGTACGGATATCGCTGCTCCATCATCTGTTGGTGAACAGGCATAACAGTGGCAGAGAAAGTGAGATCAACGCAGACTTGGGGCAAGTATGGGGGGCAAAGTTCTGACAGACAGAGAGTTCCAAGCTGACTTTGAGAAAAGCCATTATGTCCCTCTAACATCTCTGTAGGCGCAATCCCATGAAAAAACAGAGCCTCCCAAGAGGAAGTCTTCTCTCAGAAGAATCTACCATCTCTTTTCATCTGAAGGGCATCTGAGGCTGTGAAAGGCAGGGAAAGACAGTTGGTATGCTTTTAAAAAAGCCTGCATTTCTGAACCAGCAGTGTAATTTACAGCAGCTTCTGTCTATTTAACGTGAAATGTTCTTTACTTCATTTGTTTGAAGTATTTTTGACGTGGACAGAAACAATCCTGCTATATGGTGCCATCCTATACATGTTTATTCTCAAGTAAGTCCCACTGAGGGTTCCTCATCCTGCGCACTCATATTGGGTGGGGCATAACTACCACTGAAACCAGAGTTACTTGCTTCTGAGTAAACATGCACGAGATTGTTAGTCTTTATGAGCTTCTTTCAGGCAAGAGGCTCAGATAAACACTGCGTGTCCCTCTCCACCTGCAAAGCTCCCAAGAATTGTTCCTTTTGCGCCACCTCCTGACATGACTCAGTTACCAGCGCCAGTCACTTACAATTGACCCCAACATCCCCATAAGGCAGTGGGAGCAGCGGGGAGTGCAAGGGGTGCTGGGTGTATCTCAAGATGGGGTTCCTTCGGTAGATCTGCTCCACCACTTCAGGGTTCATGCTGTTTTCCTGGAACAGAAGACAGGAAGGAAAAAAAAGATATGTTTCTTTAAGAAGACCTTGCCCTGCCGCTGCCCCCCCACACACACTTAATTGCCAGTAGTAAACAGACGCACACCCATTTGCTTACAGAAGAAGTGCGATAACAGGAGCCTTGGCTCAAGACTCTGTAAGGGTCTTTAACATGCAAGACACTGCAAAATGACAGCGTGATCCACCCAATGGAAGATAAAATTCATTCACCAAAGCATTCAGCTTGTTTTAGGCCAGCAATGGTCCATCGTATAGCAGAACAGGTTTGGATCTTTGTTGAAGGAATATGCCCACACACCATTCTGTGGGTGCAAATTCCTGCAGCCCTTGGCTGGAAGGCACAGCTGGGTGCAATCTGTGAGCTACACCATGTGTGTCTGCCTGCCTCTCTGCACAACAGAGGAGAGGAGAGCTGTGGCCCTCCAGACGTTCTCTGAAGGCAAGTCCTATCATCCCCAAGCACTGATCATGCCACTTGGGGATCATGGGACAACCCACCCCAGCCGTAGAGGGTGGTCAAAACCTCACCAACCAGAAGGCAAGTTGCAGGAGGTGCTTCGTTGTTCCAGAGGGAGTCCCTAACAGACACCGAAAGCTGTCGTTTATGGGAGGTGTGTCTTTGGTTCACCTGGGCCAGTGCTGGTTGCTCTGACTGCGTCTGCTCTCCGGTGGTCTCAGCTGGAGGCCTTTCCTGGCCCCAGTACCAGAGTTCTTTTTTTCTCACTCGAGGGGCCAGGGATCCAGCCAAGCACCTCCCAAAAAAGGGCACACCACCTCTGGACTACCCTCTTCGTATTAAGTGCTGCTTTGTGCACATTCCTCTGAAGGAGGGACTTTGCCAGAACAGATGCAAACCACAGGTCTGCAATGGAGAATCCAGCCATGTACATCTCAGGCCGACAGAGCCTGCCCTTTGTGCAACAGAAAAAGACCCGCATGCCTGCCTTTGACTGCTCCCACGCGTGTGTGCATGGGGATATGGTTTGCCTAGAAGAATAGCAGACAGTAAAGAAAAGAGCTGAGTGAAATCTCTGCTTCTGGAAATCTCTGTTTCCAATCCATCCTTCTCTCTTTAAACAGATGAGCCAGAAAGTTAGAGCTTCCACCCACAATATGGTTTTGATTCTAGCAAGCTGCATGCAGGCAGGCCACATGTGGCACCCACGGCGGATTCCTCAGAGGGTGCGTGTGCTCGAAGGGAAATTCACATATCTGGGTATGTGCAGTTAGGAATCCTAAAAGGCTGCAAGGCTGGCTCACTTGGCCAGGGTGGGCCAGAAGGGGATTCTAGTTCCTTTCTCACATCTCTGATAAGGACAGGAGAAACGCAAGAGCAAATACGTTTCTGTACAGAAGGACTTGCGTATCCTAAAGAGTGGACTTGTGTTGTGTAGCAGGAGACTGGCCTGGGTCATGTGTCCAATTCATACAGCACAGCAGAGTTATATGATCACAGGCCTTTTCTTCAGCCCTGCCGGAGCACGCTCCCCTTCGAGAATAAGTCTGAGAGGCACTCACCCTGATGTCACGAATAAGTTGCTGCGTAGGTGTTTCAATGGGAACCTTGCTGTCGATTACTCCTTGGATGGCTGAGGCCCAGCGCATGGCTTCATTCAATAGCTTGGTGTAGAGGCGGTACGAATGCTTTCTGCCATGCACGGTGATGTTCCAGTAGCCTGCCAGTGCAAACAGAGGCAAGCGGTGAGAGTGGCCCTACAGCCTATTTCAGAGAAAGGAAATGGCAACCAAAGCAGTAAACGAGAAGGGTGGAAGGCAGCATAGGCCGGTGCCTAGCACAGGCAATGAACATAAAGCCCTATCAAATGCTCATCACACCGTGGAGCATGGGATTGGAAGTGGCACGGCCAGCAGCCCTAAGAAAAGGGCCTGCTGCACAAAGCCACTGACACCGCTTTGTGCCCCTCTCACTGCTTTGGCCCCTGGAATGTGAGTTGAACCCCACCTGACTGGGTCTGTGCCTTCATTTGCAATATGTGCAACACTGTTTTGCCCTGCAAAAATTACTGAGTCAAATGTTAGGGTCTGAGGGATGCACAAGAAGGGTTCAGAAATCCACTCTGGCTTACCAGTATGAATGCAGAATAGAGTCCTGACTGCACTTTACTTACAGAACACATGAAGCTGCCTTATCACTCGTCAGGGCTTTTTCTCACCCATCCCAGTATAGCAGCCTTCCCGAACCAGGTGCCCTCCAGACACCCTGGCTGCAACACCCTTAATTCCCAGCTAGCATGGCAGAGGCGGCAGCTGGTGCAGCAATCCTGGGAAACAGACTGCGGCATCTCCCAGACTCTGCTTTGCTTTGGTGACACTTCTACACTGGATGGAGGAGGAGCACCCTAGCTTTTCACCTAGTCCATGCAGGGTCAGCCACGCTGAAAAGTGTCTGAGTGCATGAGGCTGTAGCGATCCAGGAAGATGGACAAAGCAGTTTTTGAAGAAAAAGGGAATATAAAGGGAATTTTTTAAAATGAAAAAATAGGGGGAAAAGAGAGAGAAGGAAGATCAGAAGAGGGAAAAAGGGTGGTGAGTAGCAAAAAGCTGTAAAGAAGCAGATCAGATCAGGCAATGCAGCAACTAGCGTGGTCAGAAAGAAACTGAGAAAGTGGGTGGGAGCACCAGTCCCCTCCACTCCCCAATCCAAGGACCTGGAAGGGGCAGAGGGGCTTTTGCCCACTTTGTGACGTTTTGCTAAGGAAGTTTCTCCCCACAGCAGTGTTCTGATGAATGAACTGTGGGTATATTCCTGCCCTAGCAGCTTATTTTCCTTCCATGCTCAGCTGGAAGAAAGAGAAGCCTCTCCCTTCCTACCCAAGCTGGGAGGAAAGCTGAATGAGAGGAACTTACATGCGAGTGTGTGAGGAGGCCCAGGGTGCATCAGCCACAGGCATTCACACTGTGCCTCTGGCCACTCGCACAGCAGAATATTTGGCCCTGGGGGACAGAACGTTGCTGTATATCATCAGGATGGGGGCCCTCCCAGAGCTTGCCCTGCTTATGCCCTTAAGTACATGAAATTATATTCCATGCATTTATAACTGTGCAATAAAATGCAAATAAATGCAAACAACCTTTCCAGGGTGTTTCTGAGGTGCCAGGAAAGGAGTCAGAGACACACACAGACAGCCTGACATGTTTCTTACCGGTTTCCTTAAAGACTCTCTCATCAGGCTGCACCACGGAGCAGAGGCTGTTGAGCACCAGGGTCCCCAGCTTGGTAGCCGTGCGCTCCGAAGATTTGTAATAGTCGAGGGCGGTGTTGGTCAGTACAAACCAGCGTTTCTTCACCTTCAGAGAAGACATCTTGCTGCTGCTGTGGACCTCCTTGTGAAGCCAGCCTGACAGGGAGGAAGAGGGAAGCGGGAGTCAGCGGACTTGACAGAGCGGGAGGTGACACAGACCAGTCCCTGTGCCTTTATGCAGGGAAGGAGGAAAAATGAAGTGAGAGCCCTCGGCTCCCTATCTTAAGTCCCAGCTTTCCAGTCAAGCACTCATTTGAAAATAAGCAAGCAAGCAAGCAGGCTGTATTCTGCATCTCAGCCATTCAAAGTGCTTCACACATGTTTGCAGCAATCCTTGTAGCTCCTCTGGGTGGGCTGGAGCTGGAAGGGCAGAGCTTGCCTAAGGCAGCCTAGTGAATTCCTGACCAAGACAAGATTTAAGCCAGAGACCTCACACCTTGCACCCTGAGCCACTGCACTGCATCAGCTCCCATGGCCCTTGACGACGCCACCGAGCGGCTGCGCTTGGCATGACTCAGCTATGCAAGTGCATAGCAACCCGTGTGGAGGTACATTACAGGAAAACACACTCTGCCGAGCAGAGAAGGGGCTGCCTTGGGGAAGTTCTTTACCAGACCATTAAAAGGCAACCAATTGCCCACTGCCAGGATTTTTTTCTGAGAGAGGGGCAGGGGATCCTTTCCTGCCTCAGGCACTGCAGTGTCTTGGCCGGTCTTCCCCAACCTGGTGCCTCTAGATGCACTAGACTGCATCTCCCAGGCTGGCTGGGAATATGGGAGCCGCACTCCATCAAGTCTGCAGAGTATCAGGGAGTAGAAGGTAGCTTTGGCCGATTCTGCACCTTGCCTTTTTACCTCGCACAAGAAACTCCTGTCCGTCAACTCTGGATTCGCCTTTGGACTTCTGCAGGAGAGAGATCCAGTGATGCATCTCCTCGGGGATGTCGCTGTTGCAGTGAATGACTCGGTTGGCTGTGATGATCACAAAGGAGTTTGGCCTGCAAAAACGTGCTGAAGGTGAGTCGCCCAGCCCTATGCAGCCAACAGGACATAGCAAAACCTCAGTGATGTCTCTCCCACCCACTCCCTTTTGGCTCGGACGTCACTCAGCTGGCTGTGGAAGAGCACCCTCCACCGAAGAGACTCGCTGAGCCCCTCCATCAAATGCTGGCAATGCTTAGTTCCTGGCACTTAAAAGAACCAGCTAAAATGGGACCTGCGCGAATGGGGCAGCCCCACTAAGGAAAACGACACCTAGTGCTGACCCTTCCACACTGTGGCAGCTTAACTGTTGGCTGGAAACAGACACATATTAAGGCCTCCAACATCAACACAGTCTAACTGGATCTGGATTGTACAAATCCAAGTCTAAGCTGTTTTTTTTTTTTTTCAGTCTAGCCTTCAACTTGAAAAGGAAAAACATACGATGCGTTTTAGGTGAAATTACACAACAGATTCTTAATTTCGCTTTCGTTCTATCTCTGCCCTTCCAAGTACAACCTGAAGAGTGTGGATGGGGGCTCAACAGGTGCTGCTTTCAGGAAAAAACACTCTTCTGGGGGAGGTCAGGCATAGTCATGTGGTGATGGCGGGAGAAATGCATGGACAGCCTCACTGTCCTTGTGCATGAGCCTGCAAACTATGGTGGGTGAACGGGAGAAAGCACCCTGAATTTGGGCACTGTGCCATGTTGGCCCCAGGCGGCACTCTCTCAGCACAGCACACGCTACGTTGGCTCCCAAGTCCGATGGGACAGAGCCTGCTGCAAACGGTGCCCCGTGGTACAAAACACCCAGAGTGCTAGAAGTCTAATCCGTGTCAAGCAGAATTTATTAAGAGGAAAGCAATTGCTCTGAGGATCTTTTGACACCAGTGACCAGTCACTAAAAATACACACAGCCATTTGGGAGATATTTATACTAGGTGATGGTACTTTAAGCAACTCCTTATCTATTGCAATTATACTTACCCCAATGTGCATTTTGAGAGATTTAAATTTATTTTTCCTGTTACACAACTGTCGCTGTACCAAAAATATCTTAAAAGGTATAGATTAAAAAGCATGAAAATAAAATAAAATGCATGCAGCTCTAGCCTACCTGTCAGGATTGTCAGAAGCACAGACGGAGTCAATGAGACCCACATCCAGGGTTCCCTTTAAAGTGACAAAAAAGAAGCAGCAGCTAATGCCCAGATAAAGATAAAATCCAATTCCCACCATTTTCCCACCACTCAATCATGACTGATAAGTGGAGATTTCAAGACAGATGCAGTTAGATGCAGACTTGGATCCTTGATGACTGCATTTGAGTTCCCAAGTGACCCCATTAATTTTTCTTAAATGAATGAATCACTGACATTAATTGCTATGGTGAAAAAGGAAGAGCACTGCGCTTTCGGACAATGTTGCAGAGTGGACAAAATCCTGATACTGGGCAGCCCAGCGTGCACTGACTCCGATTCTGAAGGGAGAGAACACAGAGCACACACCCACCCACAGAATTTCCCACCATCTATGCACAAAGTCAGAAGGACAATGCTCGTGTGTGCACATGTGCTCTCCAGATGTGGAGGATTCTCAGGTGATCCGTGCTCAGTCTCTAAAGAAATCTATTTTAGCTTGTGTACAATCACTTCCCTACAAGGACTGCAGCATTAATTCGGAAGCAGGGAGAAAAAAAACCTCAATGAGAAAGAAATTGGGAAGTATCCAAGGGAGCTGCTCCAGCTCTACTGGCCCTGCTGCACTCGTGGGACCTACCACTTGCACAGTGGAGATTTGGCGCATCTAAATTTAACCCCTGGGAATGAGCAGAAACACTCCCTTGGTTACAGTTTCAGATATGGACTGTGCTGCTTCCCACACAGATCCTGCTGGGCCCTGATATATTACTTTGATTAGCAGCCACTGCACAGTTTCTGTATGGCATGCAAGAGGAAGGTATGTTGATTTAGTAATCTCATATTCATAAAATCTTCCATCTGCCAACACCCTTAAAATATTCAGAACAACTTCAACCATTCTGCTATCCAGAGTGAAATGTCAAAACACAACATCACACTCTAACTGTATTCTGCCATTCCTGTGTCCAGGCAATCCCCTTACAACCTCTCCTCCTTGTTGTGGAGATCTCTGTATTCCCACTTGCTTACATGCTTCCTTCTCCTATATCTCACCCTCCCATCTGCACCCCACCCCCCTGCCACTTCAACAATTCTTATGACTTGTGATGATGTATTTAATTATATTATATTGTTTAGCTAAATCTTACTTCAGGCCCATCTCTCTCCCACCATGCCTGCCCGCCCTCAAATTAGCCAAGCACATCATATCCTTCAGATATTTCTTTCTATACCAACCTCCTCTCTACAAAGGCTGGGGATTATGGGAGTTATATTCCAATCCTGTCCAATTCCAAGCTGATTAGTATATCTCCTACTGCTTACTGACCCTGCAGAAGACCCACTGCTAAGGAGACAGCACCCATCACCAGCTGCCTCACTGGTGACAGGAAACTATCCGAAACATTTAGCTCCAGAGTCCAACTGGCTGCCACGCACCACAGCATTCTTGGGGTTAGCTTGCTCATCCTGCATCTCCCTCAGTTGCTCCTCTGTAGCGCTGTGCACACGGCTTAGGACATTAAACCAGTCACTGTCAGAAAAAGGAAAACCAGGTTTCAGGAAACAACCGTTTCAAATACCATAATGTTGAGGCATCGTTCTCACTGAATGTGGCCCTTTAAGTCAATTAGGCAGTAGGTAGGCATATTGTGCTCTGCCTTATACTAAACTAGACCAGGGAAAGGAGCCATAACTTGCCTAGCATTATCTGTACCGGGGAAGATGTTCATCTTACAGGATATTTTTGTTTATTTTTTTACTGGAAGCCTGAAGTACCCCAGCTGGAGGCAGGTGCAAAATAGCACCTGGCAAACTGACTGCATGAACAAGCTGGATGTGCAGGTTCTTTCCAGTTCGTGCTGTTCCAAGCAGGGGCCCCAGGAGAGGCATCAGCACAGCAGCCCCTGCCAAGCCACCCACTCCACTTATTTCCATATCTTTATCTCTCCCTGTTTCTCTCGACCCGTCTGTCTTTCCTGCTTTCCACCAAAGAGACCAAGGTGGCACACGTGATCCTCCTCCTCCTCCTGTTGTTGTCCTCACAACAATCCTATGATGTGTGTTAAGTGGAGGGACTGACGGGCCAAAGTCACCTGGTGAGCTTCATGGCAGAGCTGGATTCAGAGTCCAGGTCTCCCCATCCTGGCTCTCTTCCATCCAGACCACAGCATGTCTCGATTAACAAGTGGGTGCACCAGAGGAAGGAGCCCTCCAGTAAGCAGCTCCAGATGGCAAAGGCCACAGGCACCAGAGCGCGCGTGAGCGCACCCCCCTTTCCTTCACCATCGTGTTCAGATGCTCACACAGTTTCAGCCTCTGAAACATCCTAATTGTTTTCTGGTGCTTGAATAACAATGAGGTAACTGTTACCACAGAAATGGATGAAGCCTGTTAACTGTTTACATGTCCAGCTTGGAAAAGGTTACAAAGTCTACTAGTCTCAAATCCTAATACACACAACCAGAATCACATTATCCGGCTACCAGGATGTCATATTTGGGTCTTATAATAAAAGTATCAGATGAGAAACAGCAGCCTGAGTCTCCAAGGGAGGTTAGGGATTGTGGGACCAGCACCTGTGAGATGTGTTCTTGCGTCCCCTACCTGGCATCCTCGGGTGACTCTGCCACTATGTGGTAAACCCGGTCGCTTGTCACAATGTCCAGGGCATTCTCCTTCTCATGAATATCCACAATCTCCCTGAAAAAGAGCCAGCAATAAGCACTAGGAAGCCAAGACTTCCCAAAGAGAAGTTCAACCACCATCCCACTGGCCAAGTGAGCATCAAGTTGGTTTGTTCTTTCCTTTGATTTTATGGATAAACTTCAGAACATCTTCTCCAGTGATGCCCCCCCCCCACCAAAAAACAGCAGCATCGAAACAGGATGGCTTAGTGGCAGACTCCCTACCACATCCTTAGATCACCTTAGGGATGGTCCTTAGCTGTTTAGTTAAGGATACATTCTGTGGAAAGGTCACTCAAAGAGCTTTAATATGGGCCAAAAAAAATCCTTTGCACAAGCTGGTGTGTGGAAGTAGGATATTCCAATAAGCTGAAGGCACTAGGTTGGGAAAGGCTGGCCTTAAAAGTCCAAGATGTGGGCGGTGATCAATTAGGAGCACCCAAAGAGGAGAGGGAGAGAGGAGGCAAGGAGGCCCCATTAAGACCACTGGACCTCACACAGTGGGGCCACACTGGCTCAAAGAAAATGCCCTGTAGTCAGTTGTAAGGCAACATAATTCCCAGTACTCTGGAGCTTACTGCCTCAAACTACTTCTCCTGAGGAACCATGTTGTGGGGGAGGGGCTTGTTTTCCACTGTTCCAACAGCAGCTGCAAAGGGGCAGTGGTGGGGAATAAGGAGTCTGGAGAATTGGCATTGCCTTGTGTCCCTAGTGTTGAGAAACACTGTATTTTAATTACTATTTCTGTTGCTGTTGTGATTTCTATTTGTTATATGTATGCCTTTGCTCTGAGGAAATCCGAGTGGCTTGTACGATCCTCTTCCTCCCCTTCACACATTACACTCACTAGGTTAGGCTGGCCGTGGTGATACTGCCAACAGGTAAGACCTGGTGCACAAAGAGGCACTACAGGGACTCTGGGGGGAAGTGCCCGTGCCATACTTGAATTCTTGATTCTAAAGGAGCACAAGCCAAATGCAGCCAAGCATGTACTCTGGATTTTAATAAACTCAGGATAATAAGTAAAGTCCCATGGCAAGTCCAAGATGGGTACATTTTTTAAAAAGGAAATTCTGAAGACACAAACAATTCCAACAAGGAAAAGAGGTAGAAGGCAACAGAAGACGCCAACATGGCTTCACAGAAAGCTTAGAGAAGATCAAAAAAGGGAAGTGGAAGGAAGATCAGGCTGCAAAGGAAGAATACAGGCAGGTAGCACAGAATTGCAGGGATGGTGTCAGAAAGACTAAAGCTAGAATGAGCTGATGCTAAAAAGGGATGCTAAGAGCAACAAAAAGCCTTCTTCAGATATGTCCAAAGTAAAACACAAAGGAAAGAAATGGGGCTCAAATACTTAGTGTGGATGGCAAAATAACAGATGACAAAGAGAAGGCAGAAATGCTCAATTCCTACTTTGTCTCAGTCTTTTCCCAAAAGATCTATCACTGTCTTGATGAAGGGGAAGTACAAGGTGAAGAAAGAGGATGAAAGCCCAATAGGCAAATGGTCAAGGATCATCTCATGGGTTGAATGAGTTCAAAAATCCAGGACTCAATGAATTCCGTCCTAGCATCATAAAGGACAGAATCATTAAGATCTCTGAGAACCACTCCCTATTATCTTTGAGAAATCATGGAGAAGAGGGGAAGTGCCAGATGACTAGAAATGGGCTAATGTTGTCCCTGTCTTCAAGAAAGAAAAAAAGAGGAACATGAGGACTATAGACCAGTCAGTCTGACATCAATCCCTTGGAAAATTCTGGAGCAGATTATAAAGCAGTCAGTCTACAAACACCTTGAAAGCAAAGCAGTGATTACCAGAAGCCAACATGGATTCCTCAAGAACAAATCTTGCCAGACTAATCTGATTTCATTTTTGGATTGGGTAACCTTCCTGACAGACAGTGGACATGGTATATCTTGACTCGAGTTTTTGACAAATTGCCCCATGATATCCTGATTTGATTAGCAAGTTAGCAAAAAGTGGGCTAGATGGAACAATTATCTGGTGGCTCCACAGTTGGCTACAGAATCAGAAAGAAAGAGTGCTCACTAATGGCACCTTTTCAAATAGGGGAAAGGTAACACATTGAATACTGGGTTCTGTCCTGGGACCAGTGCTCTTCAACATTTGTATTAACAATTCGGATGAGGAAGTGTAGGGAACAATTATCGCATTTTCAGATGGCACAAAACTTGGTGGGATAGCTAATACCCTGGAAGACAGAAAGAAGATTCAAACTGATCTTGATATGTTGGGAGTGCTGGGCTGAAAACAACAGAACTGCATTTAATAGGGACAGATGCCAAGTTGGCATCTAGGAAAAATGAAAACAAATGTATTGTTACAAGATGGGGAATACGGCTAGCTCAACAGTACTGCAAGCGATAAGGATCCTGGAATTGCTGTAGATCACAAGCTGAATATGAGTCAACAATGTAATCTGGCTGCAAAAAGAGCAAATGCTATTTTAGGCTGCATCAAGAGAAGTATCACATCCAACTCACATGAAGTACTAGTTCCCCTTTACTCAATGCTGGCTAGGCCTCATCTGGAGTACTGTGCCCAGTTCTGGGCACCACAGTTTAAGAAAGATGCAGATAAGCTGGAAAGGGTTCAGAGGAGGGAGGCAAAGATAATCATGAAACTGGAAACAAAGCCCTGTGAGGAGAGACTGAAAGAGCTGGCCATGTTTAGCTTTGAGAAGACTGAGGAGTGATATGATATCACTCTACCAGTACTTGAAAGGCTGTCACAAAGAAGAATAGGATCTCTTTGTGATCATTCTGGAGTGCAGGACAGAGAATAACAGGATCAAGTTACAGGAAGCCATCAGGAAAAAATTTCCTGACTGTTGGAGCAGTATGACAATGGAACCAATGACCTAGGGAGGTTCTGGGCTTTCCCACACTAGAGGCATTCAAGATACAACTGGACATCCACCTGAGAGGGATGGTTTAACTAGGAATCCTGCACTGAGCAAGGTTTGGACCCAATAGCCCTCTGGCTCCTTCCAACTCCACTATTATGTGATTCTATGACTGACCCCCAAAGTCCCAGTCCAGCACTCTAACCCCTACACCACACTGGCTCTCACAAATCATAGGCTCCCATACTTGGCCTTTCGGATGTCAATTGTTCCTTTCAGCTTCTCTTCACTGTCATTCTCAAAGTACATCAGCTTGGCCTCTCTCAGCACAAACCAGCGCCGCTTCCAGTTCCGGCGAGATAGCGTGGACATGCCTCCTCCTTTCTTGTAAAGCCAGCCTGACTTCAAGGCTTCTTGCTTGGCTCGGAACCACATGAAGGCCTCATTCTTCAAGACGCACCAACGCCGCCTCCAGGGGTTCATCAGGCCCCCTTGTGGGGAAGAGAAGAGATACGGTCAAACTTGCTATCACATCAGAATGTCCCCCATCTATGCTCCACCAGCCTTTCAGAAGATGAGTATGTGCCTTACATATATGCATTACAAAAATGCAGGGTCAATGACCAATATCCAGCCAGAGTGCAGCCCTACTTACGGAAAGATGTAAGATCTAGCAAGATCTAGCAAGGCAAGTAATTGGAAAATGTTCAGTTTGTAACAAAACTTAAAATGTATACTACACAGCTGTGTTCAGGGACAATGATTTTAAATAATGTACAGAACCTGTGCTGAATAATGTAAAAACAACTGCAGATCCTGAAGTTTTTGTTGCTATGGCATTGTTACCTTGTATTTCTCAAATAAAATGCTTTTTTACACCATCATATGCTATTAAGAGGGGATGTAAATGATAGATATAAAAATGAAATGTTATCAGCTCAAGGAACTCCCTCTTCTTCTTTCCACCTCTGTAGTGCCCAGGTTTTGTGCAGGCTATCATTTTTGAGGAAACAGTAGTCCTTACACCACTACAGTGTAACCAACTTCACTCTTGCAGTAGCAGTATGATAACAGTATTAGTGTTACTGAAGCCTTGTTGTAATTGAGATAGCCCTGGCAGCAGAAAAGAAGCAAATCAATCAACTATCCAGACAGTGATGTAGGATTTGGATTCAAATTCCCTCTCAGCCATGAAAACTGCGTCTCCCCTAGGCAAATCTCAGCCCAACCCTGCCTCAAAGGGTAGCTGAAGGATAAAATGGGATGACCTCCATGTTCACTGGCTCTGATCTCCTTAGAGAAAGGGAAGGATATACATATGATGAACACACACAATTCTGAAACTGAAATTTGGGGTGTTTGGGCTGGAATTGTCTCACGAGATCATCATTCTATAGGTACCTCTGGCAGTTGCTCAAAAGCACGTATGACTTTCACAGATACGTTGGCAGTGCCTACATTGGAGAGATGGCGATTCTTAGAAGCAATGAGGGAGTCAGGGCGCGCATGGTACTGACAAAGCTGCTTACCCTTCATGTAGAGATAGCTGTGAAAATAGGCTGGTCCTGAGCCGCTGAGTATGCTGACCCGGCTGATGCAGAACTCTTCATCTGTGTCCATGTAAGCATCTCCTTCATCCTCACTATCTAGAAACTAAGGGCAAAAAGAATTATCACACTCTCAAAAGCTACATAACCTGACAATTGCAAAGTCTGCAGATTTACACCACCCTCTCCAAGTGATCCACCTTTCAAACATAACCATGGAGCTGGCCAGATATGATTAATACATTGCATCTATATCCCACCTTTTTGGCTCTTGCAAAGAACGCAGGGTGGCTTACATGGCAACCAAGATGTTTTCAAAGCAGTGGGAGTCCCAAGTTGGAAAGTCAATTTAAGGTTAAGGCCCAACACTGTGTGTGGTTGCCCATGTGTGATCTTTGGCCTTCATCTCCATTTTATAATAAGATGTTTTAAAGAGCTTTCATTTTGTTATTGGAATAGACCAACCTTCCCCCAATCTGTTGTGCTCCATTGGCCTATGTTGCCAGGGGGATGATGGGACATGTGGTCTCCCCATGCAGAGAACAGCAGGTTGACAGTAGCTTCATCCCTCCCTTCCCACAAAGGCTTCAGCTCCCAGTGCCCTGCCCTGCCCTTCCCAGCCACCACTGCATATGCAGTTGATGCTACTTTCAAATCAATCGAACATAGAACAGTGCCTGCAGCAGATCCCATGAAAACAGTGTTACTTGCAAACACACAGTCTAACACACACACACACACACACACACACACACACACACACAGAGCGAGAGCGAGAGCACAAAGGGAAGGGTTAATGAGTGAAGCTATTGAAATGAAAGGGAAGTAATTCAGCATTTGTAACAACATTTTTGTCAGGCCAAGATGAACAAACAAATTGCATCCTATTTGGAAATATTCTGCAATATTAAAAAAACTACTCCCCTCTTTCCCCAGCACAGCAGTAGTTGGAAGTAAAACGTTTCAAGGCTTGCTGCTTGCCTATGTGACCTTCCTCTTTATTTCCCACTGTAGGGAAAACTCACTTGCTCATTCAGTTCCCTAGACCTTCCTACTTAGCCTATGCTCAGGGAATATTGTTGGCAATATCTCCTGGCTTCACCCTGCTGTCTTTCCAACAACACTCCTCATAGAGACATCGAAAGAACATCCTATAGTATTTCCTTGAGGGGCTGTGTTTTTGATACACAACCAATATCCCCCACACCTCCTCCGCTTCTTTTGCCATGCTTAGGCAGCCACATACAAATAATGGCATGGAAGGAAATATGTATAGACTCTGGGTTAGTTCCAAATGAACAAAGCTACTTCCTGGACTGCCTTGACATCTGGATTGTGGGCCCTTAGAGATCCCTTCAAAGAGAATAAACATTGCAAAGTACCATGTAATCATAGGGGCTTTTTATTTCACTGATACAGCTGGAAAAACAAACAGCCAGAAACAATGGTAGGGCCCATGGATTTGATAAGGACAACTTGGCAAAGGAATTTAATACTTGCCTGATGGGCCAAGTATTTCTTTTCCAAGTTTTCACGTATCCACTTGGATAAGTGGAAATTATTAGCTTGCTGTGATTTTGGCAAGTAACATTATTTTAGAACAAGGATCCCCAGCCTTTCTAGATGGTGGGAACACCTGGAATTTTGTGTCATAAATGGTTTCAGAAAATGACTTGCTCAGTCATAAAATAGCTACTATTGTGTGCACAGCTAGCTATAAAACACTACTTCCCTGAAGGAAAACTGGTGAGACTAAAAGAAAACCTAAGTACAAACGGAGGTGAGGTCTGAACTCTGAAATGCAAAAATATATTTGTGAACCCAGAGAAAGATGGCATACTGGTTTGAAGCACAACAACTTTCCAGTTTAAAAAAATGAATTAAAAAGTCTTAACAAAATAAAAATCAGGAGGTGCAGGTTGCCTGGCATGCACCAAGAGAGATTTCTGGGCCACCCTGACACTCACAGGCACCACACTGAAAATGCTAGCACTGGGGAAGGGAGCTGTGAGAAAAAAATATTTGGAAGAACCTCCATGAAAGTAATCATGACTTCACTGGTACACGAATGGCAATTACTGGATTCCATTCTTTCAGAAGTCAATGGTTTAGATAGCAAGACTGGTTCAGTAAAAGAAGGTTAACTTTAAAAGTGTTCCATTCACTTTTTACATTGTATAGTATACTGACTATTTGCCCTGACAAAGAGAGAGGCTGCAGATAGAGTGATTGTGAGTGGCTGGCTTGAGGTCTGGGGAAAAGTGTGCTATGGCACACTCTTCTTGAGAATCCAAGTCCGGAAGCCCTGGCAACTGAATGTCCTCAGCTGACCTTCACCCCAAGACTGCCATAGCAGCTTGTCCTGGTCTCAGGCACCATCACTTTCTGATCATTGATCCTGGACACCCCTTGATAAATGTTGCTCCAAGCCCCACAGGCTGTGTGCGTGTGTTTTCTAGGTAACATATAGAATGTCGGGGAGGTCTTTGGATAGAAGTATCTTACTGTACGGCACTAATAACACAAGATAGTCCCAAGCACACGTGAGCCAAGTAAAATCCACTCTAAAGTGAGATCCATTTACTACATGGAGGGAAAAGAGGCTCACCGAGTCCAAACTTCCACGGTTGGAGTCCACACCATTGCTATGAGAATGATGCAAGGACTCTTCCCCATTCAGTGGCTCAGCTGATGTGCTGCCAACATCCCCACTGCCATCAAACTCCTCGTGGTCGTAGTCGGACTCCACGTCTGGAGGCAAGCTATAAATGGGTTCTTCCACCTCCCCATTGACAGCTTGCAGGTTTTCCACAATGGTGTGGCAGATGCTTTCCACAAGCTGCTTCTGGGGGCTTGCAGGTCTCTCCATAGAAAGGTCCAGAGAGTGGAGATCCCCATCTTCCCCCTCCCCAGGCGCTGGCATGTTTGGAGACGTATCTTCCTCGGAGTAGTAGTTATCACTGGTTCTGGCACTGCTGTCCTGGTTCAACAGACTTGGGCTGGGGACGGGTGGGCCCTCTTCATCAGCAGGAAAACCTTCATCTTCTTCTTCCTCAGCCAGGGGAGCCACAAGGCTGTACTCAATGTTGAGAGTTCCTTCATTAGAGAGGGAACGCCCCAAGCCTTGCACACTCTCATCTAGGTTCCCAAAATCCAGCAGCTCCAAGAACTCCTGTGCAACCCTAGATGCTTCCTTCTCCAGCCTCTGTATCTCTTCTTCCCGTTGCCGCTTTATCTCGTTTTTGGTGTTTTCACAGGTGACTGAGATGTGCTCCGCCTTCTGCTGCCACTGCAGCTTCTCAATCTCCCTCTCCAGCCGCAAAATCTCCTCCATTTGATGCTGTTCCTGCACCTGCAATGGCTGGTCCTCCTCTTGGGTCCTGAGCACTTCCCTCTGGTTCAAAAGAGCCACAAGAACAAACTTTTATAAGTCAGCCTTAATGGAGATGCATCAACAAGTCCAAGAATTCAGGAGCTGACCTGGTGGCCAAGCAGTGCTTCACTCCACTGTCTGAAAAAACAAGACATCTATTGTTGAACTCTAAGGCTTAAGACAGAGGAATTTATAAAAATTTCCTTCCCTCCAACAGAAAGTTGGAAGGGACTTGAAAAAGGATTCCTGTGTGTGACGTGAACAGTAATACCACTTTCACCTCTGGCATATTAGGGCTTGAATTGTTTTTAAAAGTTGCAAAACCTCTTTCATCTGAAGGAACCATCAGGCGAAGGAAGTATGCATGCGCCGTGCATCATGGGGAGCCAATGCCCCTCTTACAAAACACTCCTGGTTCTCTCAGAAACAGCCGGCTGTCTCTGCTGTGGATGTACATGTGCCCTTCCCTTCATGGCAATTATTCTATGAAGGGAAGGGGTTTTGATTCAGGGGGTCTTTTCTGAATGCTTCTACAGTCATTCCTCTGCAACAACTTGAAAACGTACCTAGAAACTACTGTGTGGCCTGGGAGGAAACACCCATTGTTATCAATGGGAACTTCTCTTCTGAGCAAAGCACAGCTGGGTGTGGGTGCATCTGTGTGGAATTCAGCACAACTCAGGAAAGGGTTACATTTCCCTCCCCAGAGCCCTGGTCCGCACACACGCACATACATGGCTGCTATCTGCACTCATAAACGATTTCTCAAATTCGAAATGATCGGATTAGCATCATAGGTGCTTGATCTGAAGAATGGTCAACTAACTGTTGTCTAGACTGAAGGCATCCTCCAGATTGGGAGGAGAGCATTCTGCAAAAAGCACTTTGTCTCAGCCCAGCCTTCCCCAACCAGGCGCCCTCCAGAATGGCCCAGCTACAACTCCCAACATCCTCAGATAGGTTTAGGAAGGAGTTAATCTGTCAATGGGAAAAGGTCAAACAAGAGAGATTGCCAGAATGTGTTAGCATTCGAACGGTGATCCTTGAAAGGCGAAGCTGAAGTAGACTCAACAGAACGTACCTGAGCCATCTGCAGCGCGGCTTCCAGCTGCTCCTTTTCTCTGTTTAAAACAAAGCACAAATTCATTAATACAATCCACAATGCAGCTTGCTGGAGTTTGCATGAGGAACTCTGAGCTCTGCAGCCTTCCTTCTGCATTTGCTGGTGCTGAAATCAATGCTGTTCTAACTAGTATTGCTGCCTCCATTATTTATGTCCGGGTGAGTCATTACGAAGCCTTCAAACCAAAGAAATTTATTATATTACACCTAATTAAAGGCTTTGGTTTGCAGAAAGCTGGATTTTTTCAAAATCCAGGTACTGTCTGCTACTGAGCACATACGGAACCATGCCCATTGCAGAACGCATGAGGATACCCATGAAAAGGGAAACAATAGTTGCCTTACAGAGGCTAAAAATTAACCATCATATGAATGCACTCTTTTGTCAGACTTGGAGATACATCAACAATTTGTTCCAGATTAGGTTAGCCAAAGGCATAGTCTTTTCATGAAAGAACCAGACCTCTTGACTTCTTCGGCTGTGTCAAGCCTGTCCTGACTCTCCCTTTTCTACAATTTGGAATAAATTAGGAAACTGAACAGAGATCACAGAGAAAGCCTTTGACTTGTTGCAGATCCAATCAAAAGGCTCAGTGGCTGGGCTCAGTTTAAAAACTGTGGCTCCCCAAAACCATGCACTTACCCATACTTATCTGCATAAGTACCGTCTAGCATCTGCTTTTACACGTGCAAGGACTGTATCAGCCCATCCAGCTTACATATAACCTTGCAGAGAAAGTAGAGCCACAGCCTGAAAAAGAAGCAACTACCACCGTAGTGCAACTCCCGGCTCACATTTGCACTTCAGAAGCAGCAACCTGCAATGATGTAACCCGTTAACCTCACAGAAGCGAAAATCTTCTTCCCTGGCATCTGGCTTTCTGTGTTCAGGAAATTCTTTGTATGGAGGAAAATGAATTTGTGTAAGCACCCTCTCTGAAACAGTCTGAAGTCGCACACTGGTTTGCTGCCTGAGCTACTGCATATGAAAACCAGGCCACAGAAATAGCATGAAGTCCGCCTTATACCTTTTCTCCTCCTCCTCCCTCCTACGCGCCCTCTCTTCTTGCCATTGTCTTTCCTCTTCCTCCTTTCTAATCCTCTCTTCCTCTTGCCGCCTCTGCTCCTCAGCTTCCTGTTTCCGCCTCTGTTCTTCCTGTAGCAGGTGCCGGTAGAGACTGCGAGCCAGCTGTCCTCGCCAGTATTTTTGCAGGACAATGGCAGAGGCCTTCAGGCGCAGGAGATACTTCTTCCAGTAGTGAGCACGGTAGTTCTTTTGGATGGTCACGACACTGGCTAGCACCCTCCGATACCTCTTCCTAAGTCAACAGAAGTAAGATGGTGGTTACAGTCAGCAAATGGCCATTCCCCCTTAGTTCTCCCCAGGCACCATGCAGGGCAGTAGAAATTGCCCAGTCCAAATTGTCAGATTCAATGAGCCAACACAATCACTGTTGCAATCCTCCAAAGAAACATTTTCCCAGGCATCCATTCATTCCACACTGTCCTTTAATTCCCATCTGCCGCCCACCTAGTTTCCAAGTCTCAAGAATGCTCTAAGCATCTCCCCCCCTTGGGGCCACTCATTTCCTGTTTCTACACCAGATCTTCCTCTGCTAAACAGAAAAACAAGTGAAAGAGTGCTGGGCTGGCACAAAGGATATGGTCAGTCCATGCAGCCTCCCATGACCAGGTTCCTCTGTCCCTTCAAACAAAGAGGTCTGATTCACGTTCTACCTTTCCCATATAGACAGCATCCTGCCTGCTATCCTAAAACACAGTGATGAGCAGTTTTATCAAAAAGAAAGCCAGATCCCAAGAAGCTACATGCTCCCCTCTAAGTCTGGCAGCTGTTGGTTAGCAGGGAGGCTAAGCACTCTGCACATGCTTGGAATAGGGAGGGGTTCACATTGGGTTGGGTTCACATTTTAGTAAAAACCAACCTAATTTGCACTTCCCAAACTAACACATGAAATGAAATGCATGTCTCCAAATACAGTTGTCCAATCAACAAGTGTCCAAAAAAGGCATATACTAGGAGAAATGCATAGAAAAAAATGCATGCATTTTGAATAAACATTTCTTCTACTGCATGCATTCTGGGCATGAGTTTCTCCTAGCACATGCATTTTTGAGACACATTTCTCCCCATGTGTACATTAGGAGACACATGTACAAAAATACCTAAGTTGGAAGAAGTGCTTACAAAAAGGGGCACAAATTTTTGTGCCAAACAGCAAAATAAACATATATTTCAAAAGGTAAAAAATTGTAGGAACCAAAACAGATTCATCCATCCTTAGCTCAAAAGCACCCTCCTCTCTAGCTAACATGCAGATGAATAACGGCATAGAAAAATGCAGGTCTTGCTTCCCATCACCAGCACTCCTGGCCTGAACTGAGCCACTGGAGCTGGTTCTTTTATCTGTGCTGATATGACCTGTCCATGTGAATCCACGTTCCATGACATGCTGGTCATTCCTTTCCCACCCACCCCTTTATGGAGAATAACGTGAAGCACTAGCAGACTTTAGCTTCTGTACAGCAGTAGCATTACCTGTGAAAAGTACTTAGAAGAGCTAGGCAACTGCTGTTCTTTAGCAGGAGACACACACAGAGCCTGTGCCACACAAAGCATTGAGTAGTAGCAATGGCAGCAGTAGTGTGTGTACTCTGAAATCCTATGACTGCATCATGCAAGTGCTGAAATGGATATTGACACAGATTTCAGCAATCTGAGAAACAAATCTTTCTTCTTCATCATCATCATCGCTGCCGCAGCAGCAGCAGCAGCAAAACAGTCCTGAGACGAACAGGCTTCCTGCATTTAAGGCTGTCAAGAAAAGCTTTAAACGGTGCGTGCATGCCCTGAAGAAACCCCGGGGCTTAGCAGAACATGGCAAGAGGAGACCACAGCCCGCCATCGAGGAGAGAGCCTAAGGATGCGGTAGGGGCTGCAGGCGGTCAATTCCATGCAGAGGAATGGCTTTTGGGAGGAGGGCTTGGTGAACCCTCCCTGTCGCTTACACTCACTCCCAGTGCCTTCCTTCTGCCCCTGCTGCTGCTGAAGCTCTGCCGGGGGGAAATGGGGAGGTGGTATATGAGGAAATGTACTGCACCCCTTCCTGCCCATGCCTCCTCTGATCTGAAAGAGTTTCCCAGTCCCTGCTTCATCCTCTTCTAACTAATGGTTTGGGCTGCTGTCATGCCTAGTTAGACCCACGGAAGCCAACCTAGTGGCTGAACAGGACTTCCAGTGATCGGAGGGTTAGGGCTGCCGTGCAGAATGGTCCAAGAGAGGAAATCTGAAAAGCATGCAAACCAACAGGTGGTAGTATTATAGCAATAAGCTAAGCAATTGAACCTTAGCTGCTTGTTAATAGTCCCCTAAGACCTGCTCCTTCACCTTGTCTGACAGTAGGGCTAATCCTGCCCACATGGTCTGTGTGGCTCTTTAGTTACAACCAGCAAAAGCAGAATAAACTGTGCAAACACTCATAGGCTGATGCTCTTTAGCTGCATAATGCATTCAAGCTGCAGATAGCTAGATCCTTGGCACAGGATTTTGGTTACCTTAGTGCAGGGTATGAGCGTTTTTAATGGTAGAAGATGGCAATGGTGGTAGTGGAGCTGAAAGCAGCAAGAACATTAGTAGCTATATCCCAGCTCACATGCTCTTGAGCCAAGTGCTGATGAGCCTGGCTCATAATTATATCTTCAAAATGTAGTTAGTTCAGACAAAAAACCCAGGAAACCCCACTTTGCACTGCCCAGCGGGTCATATGTCTGCAAAAGGAGTCTAGCCAATGGCTTCTGCCAATGGCAGATGGAGCTCTAACTTCTTCAGTGTTGGGTCTAATCCGCTTTCCTGCCCCTGTTCACCAACCTATGCTTGGCACCTGTGTAAACTATTCCTAGAACTCTGCAAACACTGCACTTTCAAAATAAAACAAAAATCTGGAATAAGAGGAGTTGAATGGTACATATCAGCATTTGCACAATATGCTCTGCTTCTGACAATTAAGGGAAAGGCAAAGGGGCTGGGGAGGCAGGGTATAGCAACCTTGCCTCCCAGAAGTTCTGCTTCACTCCACTCCCTCTGCGGTTTCCTAGCCAATGGCTTTTGAGATTTCACCAGGCACTGCCTACACATTTTGAAGCCTCTTTTTGCAACCTTAAAGGAGGCTAGAAACTTAAAAAATAAAAATAAGTTCTCAGGCTGCTGAATGCCTTGTTCAGTACCAATCCCAGAATGCACACAATTCCAGTGATATCATCCCAGTGGCCTGCTACTGCGCGTGGCAACACCACACTCTGGAGTGCAAGTGCTTGTCGGAATGAGCACACACAGCAATTTGCCAGAACAAGCAGAAACAAAGGCCTGCTCCACTGAATAGGCAGCAGCAACAGCAAGGGAAAAGGCCGACCGGGATAGGGCAGCCAAGGCAGCGGACGAATCGAGCCAGCCTGCCTGGGACTTCTCTTTATCTCTGCAGCCAGGGGAGCCTCACAGAGAAGCAGGAACTGGAGAGGTATTTATGAGGCAGGGACCCTCCGTTTAGGTCTATGCATGGCTGGGAATAAAGGCAAGATTGAGGTGAGGGCCCTGACTGCACAAGCCAGAGTCAAGCTGGGGTTTTCCACTGGGCAACTGCACAGAGGATAAGAAAGTGCACCAGGAAAAAGAGGTGGTGCAGAAAGACCAGGGCTGACTCTAACTTTGCAGCCGGTGGCAGCCTTTGAGAAATAAGAGGAGGCTTTCGAGTGGGGGCAGGGAAAGAAAGAGGAGAGGAAGCCCAGCCAGAAGCAGCAAGCTGGAAAGGAGAGCAGGCAAGGGGCATTCCAGCAGTGGGGTGGAGGAGAGCAATTCAGGCACTGACTGACCTTGCCATGTAGCCCAGGGCGTGGGCTCGGATGATGGTCGCCGCCTTCTTCAGCTCCTCTTCCCGGGCCTTCTCCAGTTTTTGCTCCAGAGCCTCCTTCAGGAAAACCTGGCACCCCCGGGAGGAGTTTCATCAAACACAAAGAGAGGAAACAGCAAGTCCCAGGCAGCACCAGCAGGTCCCATGCCTGCCTGCCTGCCTGCCGTTGCAAGGCACAGAGAGCTCCTTTTATGCTCCTGCACCAGAGTTGCCCTGCTCTGCCAGCCCTTCCCCTTTGGGTGCCTGCGCTGATGGACAGGGGAAAAGTTGTGCAGGAAGGCCAGCCAAACTCAGCCCAGCCCTGCCCCCACAATCTCTTCCGTGCTGTGCTCCAAGGATTAAGGGGGAGAGGGAGCGGGAAAAGAGAGGAGGAGGAGGAGGCAGCGGCGGCAGCGGCGGCTGCACTGCTCTTAACTCTGCATTAACCCTTGCTTTGACGCAACGACTTCTAAGGCTACCACGGCCTGCTGTTCAAGGCTATGAAAGAGACAGGCAGAGGGATGCCACTTTCCAAGCACTGCATGCACACAAAAGCTGAAAAGGAAGCCCAGAGGAAGGAAAATGCACAAGGAATGTGGTCCAACTGTGCCAAGATGCCAATCCCACAAAAAGGAGTGGGTGGAGGGGGTGGAAGAAGGGAAATGATTTTGAGAGACCCATTCCTGCACTGCAGCTAAGTCATACATATTTTCCCTGGCTGCTTCTTTGCATCACTGCCTCAGTGCCAGCCTACCCCCCGCCCCCAAGCTGTCTGTCAGCAGAAAGATTCTTCCACTCTACAGCCTTCTCTGCCACAAAACCTCTCTTGCATGCACAAGAGCAGGGTCCGCTGTTTTAGATGCACCTGGAGGCCACCTCAAGCTCTGGAATGTCAGGTCCCTGTCCCAGACTATGTCTGTGGCCATGCTGGACGATGTTTAATTAGGCATCAGGAGAAAGGAATTGTACAGTATCAATCACAGAATATTTTTAGTGCCCCAGTAGTGAGAACTGGAAATTCCACCTTCCTGCTTGATAGTTCCTAGCTTGATAGTTTCCTAGCTCGTTCCTAGCTCGATAATTCAAGGAAGGTGGAATGGTCTGGGCTGGCTCCTGTGAAGCTGCTTAAAGGGTCAATGTTTTCTGTTTTGCAGACACAGTCCAAGAGGCAAGTCCCAGGATCCTTTGCAATACAGCAATGGATGCCAGGACACAGTTCTTGGATCACATGGTATCCCCTCTTGGGGACCACCCATCACCACCTTGTCTCTCCACAGAGGGTGAATATGAAGTAGCTTGCTTGCCAGATTCCTGGCAGTACGGAGGTTACCTCCTGTACTTCATCAGATGGAAGGGATATATGGACTGGAAGAGCAGTCCTGGAAGGATCTATCAGCTGTGCACATGCCACCCCTCATCACCATTTTCATGGCCAGTAACCAGGCAACCCAGGATCATGGGACTTTTGGGGGCCACGGGCACAACTGGCAATTTGCAACACAGTCCTGCTCACCACTACAAAATTATTGGCATAAGAAGTACCACAAAGAACAAGCAACCTGCCCAGAAGACTGAATGCAAAGCAAATAGGGTGTCTGAGCCCCAGTGCATTATACAAGAGACTAGACATCACCCTCAACAACGGCACCAAGAGAAACCCATTTCACAGCAATCCCAGATGCTGGGAAGAACATGTATTTTTTTTTTTTTTTAAGCCAGGAGTAGGGTACCTTGCCAGGCACCAAGAAAGGCATCTGGGAGAACACTAGCACCCACAAGCACCATGTTGATTACCCCTCATATGGACTTGTGGGATAATAGGTGGTGTTGGCCACTATAGCCCCTGGAACTGGGATGTATTGCTTGTCTTCCTCTCTGTGATCCATAACTGCTGTGGGGTCTCACTGGATCTATGTCTCTCTCACTGGTGCTGCCCCTTGCTACCCTGTTCGGAGGACTACAATAACCCATAAATTTGGAAGAACCTATCAGGCAAACCTCAAAGGTCATAAATCCACAGGGACAAGGAGGATAGAGAGCCAGAAGACCATCTCAAGATCTGAAGGAGCCCCAGATTTAGAATTCCCTCAACATTTTGAATGCTGCATTCTTCTGCAGGCTGAAGAGGGATTAAAGAAGATATCAACTTCCCCAGGAAAGCCCCTTCTTTTGTCCCAGTCTGTCAGGTTTGCATATGGTGAAAGCAATGCAACCCAAGCTATGAATGCCATTACATTAACTACTGCTTCTTTAAAGCAGTGACATTTCAGCAACACAAGTGGAGTGGTGAGAGACACTTCTGTAGGGAGTTTCTTCCCCACAACTTGGAGGGATCAGATGTGTTACTTCAGCTCACCCAGCTCCCACAAGCCACCTAATGCCTCTCCTCAGCAGAACATAAGAAAACCGGGGTCAGGCTTTTTCAGCACCATGCCCTACCCACTCATTGAACATATTACCACAACTTCCAATTAGCCCAAAGGTGCCGGACCAGGAGGCTGGAAGCTCTTGGTCACGGGGAAATTTTATCAGGAGGCTGAAAAGAAATCAGTGCTGCTGCCACGTGGTTTATGGGAGTTGGATGCACTGTGTAAGATCATCAGAGCCTAGCAAGCACGAGTGGAAAGTACACCATTTGGATAAAACCTGTGTGCACAGACATGCTTTTAAACCACAAGCAGGTGTTGGACACATGGCTTTGCTATGGCATTGGTGGAGGAATGTTTGCATAAATAAGAAGAAAGAAAGAAAATAAATCACAGATGCACTTCAGGCCTCCCAAGCCTAAGGCAAGCAGCCAGAGGATCATGGAGATTCTGGTGTGAAGGGCAGAGCTGGCAAGGAAGTGAGGCAAGGCTCCTTGGCCAGTTGTTCCCTGCCTCAGTGTGAACTGGTCATCCAGAAAAAGATCAGGCCTCCAGAGCTGACAACTGGCAGCTGCTCTGCTCTTGTCCTAATGAGAAATACAAAGACCATCCTGCCTTCCCCTTCCTGTCCTGAGCTCCACAATTCCTTATATTAATCCTTTCCTTCCTCCACCAAACAATCGCTCAGTATAGAAATTGCCCTGAATATATTTCACAGGAAGCGTTTCCCACTCCTTTCCCCATCCTGCCCAGCACATGTGCAAGGCCACACCCAGGCCCCCTTGCCCCCCTCCACTCACAGGTTGTTCACAGAGCCAGAACAGCCCCCTGGAGAGCCACCAAGGATGGGAAGAGAATGGGCCCAGAAGATGCAGTGCCCTGGGACAGGCTATCCGCAACCTCAGTCTCACCTCCAGGAACAAAGAGGTCCACTCTGCTTCCCAGTACTTGCACACAGGGAAAATTGTAGCAGGTCATCTTGACAAGCAGAAAGGAATGGGACACACATGGCAAACGCATGACCCTTTTGGCTTTAAGTAAGCAAAGGAAGGAGATGCCTGCGCTGCCTGAGGCAAGGGTTGCCAAATGTTTCCTTGCCTGGCTCCTGTGCATTCAACAGCAGAAATATACAACAGAAAGCCTTTCCTACCATGGACCTCCATGCCTGGAAAAGCTGTTTTACCCGTTTCATTTCTGTGGATCAGGCCAATATTAGAAGGCACAAATGCAGGGCCAGTGTAATAAGGCAACGTCAGCTGCAGTCCATCGTGATGATGGTATGGCAGTACATTTAAAGTGCTATATAAAAATGCCCAGACCACCATGGTAAGCACCTTCATGGTGCCCTGGAAATATACATGTCCATGTGCACACATTCTTCCTTCGAGTGGAAAAATCCCTTCAAATGCACTAAGGACTACCTCCAATTTCTTCTTCAAGGTGTACACCTAAAATGTAGTTTATGTATGAGACAAACACATGTTTGGACATGCGTGTTAAACAGGCGCGTTTATCAGAGAGCCAGGATTGGCTGCAGCAACCAGTTAAACTTAGACTTGGTTTGCAGCCATGTATCACATGGGATGTTTCTAATTGCTACAGAATGTTCCTGAAACATTCCCAATTTTGTGTCATTTTGACTGGGTGCCTGCCCTTTTCCCGCAATGCACCACACACCTGATCTAGCCTCTGGCCAAGCCTATGCCCAACCAAGCCCAGCAGAAAACCCCACGCTGGTGTTATTCCTGTCCCTCTGCACAGTGTACCCACAGCTCAAACCCTGCAATTGTCTTCCCTTTCTGTGATGCAAAACAGAGGACCAATACAACAAGCACCAGCACAGTACAAGCCATATGGTGTCAGGTGCTTTTTACAAACACCACAAGCACCCTTCATCATGCAGATTTCCCAGCTATCAACCCATCGCATGCATAGATAATATATCATTGATGACATTATATTCTGTACACTGTTCTGAGAGCTCATCGAATCAAACAGGATAGAAATACCATAAATACATACATACATACACACATTCCCATCAAATTGACATTTATCACTGAATGCACTGAATGCTCTAAATTCCACACACCAATCTAGTGTTATCCAAACGTCACATTACCACTGTAACAACTGAGACCAAAAATCATGTTACTCAGATGCCAAAAAAGTATTTTCTAGCTTCAGTTTAACCTACCTGCTACTTTCAATGGCTTCTCTCTTTCCTTGCCAGTTCCAACTTGATACCCTCAGAAGGTTTTTTTAAAAGATGGTCTATGCCCCAGCACATCACTTCTGTTTTAGTGCAATCCATTTGCAATCTTTCATGGACACTGCTTTCTTCCCTGCTCTCAACAATCTCTTCCTTGAAGTTAGCCTGATTGGCTTCTATCCTGCCTCGGCAACTAATCTCAAAGGGCTGCAGACTGTCTTGAGCCCTTCCTCTTGCACATTCTGCAAAGGGAAGCCTTTGAAGTAAAACTCCAGCACTGCCAAAAGCGGCCCACTTTTCCAGAGAACCCACTGCAGGGCAGAGAGACAGCCAGTCCCTTCTCTCAGATGGACCAGCGACTTGGAGAGCCAGGGAGAGAAAGTCCTATTGTTCTCAGTGGGATCAAAGGTCAGCCGTCTGCACACCAGTCACTTAGAGCCAGTTCTTTTTAATGGCTCCAAGGCTGATTTATTAACTTCAAGTGCTTGGTATGCAGAAAAAAGCGGTTTCCTTTCTCCTCTCTAGGCCCTCGCTGGCCAACCTCGCTCTAGCAATGATGCCTGAGATTGTTCTGCCTCTCTAGCTTGTTTGCGGTAGTCCCTTCTGAGAACATTCAAAAACACAAAAACTGTTTCTCTCTGGGGAAGAGGTAAGCCCATGCCACAGCAATGAGCAACCTTCCTTAACCTACTGCCCTCCAAATGCTTTGGACTATAACTACTAATATTCTTGGCCCTCAGTGAAGTTGGCTGGGGCTGATAGGAGTTGAAGTCTAAAACATTTGAAGGGCATCAGATTGTTTGTTCTGTACAGCAGATAAAGTATAGAAAAGAATTACCACTTTTTTGAAATATCCTTTCAAATTCTCTGGCTGAGTCCAGTTCCTTTATATGTTTTTCTCCCCAGTTCTGGAAAGCTGGCAGTTTTGGGGGTCCTAGGTACATTGATAATGTGACATGCTGCTCAGTAAGAATCAATAGCCTCTTGGATACCATCTACGTGTCCTTTAAGGAAGGAACAGTGCCTGCCTTAGGGACTTCGTGTTAACTGTGGGACTATTGATTGAATGATAGCCTCAAACAATGGGGCTCCTTTAATGTCCTTACTAACTCAGAACTTCTAAGTATTCCCAAGGAAGACACAAAGCCAATCTGATGCAAGTCTTGTGTGGAAAAGAGAACCTGGTAGCGTGGAATAAAGATAGTAACGTTTGTAGCATGGTGTCGTGGCATGTAATGGGCCCTTTCCCATCATTCTGTTCTCCTGTATTACAGATACTGAGGAAGTACCACTGAGAAAACTGCAAGCATCGCCTATTTATTGCCATTCAGTCCCAATGTACTGTTGTACGTGGCATCATATGCATTGGATTTTACCAGGCATTGCTAACTTGCTTTTTTCGCATCTTTTAATTCACACACAATGCCACATTCTGCATTTGCTCAGTGTGCAGAATTACAATGGTCCTGAGAGCACTCTACCCCATGCTTAAAATATCTGTCAGTGGGGAAAAAAGAATGTGTATGTTTGAGACACACTATTTTGTAATCATTTCTCTCCTAGACACTGACACAGGCATGCAAAGTCAAGTTGTTTACCTGCAACTGTGCATGGCCACTCAAAGAATGACAGTCACAGTTAAGCAACCTGGCTTTCTTCTTCATGGTCTCCGCACATCACACCTATGGACCACTAGTGAGCTCATCTTCAAGCTGGAGAGGGGAAGGTGCCCTAAGCGAAGAACTGCAGGAGGGACCACGCTACTTGACAGGTAGTCCTGCCTGGAGAGGACATCAGTAGTGCTTGATGAATGTCGGGGCCGTACACCATGTCGCTGTCCTGCAGAGGTGATACAAGGAGATGACAGCATGGAGGGCTGTCAAGGTGGCCGTTGCACTTGAGGAGGGTGCCCAGGGTCTGTCAGGGAGCTGTAGTCCTGCTATCTGATGGGTGAGTGTTATTATTTCCACCAACCAGCTAAGCACATCTCTCACAGCTCACTGGCTTGCTTTTCTCTGTAGCAGATGAAAAGTCTGGGTTCAACAAAAGGATTCAGTGAGGAAGCAATAGAAAGCAAGGGCTCTGCTACATCCAGGATGTGCAGGGTGGATTCCATTGGGTTGGGCAAGGCAGCAAAGAAAGCAGGCAAGACAGTGTTCCTCGAAGGTGCAGGTAGGCACAGACAACAGACATGTGCTTGGGGGATACTCTAGGGCCAGCAGAGAGTCTGAAGAGCAAGACAGAGACTGAAAGGCCAACTTGGAAGTGAAGTCAACATGGAAGAAAATGTAATCATGATTTATTGTAACATGGAAGTGGGCATCCTTCAAGTCTATAGACACAAACCAGTACCCTTGCTGGAGTATGAGGAGGATAGTTTGAAGGGAAAGCATCTGGAACTTCTTCAATGTGATGAATGTCTCTGAGGTCTAAGATTAGGTGGAACTTCCTGTCCTGTCTTGGTACTCTGAAGTACCAGGAATGGAATCTGTGCTGATGGTTGGATGCGACTACAGGTTGTATGGCCTCCTTTGAAAGGACAGTAGCTACTTGCATTGCCCTGACAGGGGATGGTGCCATAATCCTCACAGGAATTACGAGAATAAGATGCAGTGGTGGAAGAGTGATTGACTCCGCTGCAAGTGCTCGACTGTGCTCATTCCTGCAGCAATCGGGGTGGCTGCTATCCCTGCATCTGGGGTGGGTGGCAGATACCAGTCCTTGTCATATGCCCTCTCTCTCCCCCCAGCCTGATCTGTGGCACAGTGGGATAGACCCATAGGAGCAATGGTCCCAGTCAGAGGGGAGAGAACTGGACCAGCCCTGATGGTGAGATCAATCAGAGGAAGGGCATGATGCTGCGAGACAGAGGATCCCAGGATGGTGTGACAGTGAGGTGGAACAAACTAGTATAGAGGGGGAGTCAGAGCTCATCTTGGCTGCAACAAGGCAAGAAGAGATTGACAGATCTCAGAAGGGTTCTGAGGGGGCGTGCAAGGTGGTGAGTTGCTAATCTCACCTCCCAAAATCAAAGTGGTGGAGACCGGTTCCAGCGGTGGTGTGGGCCGAGCTGGTTCCCGGGCCCTCTGTGGTCGGGATGCCATCAGTGCCAGTGATACTTGCTGTGACCAAGGTCTTTTCTTGTGCTTCGTCTTTGCCAGCTCTCCCGTCTCCTTTGCCTTCTTGGCCATTTCCTTGGCCTTGTGGGCCTCAGCTGAACACCCTGGCAGGGAGGAGACTGACTGAGAGGTGGCAGGAGTCCCTGCAGCTGCCGATGGAGAATGCGACAAAGGGGAGGTCCAAGAGATAGACAGGAGCCCTGGCGCAAGAGGGCTAGCAGAGTCCACAGCCTGGAGAGTGCCGTTCCAAAGCACAGCCCTTAGCCTGCCCACTGTGTTTTACAGGCCTGCTGGGTGAAAGCCTGGCAAAGCAACCCAGCCTCAACGAGATGCCCTTTGTCACGGCAGCAAAGGCACAAAGAGGGCCATCCATGAAGGGAGCTTGCTTCCACAGCGCATGCATTTCCAAAACAGCACCTTGAGTGCTATCAGGAAAGAAAAGGCAAAGTTGGAGAGAGAAGAAAGCCAATGAGAAGTTTAGTTCGTTTGTTCGTTTGTGGGGGATAATCATGCTAAGAAGTGGGGCAGGGAATACGTAGGGGATTAGTAGTCTTTAGCAGAGTGTAGAAACAAGAAAAGCAACGTGATCCAAAGCCGCTGAGAAAGAAAGTCCTGAGGCACCCACAGTGGTGGTTGGAAAGAAATTGAAGAAGTGGGCAAGACCCCCTCTTAGATATACCAGGAGGGGAAGGAAGGGGAAGGCTTCCTACCAAGTTCAGCTAGGAAATCTTACTGACAGCAGGCCCCCTGCAGACACTGAGCCCATAAATGTGATGCACAGCGACCACAAAGAAGAACTAAGTCTTATGTTCAAAGCTTCTGGTCAGAGCTGTGCCTAGCAAGGACATTGTACCTGCTTTTACGGGTGTGATTATGTTGATTTGGCACTTCAAAGGGAGGAGGGGTAGGAAAATGGCCAGTAGTTATTAAAATATTTTTAAATCCTTAGCTGCTTGTTTCATTCTGCTGGTTTTACATTAGCACATTACATTACATTAACATCTACATGCCAACTGTGTATCAGAACCTACCCCGCACCCTTCTTTATCACAGAAGACGTGCAGCCCTGCCTTGCTGCTGAAGAAATGCTGGCGTGAGGTCAGGCTACACAAGGGGCTGCTTTGTACTGAGCCAGATCACAGAAGCATCAGGCCCGCCACCACCACCGCTCTGACAGCAGCTCTCCAAGGTCTCAGGCAAGGGTGTCCCAGCTCCTTTATCTGAACAGCCTTTAACTGGAAATACCAGGAGCTGAAGTTGAGCCCTTTTAAATGGAAGCATGGGATTGTCTACCAAGTTCTGGCCCTCCCCTCACTAGGAGTTACAGATCCCTGGTTAAACAATAGTTGCAAGATGGGGGCTGAAAGGAGACAATCGCAAATCCAACATGAGGATGCAGCATTATCAGAGAGGTGAACCTTCTTGCAAATGCCATTTTCCTGCATTTATTGAGAACTTTATTGCCCTCCCTCTTCAGCTCCACAATGGCTGAGCAACCACACAGGGACCTCCCATGAAGATGTGCAATGAGTACTGTGGTGTACACTACTGAAAAGGTGTTGGCAGGAGACTGGAAAGGGTGCTTTGACCATTCCTAGCTACGGGCACCTCTGAAGGAAAGTACCTGGAACCCACCAAGTCAGCAACACAGTCAATGAATTAAGCCAAGGTAGGCCCAAAAGCTTCTGACTGCAGCAGCAATCGCAAACCCAGGTTACCTCTGGATAGATGCCTTAGTGCGGAGCATTACCCCACAACCAGTTCATCAGAGTTTAACATCTAGGAAAAGCTTCTTTAGGTTGGCAGAAGGTTTTGAAGAATCTAAAAGTAGTGTGGACCTATGGAAAGCCATGAAGTACCAACAATGGATGGAACAAAAGGAGAAGCTGGCACCTGGGTCTGATGAAAGTTGGGAAGTATGGGCATTGTTGAACAGACGGAGTATGGGTACAAGAAGATCCAGAGTTGCTTTTCCTAGGGCTTCTGTCCTTTGTGATTGTGATGATATGCAGACAACAACACATATATGTACCTGCCCTTTGTTCCCCGATCAGTGCTCATTTCAGGATCTTATGGCAGCGTGACAGAATGCAATCAATGTTGCTAGTTTCTAGGCTAGATCTGTTTAACTTGTACATGTTTTAATTTATATTTTACATTGTCTTGTTTTATAATATGCCCCAATATAATAAGTTTTATAATATGCCTTATTTTAACTGCGATGCTTCTGACACAAATAAAGAAGGAAAGGCCCCCACATGCTCTTTTACATGCAAAAAACCTACCTTGGTTTTCCCCAGCTTCCATTCTCTCTGAGTGCTGTCATAAGTCTGCAGGAGGGCTGCACATGCGGCCTTTGCACTGTCCGGGTTGTTCCAATTCTTCAAGAGCATCTTGTATCTGAGAACACCAAGGAAAAGCTCTTGACTAGGAATAGGGACAAAGTAATTCTCCATCAAAACGCTGGGCAAAGTTTTCCTTACTGGTGGGATGCCATTCCTATCTCTGTTTCTGCTACTGAGTGTTGACAGGTTTCAAGTGCCCTTAAGCCAACAACTGGCTCCCCTTCATTATCTTTCCCAACTGTCTACAACTTAAGTATCTGGCATCTGGTGGCAGTACAGTAACTCTAGAGCATAAACCAGTGCCCCAAAAAGGGAATTTGACCAAAGTAGTTAACAGGTTAAACATACGTTTCTTAGGACTGTTTGCTTATTCTTTCCCTTCCAACCAACCATTTTACATGGTTGTAGAACTATAAGCCCCTTTAGGCAGGGAAGAAGAGCAAAGTGGCAGACTATGATCATTATAAAATTCCACAGGAGAAAAAGAGATGGCCTGCCTGGGCTCCCCTGGAACTTTGCCCAAAATTAACCTCTGGACTTTCTTCCTCCCCACAAGCGAGAAATCTAGCTCTGAAGTTTTACAGTCTAGTTATTTCCCACACCACCGCCACACTCAAAATACCAAGGCACTCAAAGTCACACTTGAATGTCCAACAAAATTCTGTCCTATGGAGTTGCACTGTCATTTTTACCTGAGGAGGAAGTCTTGGAAGAGCCGCCGTACAGGAAAGCCTGCTCTTCGAACCTTCACCGTCTCCAGCATGCCAGAATACCGCAATTGTTTCAGCACCACACCTGGACTGAAAAGATCTGGTGCCTAAGCAAAAGCAAGGAGTGTAGACAAGGCAAGGGTGAGGGACGGACTGGCACACAAATTGCGTTTGCCTGTGTTTTGTGAAGACCATCCACAGCATCCAGCTTACCTAGCCATGTGTGTACAACTGGATAAACATCTTTCTCTAAAGCTCGAGAGAGAGTTTTTAAATGCAGGATGCTTCTCTGAATGTGTTAGGAAAAAGGCACTCAGTGGGGCTGCAGGCTACAGAGAACACTAAAAATAAACCATACGTAATAAAAATCTGCTGGGAAATCCAAACCTTGTTTGAAAGGCCAGCACTTTTTGTCCTGTTGCTTTTGTGTTAGCCCTGGTCGAAGAAATCCAGGTCAGCCTCACAGAAGGTTTCTTTCTTACCATACCATCTGAGACTCTACTGTTCCTGCTTGCCTAACACTCTGTTTATGCTGCCTTGGTGGGATGCAAGTACACACTCTTGTGCTCCTAGGGTCCTGCTGAACCCCCCTCCCTTGCTCTGTTGGCATCCCCAGCTCTAGAGACTTACCTTTTCCAGATTGGGTTTGATGCAGCGGATGAATAGCGGGTTGCAAACGCTGAGTGTGGCCATCAGGGAATGTAAAGAGTCCTGGAAAAAGAAACCCAACAAGAGTCATTCCACGGGGAGAATGGATTCCAAGGGACCTTGTCCACTAACTATCTCATGCGTACAAACACCCCTGCTTGTCATACAAGCATTTTCTGGTGAGGTGAAGAAAAAGGAACCTCTGAGCATCAGCTTTCATGAAGCCCAGTACCACATACATACCAAATTTGCGGTGAAGCCATTCTGAAAGTGCGCTCACCTCTCTTCCCCTAGAAAAGCAATTTCTCTCTAGGCTGGGCTCAGTGAAAACCACTTCTGCCCATCTGTAGCAGAAGTCAGCAAGATGACTGGCTCATGCCTATGCTGTCTAGAAACTACTCTCCTTCCTATTTTTAAGGACATCTGCATGCACTTTCAGTAGGCTGCTGCTCCTACCCTGAACTGAGAGCTGACAGTTGGCCTGCGCCTCTGAGTTCCCATTTTCAACGTGTCTTCACTACTGCAGCTTGAAACTCTTTCAAAGAGGTCATAGATGAAATCCAGCCTGGGAGCAAAGAGAAGTGTGGTGTAGAAAGAGATGACATGGAACACCCAATTCCAGAGGCAGAGATGCATAAACTAGCATGTGTAACTGGGCAATACATTTGCTCCATCGCTTGGTACATTCACAGATAACAGAGAAATCCAGAGTCCTTCTGTGAAGTGCTCCATGCCACTGGATCAAATGGAATGGGCTATGCACCTGGCCCAGCAAGAGATACGTATGTGACTGACAATACGTGCCAAAGCCCCCACAGCTGTGAAAGAACTCTGGAGATCCAGCCCATACCATGCCCAAATTATATCAGGATTCAAGAACCTCTTTCAGACCAAAGACAAACCTCCATTTTAGGAGATGTTCTCAGGGGAACACGTTTTAGAATGGGTAAAAACTGCCCAAAAGTCAAGAAGCTACCAAAGATTATGTTTTGCAGGGGAAAGAAAAGGGGCTGTGGGAAAGGGGACACGGTAATTCAGAAAATCCTGAGGGACAATTAGATTTGGCCCCCAGGTCTGGGGTTTCACACCTCTGAGCTAGAGCTCTATCTCAATTCCCAATCTTTATATTCAAATGTCTGAGTATCCCAAAGAAACAGCTCCGCACCATTTCAGGCATTCTCTTTACCCCACTCTTTGCCCACTGAAATGGCCATGGATTGCTTACCTGCTGTCCTTGAGCATATTTAAAATATCATCTCGAAAAGTGTCCCTGTTCTTCTCCAGAAAGCCCCTCACATCATAGAGAACCTGTGAACAACACGTTGTAACACGAACATGCAGAAGTGCCACGGTGTTCCACAGTTGTACTCAACAAGGAAGAATAACCAATGTCATACAAAGCTAAAACTCCCAGATAATGTTGCAGCTCTCCAAAAGAAACAAGCAAAAAGATCTAGCTCAGAGGAAATCTGTACAGTCCTAGCCTGCTGTGTAACAGGGACAAGACCATGTAGTGGTTAGAGTGCTGGACCCAGGTTTAAATCCACACTCCACCATGAAGCTCACTAGACAACTTCAGACCAATTGCTCACTCTCAATCTGGTCTACCTCACAGGCTTGTTATGAGGATAAAAGTGGGGGAAGAAACGTGTGTCACTGCCAACAGTTGCCCAGAATACAGAGCGAGGGCATAAAAAGGCACAGGGTGAAGGCTGAGCTCAATGCATGATGAACACAGCGACTAAAATATGAACTATGATTCTAAAAAAGCCTACTACCTGCTGGACTCAAGCAAGATGATATCCCAAACCCAAAGCAGCTGCTCAGAGTTTCAGAACTTGTTAAAGGCTAACTTCCAGTCCCATGTCCATTCCTGACAGATAATATCCCTCTTCTTTGTAGGCCAAGTCCTGACCACTCAGTGGCTTCTAGGCCCTGAACCCATCTGGCTGCCTAGTCAACTCCATAGCGGAAATACACCAACCTCTCCAGCATAATGTTGGATCCCAAACTGGAAGTCTGTCACTCGTGGTTTCATGTAATATTGGTTGTTCTGAAAGGAAAGTGAAAGAACCTCAATTTCTAGTACAGTCACTAGAAGAAATACTCTAACAGCCCCATATTTACCAGGAACGTAGCAGCTGCTGGCCCTTAACAGTCAAACAGTGCAGAGCAGAAATGGGCCAAAGTCGCACATTCTGAAATGGTTTGTCCTCCTTCAATTAAATGTCCAGTGCAAAGTGCCCATGACCATAAGCATTGTAACCACAGCGGTCCAGCCAAGAGTGGTTTGGTGGAACCAATGGGGAGGAAATAACTGCAAAGATCGGTCAGTGCTAAACCTCAGATATTCTGATGAGTCAGAATGATCTCTCTCGAAGATTCCCTGCCCCACATTCAGGCATTCCAGCAATGTCACAAGCCACTGGATAAACTTTCCTCCTGAATTCTCAGAACAGTTAAAATGCATGTTCTTTACAGAGTACAAATCACGTCTGTTAGTTTTACAGGCATTATCCAGTAAACTGAACAAGGAAATATATTATAGTCTGAAATATTAATCCAATTTTAACTTCCATTCACTGAACCTAAGAAAGTATTTATCCATTTGAGACTTGGGGTCATCTGCTTAAGAGGAATAAGCAGTTATGTAACCCTGTCTGCTTTGTTTTGAAGACAGCAAGTTCAGCTTCACAGTTTGATAGCCTTTTTTGTAAATATCAGATGATAAAAAGGGAACTTTCCAAGGCAACCAAAGAAGCTCCAACTGTTGAAGTTCAAATAACTGCTTGTGTCTGGAGAATAGAGGATGTCTCTATTTCTCCCTGGGCAGCCTTCTTAAAAAAAAATCAACACAGGCTTGAATGTGCAAGCAGTCCTTTTATCATATGATCATCAGAAAATCAACCATGTTGTTTTTAGGTGAGAGCAAATTAAAAGATAGAGCTAGGGATGCTGCAGCTGTGGCTCAGCACAGGACTGCTCATCACTTTAATCTGCAGTTTGGTATTTCTATCCCCCTTGATGAGGTCTTCTCCCTTCAAAAGGTGCTGGAATCCAAATCGTATAGAACTGATCACAGTGCTTTGCTATGAGACCTTTGTCTATCTCCTAAATGAAACCTTATCTTTTTACCTCATTGCCTGAGAAAGCCTGTCTGGACAATTTACTCCTGATTTTAGAAGGATATTTAAGCTGCAGAAGTGTTTGAGTCATTGGCAGGCAACTGGTGTTTATTTAGTTCTGTTTCTGGTTTGTTCATTTTGTAATTTTATTGGGGTTTCTATTGTTTTTTTTAAGAGAGCCTAAAATGTAAATATTTATGAATGGAATGGTGTGTATGCATGCTGGCTTACCCCATGCTGGCTGTGGAGTTTTTCCAAGAGCGTGCTATCGGTGCCTTTGGGGAATCTGCTTTCTTCGTTAACTAGTGCCAACAAGCCAAGTTTCTACAGCAGAAAAGAGAGAGAGAGTTGGCTGACAGTAACATTAAGAGTGTCATGGTGGGATGCAAAGCACACGCAGGGGGTAGACACCTACAGCAGTGCAAGGGGACTAAAGTACATGGGGGGGGGGGTGCTTCGAGGAATCATCTGCTTAGACTTAGACCAGCACTTCTGAAATGCAAGCAGTACCTGTGTGCAAAGGTAGCAAGAAAAGCAGAGCCCAACGCCAGCATAAAGCACCTCTGTTCCAGCACATCCACAGTTTGGCTCCATTCACCATGCTGGATGAGACCAAAGGCCTCCCCAGTCTGGCATTCTCGCTGTACAGTGGCCAACCAGATGCCCAGGGGAAGGCTAGAAACAGGACATGCCTGTAAGACCACCCTCTGGCCTGTGCTTCCTGCAACTAGCATGGCACAAGACAGGCATCGTGACTAATAGCCAGCGATACTCTTATGCTCTATGGATCTGTTTAATCTGCTTTTAAAGCCATGCAAGCTGCTGACCGTTGCTCTATTTTCTGGTCGTGAATTCCCTAGTTTAACCATGCTGATCCAACAATAGAGGCAACCAAGGCAATCATGCGGGGTACCGCAATTCAAGGGGGTGCTCCCTCAGCTGCACAAATGACTTGGGAAGAGAGAAATTGCACACACTGTTCTCTGCCCTTTTGGAGGAAGTTCACCAGGGTAACTTAGTGGTTTGAAATGTTTACACTTAAAATACTTCCAGTTTGGTATCTGTATTTCTCTTATTGCTCTAGCGGTTCTCTTAACATTTCTGCTACTATTTTTTCATTTTTTAAAATGCAGTTTTGGTAAAGACTTTTTTTAAAGTAAGAAAAAGAACCGAGAGCTTGTGATCTCCATCAGCTGCCTGGGACATAGTCACTTATAAAGGGGGAGGAAATAATGATACACTAAAAATAAAAATGAATTTATAATATCCCTGTATTGCACAGGCCCTGCTAGATAAATGGTAAGGAGGTTATTAAGGTTCAGCAGGTAGTAAACTGTCCCAGTATTCAAAAGCCAGGAAAAATTCTTAGAGTCATGTCAAAGCCTGATGGCCTTCAGCTTGTTAGGAGAGCGTCAGAGATAATTGCCTAGAAGCTGCTTTCCCCAGTCGTTCTGTAGATAAGAGCTGCTTTTGCTGTGAGAATAAAACATCTGCCTTAATAACACAGTTTTGCTCTGCTGCCCCATGACAAGCGAGGGTTAGGGCCTAGGTATATTCTCATAGTTTCAGTGACAGTGGGACAGGGAACCCGTATCCATGGAAAAGGTATTGTCTTTGCTCTCAGTTTGGAGATAGGAACTGAACCGTTGCTCACCCAGGAAGTGCACAGCACCTCTCTTGGCCTGCACAGGGAACCAGTGTGGCCTCAGGGAAGGGTAGTACAAGCTTTCTTTGGCTTGTTTATATTCTGCATCTGTATTTCATCACTGCATTGAATAAACTGCCTATCATCCTTGGCACAGGTTGTTTCTTTTGTTCCCCAATCTAAAGTGATGTGGCCTTGGCTAGATCAACCCTCTAGAGTTAAAACCGGTCCCAGACAATTCATGAGTGCAATTTTGTTATGCTGTTCACCATACAATATGAGTGGTGCGGGAACATGATTTTCATGTAGCTAGAACAGAAAAAAATGGGCCAGCCATGACTTCTGTTGAGTCCTCCCTCCCTCCTTTTCTCAAACTATTCCTCCTCTTATGCACATGGCTCACACTGACCTGAAATCTACTGTTGCTACAGCAGTGGTAGAAGCTGTGGCAAGAGTATCCCTTAAACCATTCACTGTATCTACGAATGAGTAATTAAGTCGTTTTCTAAGAAAGAGACTGGCAGAGTGCTAGCTGCAAAATGAAACACAGAACAGGTCCTGATATCAGAGGCCAAGCACCAGAGGATGCAGAGGAAGACGAATCCTGCCCGTCCTCCCTGCTTCCTGTCTCACCTCACCCAGAGATGCCCACCTTCTCAATAAGATCCAAGCACTCTGCATTATCCATCCAATCAATGGCTTCCCAGCTTATCCCCTCTCTGCCAAAAAAAGAAGAAAAACAAGTTAAGCATTCATCTATAGAGAAGAAATCGAAAGTTGTGTTGCACGTTGGAGTGGGAGAGAGAAAAAAGACCAAGAAGAGGAGAATCTCATCCTGGACTTTAAGAAAAGAGAGAGAGTGAGAAGAGAGAGATCAGTCCTAGCACTGGACAAACTGAGGGAGCTGTTTTGGAAGCAAATGCTGGAAGCTGGGGTGTGGGATGTGGAAGCAAATTCTGGGAGGATAGAGCTTACACCCCTCTAGGAAGGCACCCTCAGGTGCAGTGGAGGAGGCTGTCCTACTTCCGGTGGCGAGGGAAGAGTAAACTGCAAGTCTGGTACAGCTTCTGTGCATGGCATTTGTTTCTCATCACAGGCAGCAATATTATCTTGGCTCAGCCTTGCAGCCTTTCCCGAGATTTCTTAATACAGCTGCTTCCACATGGAAGGCAAATGATGAAATGGCTTTCCTACTGCTGGCTGGTTTTCATCCTTCATCTGAGAGTGAAGGTTCTCCTGGCTGCCAGGAACCACTAAGGATGATCAATAAGACCTGTGCCTGCTGAATGGCCCTTTCCTCTACCTGTTGTACTCAAGTTGCTCCAAGGAGAATATGTGCTTGTTGAAGTATTCCTGGAGCTTCTCGTTTGCATAGTTAATGTTAAACTGCTCAAAGCGATTCACCTGTGCAGATGACAAGAGAAACCAATATTAATATCCTTGCTCTTGAGTGCTTTCCCGAAGGAGCATTAAGAAGAGGATATGTATGCGGGAAGCATGAAAGACATGTCGTCAGCTTGCTCCTGTTGGCCCATGCCCAAGATTAGTCAAGTGGTGTACAGGTTGTGTCAGAACCTCGCAAACCACAGAAAACAAGGTTGTGCGTTTGAGATGCAGCACAGCACAGAGGGGGAAATACTCAGCTCAGTGTGCCTGTATGAGGGAACCCATGCCCATGTCCTATGGAGAGACATCTAGGAAACTTGGGGCCTTTTGGATGTTTTGGACTGCAACTCCCATAGCCCTTTGCCACTGGCCATGCTGGCTGGGGTCGGGGGGCAGGCACTGTAGTCTCAAATGTCCAGAGGTTACTACCTTGCCTGCCCCTGTACGATACATTCCTGTTTCAATGGGGAACCGAACTGCCCTTCCTGGGTCACTCATTCTGCACTTTCAAATGCTGGAATCCATTCTGACTTGCTGGCCTTCCCCTCACGGCCCCAGGCATCAGTCCAGTTTGTTTTCCACGTGCACTAAAACCATTTTTGGTTCACGTTGTGCCCCAACCCCCACAAAGCCTTGATTTTCTGACCTGGAAGTTCTCAAAACCGAAGATATCCAGGATCCCCACAGACTTAAAGTTTTCTTTCCCTTTTATCTTGGAGTTAATCCTGCTAATAATCCATGAGAAGCACTGCGAATAAAGAGCCATGGCGAGCGAGTCTCTGGAGTCAGCAGCCTAGGAGTAAACAGAGAGGACAATATTTATTTATTTATTTATTTATGTATTTATTAAAACATTTCTATGCCGCCCCTTGCCGAAGCCTGCTTGGTCAGGCCCCCTTGCCAGCAAGGATGGGAATCTGTTCTCTCACACTGCTTCTGGCATACAGAGCCTCAGGCCTGGAGGCCAAATCTGCCCTTCCAGGGTTTCTTGGGGGACCAGGCCCTTCCTCTGGCCCCACCCCCTTGTGCTGACCACCAATCATTCGGTGGTTCCCCAGCTTTTGTGTAGCGCCCCCACCCTACCCTTCTGCTTGAGACCCCACCCACCAGTGGAATGCAGCCCCCCAGCACCTCTCTGAAATGGGACTTGGCCTTCAGGCGGCAAAAGGTCAGCATCCCCGCTCTGCTTGCTAGGGAACAGCATCGGATGAAACACATTTGTGGTTGACCCTCTTTCCTTGGAGGACTAACACTTATAAGGAATGAATGGTGGAAACCCTACTTGAAGCCACAGGACTTGAACTGGGCATGAAACAGCCACTTGCAAACAAGCCCCCCAGCTCCAGCTGTAGCTGAGCCCCATCAGGCCTGGCTCTTACAAACGCAGACAAGGTCGCAGAGAACTGCCTTCCCTTTTATAGACCCAGATGGGCATTAAGGGCATCTGGGGAGATATTTGCTTGTGGAACCACGCCAGGTAATGATTGCATGACAATGAGCCAGAAGCCAGATTTTCAGTTATAGTGCCTGTACTTTGGAACAACTCCCTCGGTACCATACATGACTGGAATGGTATATTACGTGTTTTAGACACCTCCCAAAATGAACTGTTTGCTTGGGCTTTCCCCTACTCTTGATTCTGGGTTAAGGAGAGAGGGAGATAGAGAGAGAGAGAGATTGTCTAGTGCTTTATGGTTTTATTGTTCTTTTATTACTGTACACAGCTTAGAGACAGTGCTTTATGATATGCAGTCTAGAAATTATGTTAAGCAGGGTAAAAAAAATGGTCTAGACAGTACCAGTTCAAACTGCAGGTGAGGAACTGACATGATTGAAGCTTCTCTCTCTATTTTTTTAAATCCCTGCATTTAGAGAACTAGGTGTCAGAAGGGAAGGCCTAGCCTTGATTATTCCATCTTGCTAGTTTTCCATTAATATAACTCTTCCTTCTTTTTCAACTGTCCATTGACATTCAGCTGTCCAATCCTCACTGGCCACCTGAAATGGTATAGTTGAGACAACTTCCTCGGCTGCTATTTATGAGGGCTAGGCCCTAGTTGTCCAAACTCTCCCATGGCTTGAAGAGGGTGCCCAAGAAACGCCATTCCTTTCCTTCAATAGCTGGCTCCAAACTTCAGAGCGCTGCCGAGGAAACCATAAATCAGGAGGCAGGAGAGCCACCAGAGCTCTCCTTTGGCGGCTCAATAACCCCAGTGTCCACTGGGAAGTCTGAGGCCCAAACTACACACTGCAAGGAATGCATGTCCTCAGTAGCATTTAGTCAAAGAATGAAGCCATTGCTCTGAGAGTTCCTCTGCCCCCACTCCACTTTATTGGCTGCAGTTTGCAGGAAGTCTCGGGCACACTGATGTCACCTCACAAGTCCTTAATGAAGCATGGCTGAAGAGACATGACGGTGCAGGTCGCTGGCAGCAGCGACACATTCCTTCTAACTTGCAGCTTGTGCCTGAGCCAGCCCCGTTCAGTGCAGCACAGCCAAGGAAAGGCAGAAGCCAGCAGCCAGACTGCATCATCACTCAGCATCTCTGCACCATCTTTCAGGCACGAGCGCCTGACTCACCACGCCCAGCCCTGGGACAAAAGAAGGGGTGGGGAATGGGGGGAACACAGACAGATGTGTTCTGACAAAGGCTCCATTGACTGCCCCTTAGCTCCTTCTGCTCAGCACACTGAAAATGTCAGCGTTTGGATGGTAATGAGCTTTGCAGACAATGCAAGCTGAATGGTCTCTCTACACCCTCTCATGCCCAGAACAGCATCTGGCAACAGCTGGCTGCCATCCCTAGAGAGCTGGAATGGGGGAAAGTGGCATTTGCAATCAGAAAGTCTAACCAGCAAGGAATGGCTTCTCTTAAAACAATAATCAAGCGCCTGTTAAGTTGAATAAAGTTCAGAGATATTCCACTCATCTGCTTATGTATCATGCATGCACTGAAGTCGGCGCATCTTTAGAGACTCCCCTGCCACTTAAAATGATTAAAAGTTAAGTACTGCAAGAATAAGGACATAGGACCACCTAGGGTCAAATCAAAAAACCATCTAATCCAGCACTCTAACAATGGCTAGGCAGATGCCCACAGAAAGCACACAAACCCAGAGTAAAAGAAGACAGCCATCCTTGAATGTTTCTCATGGATACTCAATGGCCAGAAGTATACTGTCCTTGGGAACAGAAGTCTGCTTTTAACTCTTATGGCTTAAAGCCACTGATATGCCTGCTTAGCATTAATCTGTCAAACATACTTACAGTGATTAATTCTGTAAATAAATTATGCATTGTATGAAGCTGTTTGCGTGCTTTCCATATGAAAGTGGTTTCCATATTTTGCCCAGAACTAGAAGTGAGGGAGAATAGAGGACTTTGCCTTTTAGTCTCAGGGCAGAAAAGCTAAGTCTGGTTAGGAGCCTTGGTTCTATTGCATGGCCCAGGCAAGTGCCCTGAGCTCCTGATCAAATATAATGTGCTCACTTTTTTTGGCTTAGATTCATGTGCAAAATTGCCTTTCTTCATATACTTCCTAAGGCTTTGGACCTCACAAGTACTAGAGCTGCAACACACTGTTCCATGTCAAATGTTCTCCTGCCTGCTCCAAGAGCCATTCCTCCCCACTAACCAACAGCAAACAATGGAGCAAAACAGGCTTGTGCTGCTTTGGAGGAAGTTTAATGGACCCTGAAGTCTAATGAAGTTTTACAGGCCCCTTTCGACTCCACCATTCTGTGACGCTTTGAAAGTACACACTATATCCACTGTAGCATCACAACATACCAGCAAGGAGATTCCTCCAGCTTAAAAGAGGCCCTGTGCTCTGGCGGATGTGCACTAGCTTATCATCCTCAGGATGAGGACAGTAGAGCTTTCTCTACTGCCAGGCATCTCCAGTCCACATTATGTAGCATCTGCACCAATGGATCTGTTTACAAGTCCGACCTACATCCACTCTCCCCTCCATGCAAATGGCTTAGCTTTGTCAGAGTTTACTCAAATCACGAGGAGTTACTGCACACCCCCTGGGAACAGGGACGGTATCAAATCAGAGGTGGCCCTCAGTGCCATATCCCGTTGACACCCATGCATGTGCTGCCACCTAGAGACAGGCTTCTTCCTAGCCAGGAGCTGCGGCCATGCCGAGTGCAACACAACTGACCGCCACTCACCTGTTCCACAGTGAGGGGAGAGCTGATTTCTTCCCCCCGTAGAAACATGGATCTCTGGGTGAGCACTTCAGACAACTGGAAGGTGTCCAAGCCAAGCAGCTCACTGACGTTATTCAACACTGGGAGAGAGAACAATAGAGAACGAGGGATACGGTCGGTGGTCATGGATTCTGCTTCTGAAGGTGAGATTGATTTGAAGGGGGCAGAATGGCTCGTTCCCTCTGAGGAAGCCACTGCTGAAGAGCATCACAGACTGTCCTGGCATAGGGCAGCTGCTTTGATGGCTGAGAAGACCTGGTGCTAAGACTCCTGCAACTATGATATACCAACATTGGAAAATCTGGTGCTAGCAAGCCAAACGCTTAAAGGTGTGATTCCTCCCTCCCCATGTCTCAGCCAAAGCACTTTGAGGGCAGCAAAAAAGTTTCAATGGACTAATCTACCAAATAAGTAAAAGTAAGGACAATGTTGGGTGGCGCAATGGTTTAAACTGCTGAGCTCCTTGGCTGGTTGATCGAAAGGGTGACAGTTCAAATTCACATGACGGGGTGAGCTCCCATGCCTTGTCCCAGCTCCTGCCAACCTTGCAGTTCAAAAGCATACAAATGCAAGTAGATAAAAAGGTACCGCTTCAGTGGGAAGGTAACAGCGTTCCATGCACCTCGGTGCTTAGTCATGCCGGCCACATGGCCACAGAAACTGTCTGCGGACAAACGCTGGCTCCCTCGGCTAGGAAGCAGATGAGCACCACCCCCAAGAGTCAGACATGACTGGACTTTAATGTCATGGGGAAACCTTTACCTTTAAGGACAATGTTAGTTATGTGTACCAATATGGCAGATAGGCGACAAGTGTTGGTAGGCTACTAAAGGAAGGCTTTGCAGTACTGTATTTCTGTGTGTATACAAGTGTTATACACACACGCGCACACACACACACAATGTGTCCTCACAATATATAATTCCTGCCATTCACTATGCAGAGTATGGCCATCTAAGAAATGGCAGACAAAAGACTGCCTGCTTTTTCACTGTCTCACTCAGTTTTTATAAAAGCTAGATGCAATTTAGATGCAGACATATATAAATTCTCTTCCATGCTTAGTCTGATCAATAGATGATGTTTACCCATTTTGACAACTTTAACTGTTTTGCCTTTTTAAAGTGTTTAATAGCATACTGGCTATATGTTCAGGATGATATTTTGCAGGTATGATAGATCATGGAGATGCCTGTTTTATGAACGTTAGATTGTTTATAAAAAGCACTGTATTTACATACATATTTTAAATGCCTGGATCCAGACGACAGGCGCTGCGCAGGCGCAGTACCCATTCGCAGTACCCACTCGCAGAGACCACGAAGAAGAACCACCGTTTACTACAGAAATGGACTCAAACAGTGCTTGCCAATGGCTGCTTTTTAAACTGGGGATACCAACTGGGATAATGTAGGGTTCAGTCCTGGGCCCAGTGCTCTTCCACATTTTTATTAATGATTTGGATAAGGAGGGGCAGGAAATGCTCATCAATTGTGCAGATAAAATAAACTGGGTAGGATAGCTAATACCCTGAGTGCTAGTAACAGAGTTCAAAGCGATCATGATAAAATGGAGCACTGGGGTAAAAACAACAGAATGAAATTTAGCAGGGGCCAGTGCAAAGGTCTGTACCTAGTAAAAGAAACCAAATACATAGTTATAAGATCAGGGATATTTGGCTCAATAATATTATAAGTGAGAAAAATTCAGAGTTGTTGTAGATCACAAGCTGAATACAGGTCAACAATGTGATGAAGCTGCAAAAAATGTTATTTTGAGCCATATTAATAGACATATCATTTTCACATCATGTGAAGTACTATTTCCCCTCTACTCAGCACTGGTCAGGCCTCATTTTGAGAACTGTGGCAAGTTCTGGGCACCACAGTTTAAGAAAGACACAGGGAAAGTGAAAAGTGTTGAGAGGTGAACAACCAAGATGATCAGGGGACTGGAAACAGATCCCTATGAAGGGCTTGAAAAAACTGGGCATGTTTAGCCTTGAGGAGAGAAGACTGAGGTGAGACAGGATTGTACCCTTCAAGTACATGAAAGGTTGTCACAGAGAGGAAGGCCAGGATCTTTTCTTGATCATCCCAGGTTGCAGGACATGGAATAATGGGCTCCAGTGGAAGCCAGATTCCAGACGAGCATCAGGAGGAACTTCCTGACTTTGAGAGCAATATGACAATAGAACCAATTGCTGAGGGAGGTCATGGGGTTCTGCCACACTGGAGGAACTCAAAACAGGGACCAGAACCTGTTTCTCTCGTGCCTGCTGGACTTCTTCCCCATGCTTGCTCCTGGCCAGGAAGTGAGCCCAGATGAGATCAACCCCACAGATATTCAGGAACGCTGGAAGCTTCTTTGCACAAAGTATGTAATTCTTTGTGCAAAGCACACAAAGACTGCAAGTGTGTGTAAACAGAACTCCACGTGCACAGCAGGGACATGGGCACTGTGTGCACAAGGCAGAATCATGGACTCCTTGGATTCACCTCCTGCTGGACTTCCACGTGAACACTCAGCACAAAACAGACTTAGGCAGAGAAAAAGCAGGCTGGAGTCTGCACAGCCCAGCCAATGCTATATGATGAATTCTTACCCCCGAAACCAGACTCCTCACACTTTGCTAATCCAAGATGAAGCTGGACAACTGTTAGGGATGGCTTAACCTGGAGTCTTGGACTGAGCAGGGGACAGGGCTGGACCTAATGGCCTTACTGGCCCCTTTTACTATTCTATGATTCTGTGAGGAGGAAGAAGCAGGTTTCATTTGGGAACACCCTTCACAGGAGGGTAGCATTTACCTGCATTTGTTGCGATCTGAGCTCCACCTGCAGTCATGAACTCAATGTTTCCAAGTTGCAGAATTCCAGACAGAAGCTTGAAGATGTCTCTGATCTCTTCAGAGCTGAATCCCATCACTTCAAGAGCAGTCTACTCAAAAGGCATTTGAATTAAGTTATCTGTTCCACCACCATCAATTATGCCCAGAAGAGACATCAAATGTTATGTTTCCAGATGGAGGGTTCCTATCACTACCAATTCCGGAACATTGTGCAGCTATTCTATCTTCCCCCCATTAATGGACCCATTCGGACATAAGACAAGACTGAAAAAGTGGTGGAAAAACAGAGGCATGTTAGAAATGGAAAATGACAACAGCTGGAATTCCCTGTAAAATGTCTGTGACTGAGGCAGGGCAACTGCACAGTACAAGTTTCATTTGGAGCACCAGAGCCCTCTTATCTTTGTCCCACCTGGAAATTCAAAGGCCAGTGGACACAATGCCTTCTTCTCACACACAGGCTTCTGCAGGACTTTACTTTTTAAGGCTAGAACCCTAAATGCACTTACTGGGGAGCAGCCCTAATGAAGTCAGTGGAAGGTATGCCTGAGTAAATAGGCCTAGGATTGCACTATGCAGCTCTCATCAGTCCTAGTGCAGTCCTTTGAAATGGAATATTGATGCTCATGCTTCCTAGGTTCCTTTCACAGCTTTCAGTTTTTTCCATAATGAGCAAAGAGCCAAGAATACCCAGTGCTCAGGTTAATGAGGGACATCTTGATTCAGCTGCCTCTGCAATGTGGAAACACCACGGGCAGCCTTCCCAGCTATTCCGTTTGCTTGGTTTCATGGGCTCTCAGCCAAACAGCAACTGGTTCAGTAGCAGAGCTACCACACGGCTTGCTTCTTGAATAGCTTGATAATCTTCACCCAGTGGACTGCCACAATGCAGCCAGTGAAGGTGACTCCTTGTTTGAAAGAAGCAGTGACCAGAAAGGAAGAAATGAGGTTCCTACGAGACTCTTTTTCCTAGAGATTGAAAACTGTTCCTGGCAGCTTGAACAGCACTGAGAAGTCTATCGGGTAGCAGCAGACACAGTAAGCCAATTAACATTCAATGTGCTAATGAAGCTACTATGTAAATATCAACATCTCACCTTTCTTCCTTCAGCTAACATTTTGGAGAAACAGGATATTGTTTGCACATCTTGCGACCTCACTTCTTTACTCATTCTGTGTTCCTTACTCTCCCTTTTGCCTGAAGAGAAACCATACTCTAGCTGCCACCAATGTACTGAGTTACATGCAGGTAAGAGGACCATGGTCAGAACCAACCTCCCTTACAGCTTATATCCTGGTGGCCTCCTGGCCTGAACCCTTCTGTATCTGCAAGAGAAGTTCCAAGGCCACCTATTTGTACTTCCAGCCTTCATTTTAAATCAATCCTCTTCCATTCCCTCTCTAGAGTGTTTTTCTTGGTTCTTATCCTGTTGTCTGCCTTTGACTTTATCTCCTAGACAGCACTTTGAGTACTTTATAAATTATTAACACTACTACATCCCCTCATACCAGCTCCATAATTCCACCTTGCAATTCAGCATCCATATTTACCTATTCACTTAAAATATTTCTTGGCCACTTTTCAGGACAGAAGCCATCCCTAGTCAGCATATAGTTTGTATAGACAAAATCATTCCCAAAGCTTCCTGAGGATGGAGCACACATGGTGGTGCAGAACCTCAAGAAACAATGAGACGGATGCCACTGGGAAGACAATGAGAAGCAGCTTCAAACTCCATTATTTTTGTCTAAATAGTATTGGAGGGAGCAGTCCCGTGGGTTCTAGGCAGCATCTGAGGGACCACAGGATATTTCAGATTTCCAGTTCTGAGTCTGGGGACAGCAATCTAACCACAGAGCTTGAAATTGAAGCTCTGACACTTCTCTGACTCACAGCCAGTGCAGCAAGAACCCACCAGCTGCTGTTCCAAGTCAGGAAAGTGACTCAGAGATTTTTAAGAAGCCCCTCCAGCAAAAATGTAGGGCAGAAAAACAGGAAGGTGAAGAGTGCTTCTGCGATTTCTCCTACCCTGCATAGAAAGAGTGCAAGTCTCCCAGTTCAGGGGCTTGTGAGCATTGCAACAGGACTATACCCTAACCAACATCAAATAAGCTCACAATTAGCAGGCACCACATTCAAGTGGACGTTTTGCTTGCTGGTGAGCATTTTGTTTTCTCCCAATTCATGTCTTGGAAAGCAATTCAACCTGAATCCAGCAAAGGATCAGGCACATCCTCTTTTGCAACCAAGGAAAAAGTCCACCTAAGGTGGGTAACTTGTGGTCCTTCAGATGATGGACTATAATTCCCAAGGTACCTCACCACCAGCTGTGCTGACTAGGGCTGCTGGAAGCACCAGTCCAGCCACATCTGTGGGGCCACATGCTCCCCATCCCTGACTTCAAGCTTTGCCTGGAGTCAAGGAGAAAACTCACCATGACCTTGCTGAACATCTCGTTATCATCGAGGTTTTCATTGGTTATGCAGCCAGACTGGTTTAGGTAACGATAGCTCTTGGGCTCCAGCAGGGCCAGGGCTTCTGTTGGGAGGCAGCTCCCAGGAGGAGAATCAAAGAAATTGGAGGCCAAGGCAGGGGGGAAGCAAAAGAAAAGTAGACAAAGGAGAAAGAAATGAGTCACGGACACTCAGGAAGCAGGCAGCCAGCTTCCTCCCACCCCCGCACTCGCCTACTTTTTTGGTGTTGCCCATACAGCACTTCAACACCATTGGCTCAAACCTGAAGCAAGAAAAGCAGGGACAATCAGCTGTGGAAGAAGCCCTGCATGGCTACCACTAGCCCAGTAACTGCCTTGGGTGCAGTGCAAAGATGGGTTGAAACAAGGAATAAAGGAATGGATGGCAGGGCATTTCCCTGCACTAATGAACATCTCACAGGGATTCTGCCCACTGGAGAGACACATGCAAATACATGCTATTAGGACTGGATATATATATATATTTTTTTATGAAAAGCAAAGTTGGCAGCCCACAATTTTTGAATGGTAGGAAAGGAGGATAATTAATCCCTAACCCTATCCCTCTCTCAAGATTTTTAATTTAAAACAGTCTAGCTCAGAATAGTTCTAAAATTTTGGGAATAGCGGTACCAAATCCCCTAGACATTCAATGGCAGAGGGCTTCCAAACTTATTGGCATGTTAGGAAATACAGCTGCAATTAAGCAAAATTAGTTACTTTTCTATTTGGGTACAAGAAACCCCCTTCTCCAATCTAAGAATGGTTCCAGTGAGTGACAGGGAAGCCCTGTCACATCCTTCTGTTATCTGTTGTGCATTTCAAGCATGGGTTTATTCCTGTGTGCCACTGTAAATCTACCTCTTCATATATGAGACGGGCACTTCTGTGTGAAGGGAGAACTGACAGATGTCTGCAGTTCAGCTACATATGCCTTGGCTGCATATCATGAGGGAGGCTGTTATCATATGCCTCAGCCACTTGAAGTTAAAATGTGAGAGCTAGCATGGTACAGAGGTTGGAGTGTTGGACTAGGACTTGAGAGGTCTGGTTTCTAATCTCCACCCAGCCATTCAAACCCTCTGGGTGTCTTTGGGTAAGTCACTGACTGTCAGCCTAACCTACTTCCCAGAGTTCCTGTGCCAATAAAATGAAGAGAATAAGGACTATGTACATTGCCTTGAGCTTTGTGGATAAAAAGGTTAAAAAACAAAACAGAACACATCCCTTTCAAGCGATTCAAATCTTGAAGCAGCTGAAGGACTTCATTTCCTTTCAGCAGAACTAAGACAAGTTCAGCTTGGAATAAACCCCACACTGTCTGAAGCTACTAAAGAGTATTGCAAGTGGACACAACGGACTACCACAGTTTCATTAACTGGAACTTGAGTGACAGCATTTTTGGTCCATTTCTTCTGTGCCCCCACACAGGTTTCATTAAGCTCCTAAGGCAGTGTTATTTACTACATGATAAATATTGGTCTTCTATAACAATAAAAGAGAATATATCCATCTGTCCTGCCATAGCTCCAAGGCTGTGAAATCCAGATACCTAAGCTTGGCTTGAATGCTACGCGGACCATAGGTATGCATGTCAGAGTTATTTGGGTTTTAAAAATCATTAATTGTAATTACTTTAAATGCATATATGTTGTTGAAGCCTGAAGTTGCATTTTCAGTCACCAAGGGGAGTCTTACCTAACCAGTGCATTGCTTTGCTGCCCACACAGTTGAAAGCCAGGGGAGACGAGAAGGCCATGGGAGAGAAGTACACATCTGCCCTCCTCGCCCCTGCTGTGCAGAAGCCCCCTCTCACAGGGACAGAGCAGGGTGCTTCCTTAGGGGTTTTGGGTGTACACCACGGTACAGGCCAAGCCTCAGGTTGCCAGTGGCCCTGACTTCACTTGGACGGAGTGTCCAGCTTCAATAATGTGTACAGGCTTGTTTGTTCCCTCAACATGAGATCTAGGAGAGCGTGCCCTGGGCGTGTGAGCTGTGCTGTCTCCAGTGCTGGGGTTTTCTGCTTTTCTCTGCTAGTTTGTTTTTTAACAAACACTTACCTTAATACTCTTTTAAAACTCAGCACATTTAACATAGGATTTCTGGGTCATGAGCCTTGAGGCATATTCACCAACTGTTCCAACAAAGCATTCTTGTTTCTAATGTAAGGCTCTTTGTTTTTTCGATGAACTTATGACTATGGTTAATGTGGCATATAACATGGAATTAGCCATTTCTAATCTGAATGATGAGCCCTAGAAATGTGCCTATTTGAAGCAGCACTGTGAAGAGGAGACAGGGCACCCTCACTGGAGCCCTAATGAACTCAGAACAGCAGGATGGGAGCAAATGCACCCTAGCAAGCATGGCAAAGGAAGGGCTGTGGCTCAGTGGCAGAGCACGTGCTTTGCATGCAGAAGGTCTCCTGGCATCCGCAGGTACAGTTAAAGAGTCCTGCTTGAAATCCTAGAAAGCTGCTGCCAGTCAGTGTTCACAGTACTGGGTTAGATGGACCAAGGGCCTGAAGGCAGCTTCCTTGGTTCCTATGAGTGACGGCTTCTAGTTCCATTCCTGACAGGAAGAAGAGAATTCTGGGAAGGCTTCCAGGATTTCTGGATAGGGAGCTAGGGAATCAGGAGCAAAGCAGGGAGACTTCAGGTAGTTTAGAGTCCAGAAAGGTTGGACGGGTGCAAGGCAGGGAGCAGAGGAGCTGTGCTTTGACCAGCCTTCACAGAAAGCTTCCTTGTAGGAATTGGCCAACGCTGATTAATGCAGAAACTAGACAATCACTCCTGTGGACAATACAAGTATCATCTCGCTTCCTTCTTCCTGCAAGAAGGATGAGGGATGCCGGGAGAGGAAGCAGCATTGCCCAGGTTCATGTGAGCTCATGATTTAAATGCGGCTTTTGAAAGCGGCCCTATATCCCTGCTCTCTTCCCATAAAGCTATTGTAGCAAACTGGAATTCTGGGCTCAGCTTCCTATTACTTGAGAGGACTCTTTGAGGAAGGAGATGGGCTGTGGCCCTCAAGGTGATGCTGAGCAACAACTTCCATCATTCCCAACTATTGCCCATGGTGGCTGGGGTGATGGGAGTGGAGAGTCCTGATCATCTGGATGGACCACGGTTTCCCTGCCATTGGCATAGCTCTTTATCCCTAGAATTCTGACTGTCTCCTTGACTTCTGGGAAATGAGCCATCTCTGCTTGAGATACCCCCTTCGGTGTAAGAGAGATATTCCCACGGGATCAAAGAGAGGAGCGCCAAGAAATCCCATTACCTTTTTGTTCCCCACTGACACCAGCTAGCAAGGCATAGAAGATATGATAATTACGTTCTCCCGGGTTCTGGTGAACAACTCTATTCTGCAACAAAGAAGAATGGAAGGCAGATGACACCAAACAGCAAATGATAAAGCAACCAACTTTCACATTGCGTTGCATTTGTGTGCTGTGACCTGAAGGAAGAAAAGCACCTTTGCTTAGCACCACGGCCATCATTCTGGCAACATAAACAAATAAAGGAGTGTGTCCCCCTAAACCTATTTTCAGGCAACTGCTGCTGTTGCAGGAAGGGATCCATCCTACATCCCATGGCCTGTTTATATCCCATCTCCTTGTGTTCTTGTGTTCCTCATTGAAAGAATGCACTTCTTCCATGACTGAGAAGGAATGAAGTTAGGCTCAGGAATGCTTTGCTTCTCTGTGGTCATTCCCCTGTTCCTACATGTTCACTACCGGAGCCTTGTTTTCTCTTCAATGCACACAGCACCACTGCAGGCCCCTACCCATTCACCCAGACTCCTTGCTAGCAGAAGTTTAAAAACTGGCTACTTCAGAGTCTCAAAACTTCCCTGCTCCAAAGTCAAAGAAACCGAATTTGCCCACCATCTCGTTCAGTACTGCATAAAATGCACTGGGACTGGGGCATGGTTGCATCAGTGAACAGCTTGCAACTGCATGAAACAAGGGCCTATATTAATTAAACAAAGAGGTTGGACATGCAGTTTTAGGATACGCAGCCATGTATACAATGGGAAGCACATTATTATTTCTGAGCAAGGAAAGGTGCGATGAAGTCAGAGAATGCAGCGTACTTCGTGCAGACAGCCTAGTTTCTGCTGAGCAGAGCACTTAGTAGTGATACAACTGCACCCACTACCACCCAGTTACTGCCTTTGTATCATCTCCACATCATCTGGACTTGGGGAGGGGAAGAAGTTGGAGGGGGAGACAGTCAAGACAAACATGGATTTTACTCACCTTCTCCAGTAAATCTGAACAAGAGATTAAGGAAGAGCCAACGTTGAGGTGACCCATAGATAGGATCTCTAACATCGGACAAAGAAATCTTTGAATCACACAGGAAAGAATTAGGCTGCAAGGAGTTCTCTAATGTTGCTCTCCCCAAATTAGACAGGCCCTAAATTCCAACCAGTTAAAGAATTACACTTTGTTGGAACTTGAATCTTGACAGAGAAACAAGAATCAGTTGTGGTGAGAATGAGGAGGAAAATCCCTTTGAACATTTTTAAATTATTATTTAACTTCTATACCACCCTAAGGTTGAAGCTCTCTAACTAAACACTGCTTAAGGAGTGTCCCTTTTCCCTTTGTCCTGCTGGTCATTCATGTATGCTAGCAGGAACATGGTTGAAGCCGGCAAATCGAAGGATACAGTCAGTGACTCTCCCTCCCTGGATATGCCCATTCTGGGAAAAGTGCAGCTGAATGAATTTGCCGAAGCGGCTAGAATTGTTGTTATAAACAGTTTTGGCATTTCCAAAAGCTTCCAGGATTGGGCTAAGGTTGAAAAAAGAAGGGAGGTTAGCAGAACGTATTCTTAAGGATATGTTTGTACATATTCTATAATTTCATACTAGTCTTGAATTCCTTACTGTGAAGACAATTGAGATACTAAGAATTTGAGTTTTCTTCTAAGAAAAAAGTGGACTTCTAGTACTTATGGAAGTAAGGATAGACTTGAAAGTGAATAGGTAGTGCCTGGTGAAATCTCAGAAGTCTGTAATTTCACAAGTATTGTTCTTTGCCCCTATACAAAGCTGGCAGAAGCAGACAAACACATACAATTATCCTTAACTGCATGTTATACATGCTGCATATCAGTTCAGCTTTCTTAGTGCAGAATCATGCACCAAGCCACTGCACTTATAAATGCAAGACACCTGCGGGAATGAGGAATACGACTGGCTAGCATCAGGGGCCTATCACTGTTGCACCCCTAAATCAAAACAGTGCCTAGCGGTCACTGTGCTCTGAACAGAGACCTCGGCTTTGGAGACATATTTAAATGATTCTCTTTTCAGGGTAGCTTTCTTGTTGTTTCTGTTCCCTTTAACTAAATGGAAGAGGGAGAAGTCAGTGCAGCCTGTACGATCCACCAAAAGCGAATGCCCATAGGGTATGTCATGATATCCCATAGAATAACGCACCTGCCTTCATCCAGAGCACTTCCTATATGATGCATTGCCTAACTATATGCTCTGGTGGTTGGGAAGCTGCAATCCCAATCCAGCCATCAGCACAGGATGTGGTTCCTCTGAGAAGCAGTATCTTCAAGGAACGAGCTGGGCGTGTACCTGCTCTCCATGATGGCCTCCTCCACGTGCGTGCTCTTCTCTGACGCGGGGCCACCCAGCGAGGTCTGGCTCACAGCAGACAGAAACTTCAGCAACAATTTGGTGCTCTCCGTCTTTCCAGCTCCACTCTCCCCACTGTGAATGGACAGGAAAAACAGGCCCAGTGAGGGGGAGCAGCAAGCCCAACAGCAGGCACAAAATGCAAGGCAGGGCTCTGGAATGTGCTGGCCATTCCCAGTACCAGGACTGCAGCCTGTGGGGTGGGGAGGAGCCTGCCCCCACTCCTCTGCCCCTCACCTGATGAGGATACACTGGCTGTCGTGACGCCTCCACAGGCAGCTGTAGCACTCACTAGCCGTGGCGAAGATGTGGGGCGGCAGCTCGCCCAGGCAGTGCTGTCGGTACAGGTCAATGGCTGCTGCATCATACAGGCCAGGGATGGGTTTGTAGGGGTTCACCGAGACCAAGATGGAACCAATGTTTGTCTGCAGAAGAAAGGGAGGTGCACTGACAATCAAGCAGGCTTATAGCCTCTCTTAAAAGGAAGCACAGACAGAGTCAAGCAGGGAAATTGATGACTAGTTTCAGAGAACCTTGATCTATGATGACAGGGCCAGCAGCCAGAGGTAGGGAAGGTCCCGCAGGAACTGTTGTGCAAATTTTAGGACAGATACTGCCCCAGGAAACATAGAAACAGAGCGAGTCAGAAGGGGTCTCCCGGGCCATCTAGTCTGACCCCAGGCTCCAGCTGGCTCCATTCATGACATGCCTACCATGTGCATGTCCAGCCTATTCTTGAACACCCTCACCGATGGGGCCTCAACCACCTCCCGTGGAAGCCCATTCCATACCCTCGGGGTCCTAACTGTCAGGAAGCACTTCCTGGCATCCAAATGAACCTTGGTTCCCTGAGCTTTGCTCCGTTGGAGCGCATCCTGCCTTCATCCACAGAGGAAAACAGGTCACGACCCACCTCCATGTGACATTCCCTCACATCCCTATATGTCGCTAACAGTTCCCCTCTGAGTCTCCTCAAGGCAGAAAAGACCCAGTTCCCTCAGTCTCTCCTCCTATGGCCTACCCTGCAAATCAGCCACCAACCTTGTGGCCCTTTGCTACACTTATTCAGGAAGCAGTTCCTGGACCCCATCCAGGAGGGTTGGCACAGGTTCCACCAGGACATGTTGAGTATGTGTTTCCTTGGCCCTTGGAATACCATCAAAGCCCCACATGAAGGCCACCAAAACCCGCACAAATGCACACCTCTGACATCTCTCTGCAGTGCAGTGCTTCATGTGGTGAACAGAGCTTTTGAAACCCTCTTACCCTATGTGTGGGCCCAAACGCTTGCAGGATTCCCAACCTCTACTGCATGTGGCAGGTGAATGATGGTGCTGTTGTGGAGACACTCCTGCAGCCTGCCCCACACTGATCTTCCACATGTGTTGGACTAGTGTTCAGGATCTATTGTGCTCCCCAAGCATGTTTGTGATTTCATTTCTAGCCTCCCAAGATGGAGGCAGCTGCAGAGCATAGGAAGAACAGACACAAGTGAGGCGCTAGCTCTGCTACTTATGAAGGCTCCCATCTCACTTGCTCCTCCCTGCTGTTTGTGCAGTGACACAAGGGAGCCAGTTGGATTAGCGGGGACACATGTACCCCATCAGGTACCCACACGTACCCCAAGCTTCTCTCTTCCTTTTGAGCATAGCTACAGTCCCCAGAACAGCCGAGGAGAAGGGATGAACTTCCCCAGCAATAATGCAATGCTGTGACCACCCCCGGTTGTAATGCAGAGCATTTTGGGGAGGCTTGGTCTCCAATGGGCTAGCAAGACCCCTTAGCTCTACAAAAGACCTGCTCCTGCTGGAGAAATAAACAACTAACCCTGCTTAATGGATATGTATCAAAGCAGCATTTTAGACTGGGTGGAGTGGCCATGGACACTGACGCTATGAGCACCTGCACTTCCAAATTTATCACAACACCAAGATGCCTGCATCCCTTGTGACATATGGACTGCCATGTCCCCATTTGCGAGCTGCTAGGAGCCAATTCAATAGCTAGCTATACATCAAGACAGCACTAAGCAGGGAAGATGCAGGCCTGCAGCCAGATGGGCGACCACACATAGAAGTGGAGCTGTGGGTTGGACTCAATGGCCTTGTAAGCCCCTTCCAGCTCTACCTCTATTCTCTTCTACATATGCAGGTGTGATTGGCAGGAACCATTATTTGCCACCAGAGGGCAATGATCTGCCTGGCTTTGAACTGTAAAATCCAACCACTCTCATCTACCAAAAGGTAATTTGTTGCAGGCACCTTCTTGCAGCTAACTGTGTGCATCACCATCTGATGAATGATCTTCTGTTTGCTGTCCAAAGCAGAGTCAGTAATGGATCCATCTAGGACCAAGAATCACCAACACATGCTGAATTGGCAGCCAGGAAGGACAGGTAGCAATGGCTGATTTCTCAGTTCCGTGCAGCTGGCCACCCCAGATGGAGAGGGAAAGCAAAAGAAGATCGGGCCTACAGAATAACAAGTGTGGCTCACAAATACTACTGCCCCCCTGTTCCATTTTCTTTCTTTGAGCATGTTGTCAACATAATTGAAGTGGAGCAGAGAGAAGCAGTCTGGTGTTGGCAGCTCCTCTAACAATCTTATTCTCACTAGATCAATTCAGCCTGTCAAACTGAACAGCTTGTTTCTCTTTTGGGGTTTGTCTGGGCTGTACTTTGGCCCCATCCCTTTTGCTTTTGATTCTGTCACTTCTGCCCTCAGCTCCACCCACCACCAGAATATGGCCTCCCAGAGAGCTTCTCCAAATATGAATTCCTCCCTTGGGCTGAAAGAATGTATTTATTTATTTTTGCATTTATATGCCACCCCCTACTCCTAACAGAGTGTCTGGGTGGCTTACAATATTTAAGTTCCCCACCTCTGCTCTACATGAGCCAACCCAATGCAGAAGTTCAGTCTACCCTAGATAATCAAATGAACACAAACATACATATTTATAATGGGGTCAGTTTAGAAGCACCCTCAATGCATTCAATTCAAATATACCTTTCCTGTTTGGAGTCCAGCTCTTGCAAGAGGGGGAAAAACAGTTTTGCACCAGTTTGTTCGGTTTATGCCTGTGAAATCACTACAAAACCTCCTCCTACATCTCCGTAGCAGTATTGAATTTAGGGTTTTTAAAATCTGCTTTTAAATGATTAATGAGCTGACAAAATAATGGATGACCAGGTACATTGATGCATCTGAATGCACTGCCTTTAAAAATATTAAAAATTGAATGAAAGCCAGCCTGTTTTAAGCAAGCCCAATGGCTGAACCAGCATTAAATTTGCTGGAATGTTGTGTCTGCCATTCAAATGGTGCAGGCAAGTAGAAGCTAGACTACATTCTGCAATAGGGATGTTTGAAGAATTTGAATTTCACTAATTCCTACATGAACCAGTCCATGAATATCCTGGATTTGAATACTGACCAGAATGTAGCTACCCATTAGGTCCCACAGTACTCCAAATTTTGCAATGCGGTTCTTGGCTCGAACAAGTATCAAAAAGCATTTAAGAACATGCGTGTTGAGATATGTTTAGAAATTCTAATTTTGGCAAAAAATTCATCCAAAAACAATATGTAACCTGATGTATGAGTGAACATATGTGGAAGTGACATGGACAAATAGGCTGATTTATTTAGCCTGTAGCTAAGTGACTTGTGGCAATTCCTTGTTTTGTGTCACATCTGTCTTCACCTTCCGCAGCCATTTCCACAACTATCATACCCAACCAGTCCTGCCATCAAATTTCAGGGACGGGTATGAGTGCCCATGATGCTTTCCCTCTGTAAAAGCAATACAGGTCTCAGCCTGGTCTGTTTCTCCAAGGAAAGCCTCATGTAAACTGCTGTGAGAGTCCTGAAGAAAGAGCAGGATACAGGCAACAAAAGCAATAATATCACCCTCTCAGCAACATTTGCAAAAAGGATCACCGGCACTGCATAAACTTTTGCAGAGTTAATGCATGCACCACCACTGCATTAAAAAACTCAGCTCAATAAGATTCTGTGCATGAGGCCAGTGCTGCTCCAAGAGAAAAAAAAAGCATAGCATTTTTGCAATGGGAATCAATTCTCAATTGTAACTCAAGCTTTTCCTAGAAATGCATATATTATACGAAAGATCAACAACCAGATACAGCTAGTTTGGTGTGTGCCCTTGCATGTGCACACACATATGTGCACCCAGACACTCACCCCACCCCCCATACACCTTTCTACTTGCAATGGAACTGTGAAGGCTGCACATTGGGGCTTGATGTTTCACCTTTTCACCCCATGCCATACTCCCACAGTCCAAATCACTTCTCCCTTTGCTTTTACCCCACAGGTAAAAAAAAAGATACCTGTATTTTTCCTCTCTAGTGGGGTAAAGAGCACTTTCTTGGTAGATAGTCAGGTAAAACAGTAATCACAGTTCTCCCTTCCAAAACATGCAGCTTGGGCCTTAACACCAGGATAGGCTTAATAATATATGTCTGAGGCAGGTGCCATTTTGAAATCTCTCCAAGGCTATTCTAGGCTAGTATATCAAAGGGAGGGGCCATGGCTCAGTAGCAGAGCACATGCTTTGCATGCAGAAGACCTCACGTTCAATCCGGTGGTATCTCAAGGCACAATTAGGAGAGAAACCTGCCTGAAGCCCTGGGAAGCTGCTGCCAGTCAGTGTTGACAGTACTGGGTGTGATGGACTGAGTGTCTTACTTGGGATAAGATAGCTTCATAGGTTTCAGCTTCTTGTACTGAGAATGTGGAAGAACTACCATTAACAGGACAAGAGTCAATAGTTTTAAGGGGAACTTCTGCCTTGAGCGGAAGGTTAAAGGACTGTGCCTCCAGCCCAGTTTAAAAAACCCCCAAAGCTCTCTAAAATACATGGAGGGAGGTGACTTGAAAAGTAGAGGGAGAAGAGGCTAGGGCAGATGCTACCACTGAGTACAAGAACAAATTATTAAATAATTAGCCATTAAGAAAATGCAGATAATTTCCCTAACACTCAGAAAAATATGATTTTGGAAGAATCTTTGTGAGGACGTTCTGGGATGGAGAATTTGTATATTTTGAAAGATTGCTATCTACATTTAACTTGAGGGGTTCTGTTGCACAGTGTGTTTTTCTGGATGCTTCCATAGAGGCCTAGCAGAAAGAAGCTGCAAATGTCCCTCTCTGATTTTAGGGTTCTAGACTCTTTCCTCCAAGGCAGAGGATTACCACAACTGGAGACAAAACAAGTACACAGCTGCTGTGAAAATGGCAAACTCTCTGTTAGGGATAATTAGGAAAGGAATTTAAATAAAGCTGCCAAGATTATACTCCCCTTATACCAATCTCTGGTGCAACTGCACTTAGAATACTGCATACAGTTCCAGTTGTCAAAACTGAAAAAAGATGTGACTGAGTTGGGAAAAATGCAAAAAAGAAAAAAAGGCAACTCAAATGATCATGGGGCTGGAGCAACTCCCTTCTGAGGAACAGATAAACAGTTGGGATTGTTTACCTTAGAAAAACAGTGAACAAAGGAAAACATGATAGATGTGTTCAAAATTATGCACAGTATGGAAAAGGTGGAGGACTTTTTTCTCCTTCTCCCAGTTTCATCCCATGAAGCTGCTTGGTGGGAGATTCAGGACAGATTATAGAAAGAAATCCTTCACACAACTCATGGAATTCACTTGCATAGGAAATAGTGGCAGCCACCAATTTGGATGGCTTTAAAAGGGGACTGGATAAATTCATGGAGGAGGAGGCTATCGGTGGCCTGATGGCTCTGTGTTACCTCTAGCATCAGAGGCAGTATCCTTTGGACACCAGCTGCTGGGGAGCTTGGGCAGGAGGGAAGTTTTGCACTCAGATCTTGCCTGAGGGACTCTGTGGACAGCTGGTTTGCCACTGTGTGATTGAAAAGCTCGATGGACCATTGGTCTGATCCCGCATGGCTCTTCTTATATGCCATTAGACAGAAAGACTAGGATACTCAAGTGGAAAGCAAATCTTTATGCCACTCTCAGGGTTTCTTTGCTGTCACCTGCCTCAGAATAGAGGGGGAAACATCCTTGTCAAGCATTTAAGCATCAGTCAGACTCCTTAAAGATCAGTCTTAAGGGATCTTCTCTGAATGGCCTACTTCATTGTACCCCATTTCTTTGGGTGAAGTAGCCCTGCAGAGCGGTTGCTGCCAGTCCGAGTTGACAATGCTGGCCCGGATGGACCTAAAGTCTGCCTCCTATAATTAGGCAGCCTCCTATATTTTTGTGATATTCTCTCACATTTTGTTGTGTTAGGTGTTAGAAAGAATAGAGGGGCAGCAGTAGTTCTGAATCGCTTAAGAAGTCTAATTTGGTCCTTAGTAATCCATATATCATAACCCTGTTTTATCCCACATTTTAGAGTAGCCTGAGAGAAGATATAGGCAGAAGGATGTATTCCAGGACAAACTTTTTTAGAAGTCACAGAAGATGCATAAGGATGTATTGTGGAAGACAGTAAGTCCTGACACATTTCAGACTTTAGCCTTTCCTCAGGGGAAAAGGGTTTATAGCACATTAAACTGATTTTTAAAAATCAGTTTAATGTGCTATAATCCATTTTCATCAAGGAAGGGTTGCAGTCTGAAATGTGAAAGGCTTACTAGGCACATTTCTGTGTCACATTAACCCAGCCTGGCAATAAGCCACAGTGGGTTGGTTGTGTGAGAAACAACCCATGGTGAGCATGACAGCTGTCAAGCTCACTGTGGGTTATCCCCCCCCCCGCCCACAGCGGTCCTCCTGGCATGCATGCTAGAGGGTATCATGGGAAGAAGAAGCTTTTTCTCTTCTCTAAAGGGCTTAGGCACTTTAAAGCAACTGCTCACAGCCATAGAAATGGGAACTGAGAAAGTCAGCTTGTCAGCCAACTTCCTGATCTCTGAAAAAAAAGGTAACAAGAAAAAAAAAGCTGTGGAGAGCCCCAAACAGCTTGCAATTGTGATAGCAGAGGGGAGAAGGCCCCATCCATTTTAGAGAAGATCTTGGGGACAACCTTCCGTGGGGGAAGTGCTAAAACCAAATAGGGTAGAGCCAAAGTATTCAAAACGTTAGCTGCTTTTAGCTGAAAGCTGCTATTGCCAGTAACTAAGCCTTAAGAGAGGCATTTCAGCCATTTACAATAGGAAAAAAGCATGTGAAAGCTGGTGACCCACCCAATGGTTCACCACTGCAGAAAGGGTGTGGGGCCAGTAAAAAAGAGAACAGCCATCTGGAAATCTTAGATGCCCAAATATGGCCAATGAGTCTGAGGTTCAACACCCTTGAAACTGAGTTATCTGGACAAAACAAAACAAAACAAAACCAGATCCTGCAAGCTTGATTACTCCCAGCCTCTGTTGTAGACTATGCGTATAAAATCACAACCATTTCAGCCTCATTTGAGTAGCTTTTCCTTGAAGCTGGGAAGTGCATGAATGGTTTCGTGGGAACAGCCAAGGAGAACCTAGGTGCTGAGGTGTTCACTGCTGTGTGGACAACCAGTCAGCACCGTGGCTGGGCCCGTGGGCTCAACCTGCAGAGGGACTTGAAGTCTTCTCAGCCTGCATATGGATGGCCCGTCCCTTCAGCCTATAGTCAGAGATGCAGAGAAAAACAGGAAAAGAAAGGAACATGGGAAGGTGTCCACTACAGAGCCAGCTCTGTGGTCTATCGAACCCAGTGCTGTGGACACTGACTGGCAGCAGCTTTCCAGGGCTGCACACAGAAGTGTTTTCTCATCCTGCCAGGCGATGCCAGGCATCGAAGCTCAGCCCGTCTGCATGCCACACAGGTGCTTAGCCCATTGAGTTGTGACCCATCCCAACCTATACAATATTGTTGCACAGGGCACATTCACTGTCCGGCCTCACATTGTTGCCCAGCAGGAATGAGAAAACATACAACACAAGAAGGTCACATCATCACAAGCTATTTGTACTAAATCAGCTTCCTCCAACCCGGTACTCTTCATATGCTTTGGATCACCATTTCCTGTATTCCTGACCAGGATGACTGAGGCTGATGGAAGATAAAATCCCAAACATCTGGAGGGCATCAGCTATGGGGAAAGCTATATTAGATATTATAAGAAACATAAAATAAAGAAAAAAGGAACAGCTGCTGCTCCATGTCTGATACAGCTACCAGTAAGGCCTGCATTCAATGCTCTGAACACTAACAAAAGAAAAGGACTATATAATTGCTAATTATCATGATTATTATTCTCAATCCCCTACAGAAGAAAGGAAAAATAAAACAAGGAACAGCAGCAATGCAAGAAAAGGGGGGTAGGTAGGCAGTCAATAAAGGGATGTTCAAAGAAGTAATAGAATATAAGGACTGGGTTGAGAAGAAATCTTTGTGCAGGGAAAACTGCTGAAGGATAGCAGTAGAACTAGGTCCAGGGTGTAGAAAGAGAAGCATCTTGTCCCTAACGCAGCAAGGCTCGTTACTTACTATGCAAACCATAGATCTTAACTTCCTTGCCTGCCCAAAACGAAGAAGATGCTTCCCAGAAATCGGGTCACTTAATTGATCATTTACTGGAATACAAGATGCATACAGCCCTGTTGCCTTAGCAACTGTTGCTATGCAACACTGTCTAAGATCCACATTTCAATATCAGAATTTGAAGATGCTTGTGCCCAGGTAAGGAGAGGAAGAAGCATATCTCATACCTCCTCTTACACTCCCAGGTAACCTTGCAAACACACTGCTGATACCAAATAGCTCTCCCCTCTGGCCTCCATTGCACAACTCCTGAAGCAGGGAGAAGTAGGGCATGCATCGCCCCTGGGGCAGACTTTCCTCATCATTTAGCTGAAGAAATCTTCTCCAAAGAAAGTGCTTCTTATCCTCTTTAGGAGAGTGCCAACACCTCAGCAACCTCGTAACACCCATTACTGGACTTCTAATTTGTGGCAGCCCGATATCTATGCAAAACTCCTGGATCCCCGGTCTAGCGGAGACGTGCAGCAGGAAGAGGCTGGAATAAGGTGGCAGAGTTTTGAGGGGGCAGAATAAGACTCAATCACTTCAGAATGCAGGAAGGGTGTGCCATTTTAAAAAAATTATCCCTTATGTAAAAAATTAGTCCCTGTAAGTAATTAGTACTATTCAGGGAGCAGGTCAGGATACAGTGTGTCTCTCTGATGGGGGGTTGGGGAGTTGGTTTTTCTTCTTATTTACAGAGAGGGCCATTGCTGTTTTTATCATGGGGCCACATTAAAAATGAAATACACACTCCATCTGCAGTCTAAATGATACAGTTTGTTCTACCACCTCATTCTAGCATGTGCAGGCAAGGCCTCAGTTGTGCCTGATGCTCAGAAACTGACCGACTGGGGCTCTTCTAGCACAGCCTGCTGGGCAAGGATCCAAATGGGTGCAAAGCTGCTCAGGAATTTGGCCCAAGTAGCCCTGACCAACCACCTCTGTTCCAACCCCTAGGAGTGGACTCAGTCTCTTTCCAATCCAATCCAAAGTCAACATATCCTGAAGGTAAGGACAGGATCATGCCGGTGAACTCTCTTCCCAAGTTGCTTCTGCCCTGGCAGGTTTTGCTGGGTTAGCAGAATATCTGTTATACTTTGTTTACTCACGTAGATATGGTCCTGTTGGTAGCGCTGGTAAAGATTGAGCAAGATGGCAGCCTCGTGCAGGTCTCCCAGTGTGGACATGTCCTCCACCCCCTCCATACTCGATTGATGCATTGGCAGAACCTTGTCTCTGGGGACAGAGGCCTTTGGATAGCAGAACACCTGAAGGGAAGGAAAACATGGCGCAGAGCAGGAATGTACAACCTTTTTGGGAAACACGCATGTACACCAAACCTATTGTTCACTCATACACACCTCAGGAACAAAGTACCTTGGTCTTGCAGCAGCAGCATTTATCCCATGTCACCGAATCAAGCTGCTGAAACCCTCTCCCTTCCCCAGGCACCCCAGTCTGATCACCAGACAAAAGGAGGAAAAATGTTCTAGGAGTGGGCCTTATCTTTCCCAGGACACATTCAAACACTTCCTAGCATGTTTCAGGAACACTCCAGGACCAAGGCTTGAATGTCAGAAACCATACAGCTTGTTCCTATAGCATATTCTTCTCCCTTCCCCCACCCACTTTTTCAGGAGGAGCTAATTCTGGGGATTTGGGGAATGGAAGTTAAGTACAATGCTGTAAATGGTACATGCTTTTGGCACAAGTTTATCACACCGGCATGGATATGTCCATTTATTTATTTATATCTTTCCTGACCACCTTTTGGCTCTAACAAGAACCCCCGAGACAGTTCACACTTCAAGATTAAACAACATCAAGAGCCGAATATAATAAAAGCATTTTTACTGCCCATCTAAAATTCAGCAGAGATGGAATGGCTGTAACCTTTCTTAGAAGAAAATTCCAAAAGCAGGGTGCTACCACAGAAAAGGCCCTATCTCAAGTTCCTAGCAACTGAACCTTTTTAGGTGGTGAAATGTAAAGGAATATATGGAATTAGGTGGTAGAACATAAAGCAAAGCCTCAAAGAGTGCCATAACCTATGGGAAGCTTCATAATGGGGTAAAGAATCTGTTTCTGAAGGTATTTAGGGCTTTATAGACAAGAATCAGCACCCTGTATGGGGCCCAGAAACCATCAGAAGCCAGCGCAAATGGCATAAGATCAGTCTAAGGGATCTGAAAAGCACACAGCAGAAATATCCTCACCATTTTGTACCAGCTGCAACTTCTGAACTCTCTTCAAGGGCATCTCCACATGGAATGCATTGCAGCAATCTAATCTGGCAGTGACTAAGCAATTATCACTGTGACCAGCTGCACCTTTCTCCTTTTAGGTGCATGAACAGAAATATGTGTAAAGTCCTCCTCAAAAATCCCTGTATCTACATGCTTGAGTCTGTTCTCATGGAGAAGAAATCCACCCGTGTACCATTCTTAAACAAACTCCAGTTGAAACTGTAATGGTAGCTAAAGTCAAAGTAATTTCCCATATGTGCTAAGGGAGGGTTAAATAATTTTCTAAGAAGGACACATCCCTCCCTCCTCACAAACCAGATAGACTAGGAAGAATAAAGGTTTGCCCAGGGAAGGTTGAACTCTACAGATTCACATAATCACTACAGGGATTATCACCTATTTCAGACCTAGTCAGCCTTCAGAAATGTTCAAGTGTGAATTGCTCCTGTACAGCTACTTCAAATGCCCTAGACTATGCAGGTTTGCAGCTGCCTTTCCTTAACATCTTCTGTGTGCTTCGCACCTTTGTTGAAATGTCAGAAAGACAAGCCATTATTCAAGGAAACCAATTTGCACGTTTTAAAGGAGGGCAAAGGCTTAAGAAAAATGTGGCTGCACAAGTCACCCTAGAGTTTTCCCCTCAGTAGGATTTCACATTTGGTAGTCGCAAGTATTGCATGCTATGGCTGCAGAAGAATCTCTGGAGCAGTCGGGTTTTATATAGCACACACATGCAGGGGAATTCTCCAGGAGTGCTTCCTTCGGAGGCTCATTAACACCTTCAGCTTCCGTTTCACTTACCTGGCCATAGTCTGAAGTAAAGAGCGCTGACCCATCCGCACAGGAGCCAACAGTGCAGGGCTGTAACTGGTCCTGCTCCCGCAGCCAGACATGTGCTCCCTATAACCAAGCATAGCAAGCTTGAAACCATATATTTTGCAACTGGACACTCTTAAACACATTCAGTGGGCATCTCCACTCTTATTGCCACTTCCTGTCTCTGTCTACTGGGGACAGACACACCCACCCTATCATAAATACTTGAGGGCTACTTTGCACGTGCATATTCTTCATGTAAGGATTGCATAGCAAGTCATGACTTGCATGTGTGGAGGGACCAGGACAGAGGGAACCTGGATATCCTGCTCACCTCATCTCTACTACAGTGCATTTCAGTGCAGTGGGTTCACACATTCATCTGGAAGTTAGCTCTAAGGAGTGGAAGAAAGCAAGTAATAGACATGCCAGTATGAACGAGCCCAAAGGCTCCACATAAATTATTTGTTATATATAATCTGGGTGGGCAACTTATGGTCATCCAGGTGTTCGATTACAACTCCCATCAGCCCTAACCAGTATATCCAGTAGTAAGGGATGACAGGAGTTACAATCCAACACTTTCGGTAAGTTGCCCGCCCTTAATAGCAGGCTAGCAAGAGATGATCACAGGACCTGTTGGGGCCATTCAGCCTGCCTGATACAAGTTCCATTGACATAAGGGAAACTACAGGGCCTTTCTTTTATTTCTGCTTTAGCTGGACAACAAGGAAATTGTTTTGCAGAAGGAAACTGTGCCTCCAATTTTTCCCATTTGCTCAAGTGGCTGGCAAAATTACCACCACCACTTAGTGGTCAAACCTATCATGTGCCCCGTCACCAGTATAGAGCCTAAGTGAGAGCAAATTCCCAACACAGATCATGTAGCTTAGACCCACAGAATGGCTTTCCACCCATACCTAACACACTGGGATAACCCCGCTTCCTTGCTAGTCCTCTTTCCCAACAGCATCTCAGGTCTCGTGGTTAAAATGCTGCTTCAAGCACTTTGGAGAGAGGCAGGATGCAAATGTAATAAGTGTTTGGTTTTCAAACCAACTTTCCCAGCTCCTTCCCATGGGCAGTGCTGGTTATTTCCAGGCATCCACTCACGGAGAAACATATTCATATGGACTGGTCATGCCTTGATAGTCAGCATAATTCCCATGGCCACAGTCAGAGGGAAACGATGCTGTTTGGCTTAAGGAAGTTGCAGCTGTTTAATCCTTTGTACCACTGGCTCACAACAATATATGGTCCCACACAAATATAGGCATCTGCTTGGCTGAGACCAACTAACATTGGCCAGGCTTAGCAGTACAAACAGACCCCAAATGACCAGCTAGCTCGTCTCCACACACAAATGCCACAGAGATAGTTTCCAGAAGAGTAGCCACATCAGGCTGGCTGCTCATTTACTCTAATCACATCCCACATCTAGAAAGAGCAGAAACCCTGTCCCTTTTGATGGACACTTAATCCTAACCTTAACCATACCAATAAATATTTAAACTCAATGTATTAAATCAGAACAAGCTCTAAGGAAATAAATTCAGTTCACTGAAAGCTTACCAATCCAACTGTTTGGCAGTAATATGATGCCCTTCCAAACTCATTTAGTACCACATAGAAGGAAAAGTGGCTTACGAGGAAAATGTGAGGCAAAGAAGTGGCAGCAGAAAAAACTTATACAAACCCTCTCACCACCAGTTCTCCATTCCAAAGTACCACCAAATTACATGGCTTCACAGAATTGGTACACAGAGTGAGCCATACATGAATTTCTTATTGGATTATGGAGGGGGCTTAAATAAAGTCTAGGAGTGAGATTTTATATCCAATGTGAAGTATATCAAAATTCAGATCATGCCTGGCTCTGCACTACCTCTTAAGAGATGCTGACATTAGGCTTCTCTTTATGGGCGATCCACAGGAGGAGAAGAGATTGCAACAGCCGCAGTAGTTATCAGTAGTGGGGCAACCTGGACAAGGGCCTGGTGAAGAGCCAGCACACTACTTTTAAGCTATGGCAGTAAATGCAGCAGCCCTGCCTGCTTTATGCCTCTTTATGGTGATTGAATGGATGTTTGTTCTTCGTCACAGATGAGTTACATGACAAGATGCATCATAGGCAGTTCTGAGGCCATACCAAGATCTTGCAAAATCCTAGAGTTTCACAGAATTGTGACTCAGCACTAAAATATGTATTTGTTCAGTTTATATCTATCACTGAGCAGCCATCATTGAGGTATACTTGGAAGGCTCAAAATCCAGAAAATAAAAGGGCAGGGAATTTTGGATTTTTCCATTAAAGGATGGGCACTTAAATTGGACTCTGGTTTGTGAATTTAAGCTGGTTAGAAAGGTTGCCTTCTATGCCATGTTTGTATCCTATTTTAATAGTATTATTTTGTTTGTTAAGATGATTAGATCAATAAGAGGTTGCATAACTAGGATATTATCAGGACTGACTGAGACACTGAAAGCTGCTTCATATCACTGTTTCCTCTGGCAGGAATTTTCAGGGGCTCTGGCAGAGGTCTTTCCCCTCACCTGTTTCCTAGCATTCTTTGAAATGAAGATACCATGGCTTGAACATGAGACCTTCTAGATGCAAAGCATGGGCTGTGCTAATGAACCACTCTTAACTGTGATTCCTCCAAGGCGGAAGATTTACTGTGCAAGAACGATCTATCGAAGCAAGAACCATTCCCTTCTTTGCCCTGCTGCCTCAGGTGAACAAATCTGACTTTCTTGCACCCTATGGCCACAAGCAGTTGAGAACTGGGACTCAATGGCCATATTGTGCACTGCATATCAAGTTAGTCAACCTATACCCTTGGCTTCAGTATTGGGGGAGGCCCGAAACCTCTAGATAAGGCTTGAATCAAATTTCAACAAATGCATTTTCTGATTGATCCAGTAGATCATGAATAAGTGATGGATACATATAAACAGAAATTAGCTAATGGAGGCAGATATGAGAGCACCATGTGGGGGAGAGCATCAGCTACACCCACAAGAGAAAAGAGGTTATCTGATCAGTCCCCAAGGAAGATGTGCAAAGGGAGAGAATCAATAGTGGCTTTCAAAGGGAGGTGATGTAGAACTTGAGTGGAGTGGGGGCTCTCATTGATACTTCTTAAGTAGCAACGAGCTTTCCTTCTACCCTTGCCTGATTACACACCCATCTGTGGCAACTTGCCTTCTCTACCAGGACAGCCTTTGCTTGCAATGCTATTCCCAAACCTCAGCTCATGGGTTCCATCTCGGGAAGAAAAGCTGGTCTTTCTCTTCATGGCAATCATAAGATGACTTTATGTCTGAAGCTCTAGAATGGCACATTCTGGAATGGATGGCTCCCTTCCACCCCAGCTAGGAACTGGATCAGCAACACCATTCAAAGAAATAGGCAATAGTGCATGAACTAACCAGAGGATGAGCTAAAAAAGCAACTTGGTAAGTGGATCAGGTAGATGAGCTTCTCCTCAATAGGCAGTAAAAGGAGCAGTATAAGGAAAGAAGAGGCAGGAATAGGAGGCAGAAATCTTTAAAAAGAAGCAGAAGTTTACTCCTAGTATCAATACAGATTTAAAGGGGATCAGTCAACGTTAAGATTTAGGAGGCATTTCTAAATAAAAAGTTAGCACTGAGGTTGAAGTAGCACTTCTATTTTGTTTACTTAGCCATCTTTTAAGACCATAATCTTCCCAAGCTGGCTGTTGTATGTTTATCAAAATTTATAAGCACTCAAACTGCTATATTTTATTGCAGGGAGAATGCGAATGGCTCTAAAGTTAGTTGAGGCGGCCATATTAGCACCATTTCCCTGCAGCCTTTTTGGCTCTGAGGCACATTTGAGAAACAGTCCTTGGCACCCTCAGTGTACAGCTGTTATGGGTGATGTGGCTAATCGTAAAGGTCAAGTAACCTGCCCAAATACTCAGTACAAGGCAGGGGTAGAGTCTGAGCCCCAATACACTCAGTCAATCTCATGGAGCCATGGCTTTGAGAGCCAGCAGGAACCTGCTTCACAGAATGCAAACTCTTTTTCTGTCTCCTCCGAAACAGCCCATCTGCCAGCAAGTACATTTTCCACATATCTTTTTCTTTCACACCCTGGCTAATTGCCCACAGACACCCAAGTGCATATTCTCTCTCTCTCTCTCTCTCTCTCTCTCTCTCTCTCTCTCTCTCTCTCACACACACACACACACACACACACACACACACACAGAGTCACCTTAGCCGGCACACCAAGAAAGGGACTAGGTATACAGGAGTGTCCAGTGCCCTGCTCTGCTGCTATATAGCAACATGCAATTGTTAGAAAACTACTATACACTCAGCTACATGCACATAAAATAATAGTCCAGAATTGCTGGGGTCCAAAAGCAAACTACAAATCCTGTGTTCAAACTCTAGCCTGTTAAAAAAAGGGAACCAGAAGTCCCGCTTTGGATGCAGTACTCAGCTCCTAGTTACTGCATTTTTAATTTAAAAAATATCATGTATTTCAAAAAGTGGTAACAAAACCTAAACCAATAGAGAGAGCATTATTTCAAAAAAGAAGAAGAAACCTGCAATAAGCTGTTTCCTCATCTACAGGAGGAAAGTAAGATCAACTGGGCAGCGCACACCAGCATGCCTCCTCAGTACCCATCAGTCAGGATTTTAGCAGTTCTGGCTTGCCAACTTCTGCAAACATGGCTATGGGCAATTACAACATGAATCTTTTGGACAAAATCTACCTATTATTGAACAGAATTTCACAAATGAGGCTTATGGTGAAACCAGTATTAGATTTGCATCCTGTTATAGAGCAAGAATAATACACAAGAGACTTTGAATCCATGTTGTATAATGCAGCATTAGCGAATTTCTGTTGTTGTATTCATAATGGTCCTCATATTCAGCTTTATTTATATTTTTGTAAGCACATGATTTTATAACTTTATTGGTTTACATTTCTACAGAGTATTTTCATGTTCAGATCATTCTAACTCAGCAGGTTTCAGGTCCCTGTTCTTCTCACATCATATACAACCAGTCATATATATCAAGCAGGACCTGCAACAGAGCATTCCTGATCACTGTTCGGGCTGTTAATCATGCCCTTCTCCAGGATGCTTCATTTCCCCCCTGCCCTGGTTTTTCATCCCCATTCCATTACCCCAATAATAAGCCCACTACTGAGCATGATGCTGTATAACTGAGCTTTTTTTGAAGGTTCCCTACCCAAAGCCCCCCCGCAATGTTTAGCACTTCTGCAAAACTTGCAGTTGTTGTTTTCTTAAATATTTATATCCCATCCAATAGCAAGGGGCTCACTTTTCCCCCAAGCCTGCTGAGACC